CCATCTCTGGGACTATTTCGAGGTGACCGCAGTGGATCCTACAATACTTCCATGCTGATTGGGAGGCAAACGTTGTCCCACACGGGAAAAGTACCCGCAGCAGCAACACGGCTACCTCCCAGGATGACGAGTACATAATTGTGTTCATGCCCACTGAAAGCAAGGGTTGAAGAAGTACATAAACGAGTGCAAGCTGTCGGAAACATCCTTCCAACCCGGCAGCATGAAGCCTAATGCTCAGGATCGACTTCACAATTTGGAAGATTTCGGTTATCATCAGTTAAGGTACCCATTGACTGGAGTGGCCTCGGCCCCAAATTTTTCATTGTAAACTAGGAATCTACGAATCGGTTGGGGCCTTTAGCTTGTAGATGAACCAGTGAAGCAAAGTCGAAAGGAAGCTTGTTTGCAGCAATCGACGCGGGCCTATTCCCGCTGTTTGTTGCTTGTCGGCAAAAATTGAGTCTTTGAAATCCGCTCAGCAGCAAGGAGGCATCCGTATTCACTCAACGATAAAACATGTAGCTTACCGACAACTCCTTATCAATGACAGCATACTCCTGCCGTACATCGGCGTGAAAGTGAATGTGGCAGGTGGTCACAGCCCGAATAGCCCGACAGAATCGTATAGACCAGCGGTAGCTTACAAGCCTTTACTGCCGGGCCCAGCCCAAAATATCCCCCAAATCATCTCGAGGCCTGAACGTCCACTCAGACCGCTCAGGCAGCCAGTCCAAGCTGCTTGTTTACAATGTCGAAAGAGGAAATTGAGAGTATTTCGCCCCTATATTAACACTGCGGTAGATTGGGAGTCATCTTTAATTTACTTAAGGAAAAAGCCGTTACCTGAAGACACTTATAGGAGCTAGTTGCCTCGCTGTTAAGGTCGAGTATCAGATAGGATAATGGTGTTCAGCTGGGTATCCAACGATACCAGCCGCACGATCAGAGGTTATTGCGCTAATGACTCCCATCTGGGACCGATTCCATCAACATAACAATCTGCCTTAGAGCAACATCGACCATTGCTTTTGCTGAGATCCTGCTCTCCGAATCGCAGTGCACTGACACTCGGCCAACTTGCTTCCGGTGCTCCATTCAGGGAGGTGACTGCGAATGGGACACCGAACCGGCTATGTCGCGCCTGGACCCGCTCCGAAAACGATATGAGCGGCTCGAAGAGGCGAACGAGGACTTGCGCGAACTTATACGTTATTTATGCGCTCGACCGCTTGAAGAGGCTGTGGACTGCGATCGACGAGCGATTCGATTCACGTACTCGAGCTGGTTCGAACGAGCGACGTGTTGTTAGGCAAGAGACCTCTGTCCGCAAACATCACCCACAGCTCGAACCCGCCGGACGTATCTTTGTCAAAATAGTCAACCTAGTCTGCTAGCGGATGGACGCAGAAGACAGACTACCATACCTGCTACTCGGCCTTCCAAAAGCTGCGGATATGTACGACCCAGGGGGGGGGGGGGATGACTTTGAACATTGTGTTCTTCATATTGCGACGCCATCTTTTGCTTTAAGGAAGGAAACTGTGAGTACTAATTGGACAAGAGATCTAGGGTGTTCCCACGCGTAATCACCTATGGATAGGCTGTTTTTGTAAACTTATGGATGCTTTGTTAACACTATTTTCAGATGGAAGGTGCCAAATTTATTTCACGCTCCTACATTTGGCGAGAGACATATCATAGCGTGAAGTACACATGAAATTTATATTAACGTCCAGAAGAGGGAGTCAAGAAGACTAATAACAACCTCAAACGTTCGGTTTTACATAACGGCTGAGATTTACGCAATGATCTTTGTGGCCTATGGTGGTGACATCCTGCTCGCGCATGTAACAGCAATTCAGTCCACTCTCATTGAGAGCCTGGCAACACCAGCCTGCGAGTCCAAAAATTCAGCTTTAGTTGTCAATAGAAATTCTATCTTCCCCCTCATCACTGCCTAATTCACGGCACAGCAGACTTAGTTTGTCAGTAGAAAGGCATCGGAAACTGATAGACCGAGGCGTCCGCCGCGGCATGCTCGCCTAAATGTTTAGCCGCGGCACTCTATCTCCCCTCGCCAGATTCTCGAGTTGCACCTTGTCATCCAACCCCGCGACGTAATGCCCAAACGACAATACCTTCTCGTCGGTATATGTTCAGAGGTCTTCACAGTCTAAGCCCATGTTTTCATTACAATGAGAGTGTTCACCTCAAGGATCAATCGATCAATCATGTCTCAAACGAAACCCCGCATCCTGTTCTTCAACCCTGTTCGCCACGCCGTGGCAGAATACGAGGCCCTAAAGACCGTTGCTACCCCCGAGGTAGTCACAAGCAAGTCACGGGCGGAATTCTTCAGCGATCTGAAAAGCAAGTATCAGGACATTCAGGCTATATGGAGAACATCTGCCAGTGGGGCTGTAAGTTCTCTCAATCATATGTGGCTGTCCCTTCACCTGACTCTGGGTAGGTTGCTGGAAAGTTTGACGAAGAATTCGTCAGTCAACTCCCACCTTCGCTCAAGTACATCTGCCACACCGGCGCTGGCTATGACCAGATCGATGTAGACGCTTGCTCCAAGCGCAAGATCACCGTCACTTACGCGCCTGACCCGGTCACCAACGCGACTGCTGATTTGACCATCTTCCTTCTTCTCGGGGCCCTCCGCCAAGTGAATCCCGGCTTAAGCAACTTGCGAAGGGGAGACTTCAAGAAGGGTCTCGACTTTGGACATGATCCCCAGGGCAAGACACTAGGCATTCTCGGGATGGGCCGCATTGGGCGTGCAGTCAAGCGTCGGGCGGAGCCGTTCGGCCTCAACGCCATCTACCATAACCGCAAGCCACTCTCAGACGAGCTCGCTGCAGGAACCCCTTACGTCTCATTCGACGAGCTCCTCCGCACGAGCGACATCATTTCTGTGCATGTTCCTCTCTCAGCGGCGACTACCCATCTGATTGGGCCGGAGGAGATAGCCAAGATGAAGCCCGGTGTAGTGATTATCAACACTGCTCGAGGTGCAGTCATTGACGAAGCTGCCATGGCTGCCGCGCTTGACGAGGGCCATGTTGCTGCTGTCGGACTGGATGTTTATGAGAAGGAGCCCATTGTTGATGAGCGATTGGTCAAGAACGAGCGCGCATTGCTCGTGCCTCACATGGGAACGCACACTCATGAGACCCTGAAGCAGATGGAACTGCTGGGTATGGAGAACGCCAGGCGGGGTGTGTGCGTGGAAGAGCTGTTGACGATTGTTCCCGAGCAACTTGCCGCTTGAGTGCATCAGATCATCAACACAATTGACCTATTGCCTTAGGATTAAGATGATATTTGGTCCTTGAAATGACGTAGGTGTCCCATTCTTCATTTCTGGTGCCGTCCGCATCGTGTGTGGACCCTGAAGCCTGTGTGCGACTTGGCCGCGGGCTTCCCTTTGTCCGCGGGTGAAACATTAAGCGATCACAAGCCTCCCATCTCCATGTTTATCCCGCGTATGCTCCCCAACCCCAAATCTTGGTCGTCTTACGCCAGATACGCCAATTACCCAATAACCGATCTCGGCTGCTATTATCCGACAACTGCGATGCCGGACCCAAGACTCAAGAATAACCAAACGTCCAAGACGTCCCGAAGTAGTGGGGCATGTCTTGCTTGCAGGGCCAAGAAACACAAGGTACGGACTCAATTTCCTGCCATATGGCTGAGTGATGCTGACTATCTCTCCAAGTGCAGCGGTGAGAGGTCGGTGATATGGCTTTTCCTGCATCTTGAAATTTTCACCACGGCTAAGCTTAACATCAACATCTAGACCAAGGTGTGCACAATGTGGCATCAACAACCTTGTCTGCCAGTGGCCTGAACCGCGCAAACGGTAGGTTATCTCATACTTCCAAAGCCGAATTACTAACAGGACTGAAACGTAGGGGCCCCCCGAAACACTACATAAACACCATGGAGAAGCGATTGCTAGAGACGGAAAACGTTCTTTGTGCCTTACTGTCACAGTGCTCAGAGGCGCAGTTGAACTCTGCTTTAACTGAACTCCGCATGCCCAATTCGGGTAATGAAAAAGACACCCGCGCTGCGGAAGTAGCAAGACGAGAAAGATTCGGTCCTGTCTATTGGGCAAAATTTCCTCTCAACTCAGCACAAGAAATCCAGCGCTGGGCTGAGGACAAGTCATCGAATTCTGTCGCATCGCCCCGGTCAGAGTCAATTCAAGTCGCTGCCAGCCACATCCAGGACCTCGACAGCGACGACGAATACCACGACGAAACCACGCAGGCGTTGGAAACTCCCCTCAGCCCATTTAATTTAAGATCTGCTGCTGTTGAGTCTTCAAGTCCGACCTCAAACCTCTCTGCTGCGACTCCAGATCGCGAGCGGGCGGGCTTTGAGGCCGTTGAGCCAATGGATGGAGTGTCTGGGGAACAGATTCAAGGCATAGGAGGAATGATGTTCGAGAACCACACGTTGGCAGAACCTCCAAGGGGTGCTCAAGAGTCCTCACAAACGCAACCTTCAGAAAGTTACGAAAGTGCCTTTCTTTGGTAGAAATAAACACCATGCTCAAGTTTGCGATCGCTGGCTCCCATAAAATATTGTGGATTGTATTAGTAAATAAGCGTTGCGAAATCGTGAACCACACAGTAGCTTTTCCTCAACCAAAATTGGGTTGTCTACGACTTCAATAGCCCAAGTTCCTCTGACATAAACTTTCCAGGTTGCAGGTGCATCTCATCCTCGGCTTAAATGTTACATGACTAGCTAATGTAGTCATTAACGCCGACATCACGGGGCACGGATGCCCGGGTTTGAGCGCGTCTGGCGTGCGGACAAATCTAACCCCGCAACAGCCCACCGACAACCGGCTACGCTGTAAACCGGTCATTTTCGCATCTCCTACTCTCGCTGAATGAGCCACCTTCAGGGACATGATCGCCAAAACGCCGAGCAGCCCAATGCAGAAGTCTTCGCCTCGAACATAACTCAAAATCATGCCGGAGATTGGGAGTCTCAGAGCACTTGCCAACGGCGAGAGCCAGTTCGTTGGCAGCTCCTCTGGTGTCTACTTTATCAACACCGTGAGACGAGCATTTTCCGCACAAACCAGCGCAACAGCAGACGCCAACCAGCGGACCAATGACGTGGGCGCAGAACTTCGCGATGATCCATCACCAGAAGATTGCATTGTCGGGGCCGGAGGAGATGATGAGACCGAGCCAGACGAGAATGCGGACAACGCGGGCCACCATGAATCTCACCCACAGTCGCACGATCACCTCTCCCCATTTTCTACCGGTTCCGACTTCATCAATGATATGAGCAAACTACCGGACTATTCAACCGCCAGGAAGCTCGTGATGACATACTTCAGAATTTGGCACCCTTTAGTTCCTTTCTTGCAAGGCCCCGAATGCCTCGCCGAATTGGACGCTCTGTACGCCTCTACCGAGCATGACCGACGCAATGTTGCGTCTCTCAGCCGTCTAGTCATCTTCAGATGCATCTTCAGCATTGCGAGACTCGATAGCGACGTCGCAGTGGACATAGGATCTGCAGGGATCCGATCAAGCTCCGATCTACTACCCACCCTGAGCCTCTTGGCTCTACGGAGCGATGCCTGTTCCATCCAGGCGCTTCTTAGCGCTCAAGTGTACTTTATATCCGTCATGTCTCTTCGACATGCGTCGTCCGTCGGTGGTCTTATTTCAAAGTCCATATTCCAGTCCGGCATGCATCGCTGCCCCGTTCGATATGGCCACCTATCTCCAGATGAACGATCCATGCGCAAGCGCATTTTCTGGAGCTTTTATGTTCTAGATCGATTCGTGAGCCAGTCTCTGGGCCACCCTAGCGGCATTCAAGACTCAGATATCGATGTATGCCCTCCAGGGCATAGGGATCTTCACGAACCTGTCGCGCAATCCGCACTTTCTCCCGCAAGTGCTGCAGCAGACAACACGATACTACATCTTCCAGCCAACCACCCCGAAAGATGTGCGAAATCCCGAGACAAAGGAGAGTACGATTCAGATTCATCAACAGAAGTGGAAGAAGGGGATCAAAACGCAGCTCCAAATAGCGAAGCAAACGCCAGTTCAGCCAAAGCTGCCGCCATTCTTCGCCACCGTCAAGAGACCCAGAACGTCCTTCAAAACCATGTAAGACATTCGCAGCTGGTTGGACGAGTCCTAGATGTATTTCATAGGTCCATACATGCTCGGGACATGAACAACCAGACGATACTTTTCCTCAAGGCCGACGTTGCTGCCTGGGGCAACGACCTCACAGAACCACGACCCGGTCCAACCCTCATGAACATTCCAGAGCTCACTCCAGATCCAACCGTCTTCCCATACATCACCTATCATTACACTGTCCTTCTACTCAACAGACCGTCGCTGTCATTGGACTCAAGATGTGCCGAGTTTCGTGCGGCACTACAAACATGCATCAGTGCCGCTAAGGCCATTGTACCAACTGTCGATCAGTATCACCAGACCGGAGGACCGTTGTTTTGGCCCGGCTACATGTCTGCCGTCTGGATGAGCGGTCTCGTGCTGGCGCTTGCAGCTCGTGTGAAGTCATACAGTCTCTCTAGAGCTAAGTCGTAAGTCCTGTCTTCTACCATTTGTCTTGATCAACTTAACTGAATACTTCTTAGCGATATTCGTACCGTTCTGAAGTTACTGACGGTCATGGAAAACCGATGGCGTATGGCTAAGGACTGCAAAGGAGTTTTGTCTGTGCTGCTGGACAACATTGAGCACAGATCCAAGGGGCATAAGAGAACCCGCACCGAAGGGGATGAGACACCGAGCCCAATTCCGACTAATAGTGATGGAAGTCCACGGACAACAAAACGGCAAATGACACAAGCCCCATCTGCGGGACTTCGTGGACGTCTAGACCGGGCTCATGGGCGATCTTCTCGATCCTCACATGCGATCGCACAGAACAGATCAAGGACACCATTGCCCCATTCCGCCCAGCGAAGCGTCAGATTTCACGACAGCCGAAGCGACAACTTCTACTACAACATGGAAACCCCGCAACATATTCCCAGCTCACACCAACAAATGACCACATTTTCCCCAGGTTTCAGCACGGGAGAGGCGACCCTCTTTGGAACTTCCCAGGACATGAGCTTTCAGAACAACGCCTCTAACATGAGCACATATTTCTCACAAATTCCCACGACATTTCCAGATCGACAGAGAACCGCCCAGGGCCAAATGGATCAGTATGGGCACACGGACAACATTTTCGACATGTTCGACGGAGCAACATGGGGATCTCTTATAGATATTGTAAATGATGCCGGTACTGGGATGTAAATTCAAGCTTCATGAGATCCATTAGAGATACCCGGAGTTAGGAGTTGATTTTTAAAATGGATCTTTGCAAAAGAAAAGTCTTTATATCAAGCTATTTTCTGTCTATAACACATTCTAAGCTCGCGCAAAGTCCTCTCCCTTCTTGACGTTGCCCTTCAGCTCGTCCACAGCAATCTTGAGAAGCTTCGTCTCATAATCAGAAAGAGAGCCGATGGGATGAGCAGTCTCAGCACCATTGGCACCGAAGCTCACAGGAACAGCAAAGTATTCAACGCCGAGCTCCTTGGATACGGCATCACCGCCCGGTACACCAGGCAGATACACATACGCGGGCTCTACGATGCCAGTCTGACTTTGGGCTGCCTTGATAATCGCCTGGGCGAATCTACATCCCGCGTCAGTCACATCCGTTTCCCAACATGATCCAGGAAGACACCTACCGGAATCCGGCGTAAGCCATGCATGTGGTTGCAGAGCCAGCACCGGCCTTCGCCTTGACGATTTCATCTCCGCCAAATTGCACCCCTTGGTAGGCATGTCAGATTGAGTCTTCTTTATAGGCGGCGATTTCCTTACTGTGGGTGATGGCTTCAATCTGCTCTTGGCTCAGCTGAACCTTGGGCTCAGACTGGCTGATCAATGGCAGAATCGTCGCGCCGGAGTGGCCACCGACAACCGGGACCTTGAGTTGCCGAGGGTCGTTTTCAAGGACGTCGGCCACGAACTTAGATCCTCGGACCACATCCAAAGTTGTCACACCAAACAAACGTTGAGGGTTGAAAACGCCGTTCTTCTTGAGCACCTCAGCGGCAATGGGGACAGTGCTGTTGACAGGATTGGTGATGATGCCGACAAAGGCTGTTGGGCAAAATTTTGCGACATCGGTAGCAAGGTCCGCAATGATGCTGGCATTGGTCTTGAAAAGGTCTTGAAAGTGTCAGGTCACTATCAACACGTCTATTTGACAAGAAAGACTTACCATCACGAGTCATTCCAGGCTTTCTAGCAATGCCTAATGCCCCCTGTCAGTGTCTTATAATTCCCAGTTCGTAGGAGTAGAGCTTACCGGCCGAGATCAGAACAACCTCTGCACCTGACAGAGCTTTTTGCAGGCCGTCATTTTCAGGCAGGTAGCCCTTGACTGGAGCGGGAGTATCAATGTGGTTAAGGTCAGTTGCCACGCCCACAGCGTGCACTACATCATAAAGCCTGAGGTCTGACACTAGAGGGCTCTTTAAGACCGTGTCGTCAGTGTAAAGACACATAGAGTATAAATACGTCTTGACGTACCGACTTGAGCAAAAGACTCAATGGCTGGCCAATTTGCCCAGAGGCTCCGAGTACAGCAACTTTGACCATTTTGAATCGAGGTTTAATGAAGTTTTGAAAGTGTTACAATGCCAAATACCGGATAGATCACGAAGTTTGTGTGCGAGTTTCACGTACTTCTTGGACATCAGTGCTGTGCTAGTTTGCCTACTTGTATAAGTGGCCGAAACATGCAGTTTAGCTCGCACACAAAGCCGAAGTTCCATTGAAAATTTACCAACAGGCCCTCGGCTTTTCGGACATGTCAGACGAGTGAGTTGTTGAGAGCTGCCGCCAGTGACGTCGCTGGCGCGGGACTAAGAAGCCGCGGCCAAATATTTAAGCGACCACATCCCCTCATCCCCGAAATGCAGCGGGCGTAATGCGGCGACGACATTTTCCACGGAAACAACATCCTCCGATATCGTCAAACGGCTCCAATCTTCGTGGCAATTATAAACCGTCATACCGATTTTCTACGAATAATCCAAAGTCAGATCTACCAGACCCCAGTCATTACCAGCACCAACCAACAACAATGGCCCCTCAAACGCTCAAAATCGCCGTTATTCCCGGAGATGGCATCGGCAAGGAAGTCATGCCATGGGGTGTCCGCGCTCTTGAAGCCGCCGCCAAAGTCTTTGGTCTCTCTCTGCAGTTCGAGACCTTCGACTTTGCGAGCTGCGATTACTACGAGAAGCATGGCGAGATGATGCCATCTGACTGGAAGGAAACTCTCCTCAAGTTTGACGCCATCTACTTCGGTGCCGTGGGCATGCCTAGCCAAGTCGCCGACGATGTCTCACTGTGGGGAAGCTTGCTCAAGTTCCGCCGCGAATTCGACCAGTACATCAACCTCCGCCCGTGCCGCTTGATGCCCGGCGTTAAGTCGCCCCTCGCCAACCGAAAGCCCGGCGATATCGACTTCTGGATCGTGCGTGAGAACACCGAGGGCGAGTATAGTAGCATTGGCGGCAAAATGTTTGAGGGAACCGACAGAGAGACTGTCATCCAGGAGACTGTCATGACCAGAGTGGGCGTCGACAGGGTTCTCCGCTATGCATTCGACCTTGCTCAGAGCAGACCCCGCAAGCGCCTTACCAGTGCTACAAAGAGCAACGGCATCAGCATCACCATGCCCTACTGGGACTCCCGCGTTGCAGAGATGTCCAAGAACTACCCCGATGTCAACCTCGACAAGTACCATATCGACATTTTGACCGCGCACTTTGTCCAACGCCCAAACATTTTCGACGTGGTGGTTGGCAGCAATCTCTTTGGAGACATCCTCTCTGATCTGGGCCCCGCTTGCACAGGTACTATCGGTATTGCTCCTTCAGCCAACATCAACCCCGATGGCAAGTTCCCCAGTCTTTTCGAGCCGGTGCACGGCAGTGCCCCGGATATCTATGGCAAGGGCATCGCCAACCCTGTCGGCATGGTGTGGGCTGGCCAAATGCTTCTTCAGCACTACGGATACACAGATGCTGCCTCTTTGGTGCTCAGGGCGATTGAAAATGTGTTGGCCCGGTCTGAGGCATCAATCATGACCCCTGACCTGGGAGGAAAGGGCACAACGGATGGGTTTGGACAGGCCATCGAGGCGGAGATCATTGCTCTGGGTGAGAAGAGGTAGAAACTGGGGACCTAGACTAGCGTTGCTGCTGTTTAAGATACGAACAGATAATGCGGACTTACACTATATCCAATGATTCATGTTTCCTGTCTCATGTATGATGCATCATTGGGACGTATACAACACGTCCGACTCTTGAAGGTAAGGTAGCCGATTAGTTGTGGGTGTGGCAACCTGCAAGACGACGATGTGGACCCGGACCGATCGAGAAGCGGAGAGTTTGCTTTCGCAGAATGGTTAGTGAACAGAACCAAGGACTTTCATGGTTAGGCTCCTGTACCTTGTGTATGAAATTGCTTGCTTCTTTGGTAAACAATGTCGATGGGCCATTTTCACTTTGCAAAATCACTGGTAATCGCGGTTGGATCACTCCACAGAATCGTGACCGGTGAGGGGCACGCCCAACAAGTGCCTGGAGAAGCAAGGATCAGGGGAAATTAGCATGCACATTGCGTGGCTACAGTGGTCCGGCGGGTGCCACGCTAGATCCGGACGCATTCCCCGGAGCCCCTGTTTCCGCTCATCACAAGGGGCAAGGAGTTCATCCACAGAACATTGTCTCTTTGGTCTTGACCAAGATGGGAGAAGGTAAAAACAAGATTTCGACATTGAGGATACTGAAGCAAAACGTCGAGCCGGCTTGAGTTATCTCCTTAGATGGTCGCCACTTCGATTGGACTTGGAAGGAGCACAGTCTTGGGGGCCACGAGGTCTGATGGAGAACGCGAAGAACGCGTCTGCCTCAAAAGAGACCGAAATACAATCCCTGTTAGCCAAGAGCACGGCTTCCTGCGCTCAAGGAAACGCTGCCGCTTTTGCCATCGCATGCAGATTTGAGATCATACCACTGCAGCATAGTGTGGCTCGCTAATGTGTCCATCTGGCACAGCAAGCCATAATCTTTGGTGCAGAAGCGAAATCTTCTGGCGCAGACAGCCCGTTGCTTTTTTCTGTCAGAGTTTGTCTTGGTGTGGCACTCACATTTGAATCAACTTGCTCAAAACCATAAGGCTGCCCATCGTGCGCGACTGAGATGACCTACCTACCGCATTCATTTCCACCGAATGGCACACGAACTCCTCGCCTGTGATGGCATCCACGGATGCGTTCGAGTCGATTCCAGATGATCCAGCCAGCCTCCCCGCCGCGGGGCTTTCAGCCTTCATGGGACAGCCGCCTGCGACACGGCACGACTACTACATCATCAAAGGCCTTTTCCGTATGGTTGGGATGAATGATGCCAACCCAATGAAGGGTTACTTTCTTGCAGCCAAACCTCCGGCGGACTACACATACGAGACGAGGCTATCCAGCATTCTGGCGGGTCTCATCTTTGTTATTCTGGCCATCGCGATTCCCACGGCCGGGAGGGTCGGACTGAGGTTGAAGAGGGGCTCGACGATGCAATTCGGATGGGATGACTGGACAATAATCATCGCAGCAGTAAGTGGAAAGCAATTCAAGATGACTGCTCGTCATTGCTAACATGGATTGTTATCCCATGTAGCTAGTTGCACTCGTCTATCCAATAGCCCAGATCACGTCACTCGCAGCAGGCGCGGCCGCCGTCCACACGTGGGAAGTCACGTACGAGCAGTATAACTTCGGCATGGTCGTTGCTATGACTAGCAAGACGACATTCTACGTAGCTGTGGGCATAATCAAGCTATCAATTGCCATCTTCATTCGTCGAATGGCAGATCACATCAACCGCTGGTGGCAGTTTTCGTGGGACATTTTCATGGGCTCATTGGTTGCCTATGTGATGCTGGCAATTTTCTATAACGTATTCGCCTGCAATCCGCCAGCGGTTCAATGGGACTTGGCCTTGCGTGGACGTCTCGAGCCCGTGCCCGTATGCATAGACTTGGGGGTACAGTCCAAGGTCCTAAGTGGCATCCATGTTGCTCAGGGACTCACGCTGCTGCTCACACCAATCATCATCTTGTGGAAAGTCCGGATGGGCGGGGCGAAGAAGATTCGTCTTTTCGTTATCTGGGCAGTTGGCGGCGTGACCGTCCTCGGCGGCCTTCTACGTCAGATCCGACCTACGATGACGAACGACTTTACTTGGGATTATGTTGAGGTCTTGGTGTGGACATGTCTAGATCTATCGCTCGGAATGTTGACTGCTTCGCTGCCAGTTTTGGATGGTCTGTTTGAGAAATACTGGCATAAGGCCCAGGCCAGCGTTGTTAAGGCATGCGGAAGAAGTCAATCTGATGGCGGGACGGACAATGGAACATGGCATTACAGCAAGACCTCCGATACCGACGGGACACAACGGAGCAAAAAGCATACCGCGAAGTCATCTATAACCATTATCGCGGAAATGAGAGATCGCTCAGAGTCAAGCGAGAGCATCGTGAAGAAGGATCAGTTGCGAGAGAACCGTGGTACGGTGATGGAGATGAATATTCTGCGGACTCAGGAGGTCGAGGTTCACGTAACGCATGCTGATGAACACCCGGAGTACATACCCCATGATCCACGAGCCCCTTCGCCTCAATGGCACAACAGGCCAGAGTGGCACGAAGAGCCTCAGGGATTGAAGCAGAGATAAGAAGAAAACGGATCATTCTCTTAACGATGCTGTGTGCAAATTAATAATTGGCATTCATTCATGTGTGAGTGTACGTTGAGCGTTTAGGAAAGCTTGACATCGATATGAACATCTTGATCAGATCAAATCGTCTTTACCCCCGATCCAATCCAGCACCAGCTTGGCGACTTCACCGTTATTCTTCTCGATATGCATAAAGTGCCCGTTTCCAAGGATATCTCTCTCTGCAAGTTTGATCCATTCAGGTTTCGCGCCGATCTGCCTCATGTATTCCACAATGCAATGATCATAAGTGACGTGAACGCTTGCCTCAGCCGTGATCATGAGGTATGGAACACTTGCGATATTGGGTAATTTGCGTGCCGGCTCGACTTGACGGAAGCAGCTGCGCTTGGCCGTGGTAGAGTTTCCAACCTCAACCCTTTTGAGCTCAGAAGGATCGGAAATAGGCGGAGTGTAGTTCAGAGGGGTATTGGCCAAACCCCAGGCATTGTTGAAGAACCCGGCAGTTCCGTATGTGTACCAAAAGAATGGAATAGTTGATGATTCAAGATTGATGTTGGCAGCCACGAGTTCCGGACAATCGTTGGAGAGCAGAATACCTGCAGAACCACCAGCGGAGTGGCCAATTACGTACGACTTGCCGATCAGGCTGAGAAGCTTGCATCCGCTAGATCGCATGGCGTTCTCGAAGGTGATGTTGTTAGTAGTGTATGGAACCATGGAGTTCTTGAAGTTTTCGAAAGTTGGATCGCCGGCTCTTCCGGTGCCGGGAAATTGTGTATGCAGTTGAGACTGGGGATAGCCGTTGTAGAACTCAGGAGCGGAGAATCCCATTTCGACCAAAGTCGAAGATGATCCCGCCGTCAATGGGAATCCCTCCAAGTCCATGTTGGTGCTCCGGCCATTGCCAACAGCATCCACGATGTACACAACGTAGCCCTCCTCAATGAAGTAGCTAGCAAATCCTTTGCGGTTGTCAGGCGTATTGAGCCAAGACGTACCACTGCATCCTCCCCCGTGGAAGAAAACGATGGGTGTTTCTCGCAGGGGAAGGACTGGGCTAAGCTTTTCGACATAGAGTTTGTCGGCGGTGAGTTCGCCGGAGGCAGTATCCAGAGCGCGACCGCCAACATAGAAAAAGTCCCTGAGGTACGGAACGGCATCGGCGTTTCGGCACTGAGGATGAATGGCGTTGATGCCGGTACAGTCGCGGTCCTCAAATCCATAAGCCAAAGGGGCCACAGCTAGCAAGCTGGCGTAAATAAATTTGAAAATCGTCATTGACAAAGAACACGATATGGGGGGGAGTATTGATCATGTGGAGGACTGGGTCGAAATCTCTTCCTTTGATTAAGCACCAACGGGCCACCAAAGTTATATACAACGGTTCCAGCAAAACAGAATGCAAATCTGCGAAAGGACGCGAGGAAGTGGATACTATGAATATTGCTGCATTGCTAGCCAGGGGCTCATGGACTACTACCACCTTGGCGAAGTGGCACAGCAGAAGCGGGATCAACTGGAGTAGGTTTTCGGTAACATGTCCGATGCTCTATGCATATTGCCCCGCGTGAACACATTTTTCCGCATGTCGCGCCGGAAGAGAACGAGAAAAGATAACTTCATGTTGTGCGAAATCCGTCAGCAACGCTTGTCGCAACAGTTGCCGTGCTTCGAGCGTCCAGGCCAATTCGTAAAACATGAGAATGTGCAACTTTCTATGTAGACATTCGTCTCTGAACCACTTGGGACGAGTAAATAAATAGCAAAGTATTGCGATAAGAAGATGTAGAAGTGTGGAATAGCGCTTTGAGAATTCAAAAGTCAACGTGTGTGATTCAGTTCAAATGTCCTATTAAACCTCAAAAAGGGCCCCGGTTTGAAATGATTGAGTTGTGAACTTATCAATAAAACAGTTCTAGTGATTCAGTTGACATGATGAAAGGCTTCTTAAAGTAGCGGACATGGACGTACGCGCCGCATAACCTGATGGTTTTCACATACATCTCACAATGACCTCCAGGCTAGTTCCGCAGAAGAACTACACAACAGCCAGCATTCCGTAACTATCGACACAATGCCAGCTTCGTCAGACTCTCTCAAAGCTCAGGTACACCGATGTAATTGTCTGACGTGCGCTTGCATCATGCCAGTCGACGCACCGCGAGATACTTGCGACTGGTGCAGAGTCATGGAACACACCCCTCTTATTATGTGGACTATTATTCGACTCATAAGTTCCAGAAACATAGATTAAGATATCAAAAGGGAGCAGAAGTTCGGGTTAAGGGGGCATCGTGGGCCGAGCAATGACAATATCAAGTCAGTGACTGGAGCCTGAGGGGTAAGGGGGGTAGAATGGTGACTAGACAGGGTCACATTGTTCGAAAGACGAATCTAAACATGAAACAGACGCGCACTTTCGTTAGAAGATCAAGTTCAAAAATGACGCCCTGCACTGTGGCTTTTGTTTGGAGATGAACTGCTTGCAGTATGAATGACTTGCCCCTGCATGGCATCACGTTGTAATGCGTTGGCCAACATTCGAAAATCAAGGGGTAATGCGTTGGCCTCATCTTTCACGAATGGAGACGAGGCGGGCGTAATAAAAAGGCACACTGTAGCAGTTTTGATGCATAGTACAACTTGGGATATGATTCAATATGTGTCCAGGTAGTCATAAGCTACTTACAACTGGCCATCCGCGTCAAAACACCACCGCCCGCCGTGTTACCACCTGCCTGTTTTTGAACACCACAACACCGCCGGAGTACATCATACATCATGTCGTTTCATGTCGTTAAAAGCCACCGTTGGGGTGGATGAGGACCTTGGTGTACCCGTCGATTCTCTTGTCGAACTTCTCATAGGCAGTCTCCGCATCGTCAATGTTAATCTCATGCGAGACGACGAAGCTGGGCTTGGCCTTGCCTGCAATGATCAAGTCACGCAGATATCTGTTGTAAGCCTTGACGTTACATTGGCCAGTGCCGAGAGAAAGTCCCTAGGATTATTTAGCAAAGCACCAATTAGCTGAAGCTTTGGGGTGCCCATACCTTCTCGAATAGCTTGCCAAAGCTAAGGCTGATCATGCCCTTTGCCGAAGCATCATCCGACGCACCCGGATCACTAGATGACGAGTTAGCTTGGTTTCACGCATCAAAGTTGTCATAGTTCTCACCTCGGAACGTAAAGTCCTGGAATACCAAGGCCACCGCAAGCTCGGGTAACTTTGATCATGTTCTCCAGAACAATGTTGGGCTGTTCCGTGTTGCCGCCTGCACTGACGGCTTGGTATCCAACGGCATCAACGGATCGGTCAACCTCGCCACCATTCGACTTTTTGATTTGCTCCACAGCATCGCCTTTTGTGAAATCGATGGGTGTGCATCCGATCTTCTCTGCGGATTGAAGACGTTCGGGAACACGGTCTACGACAAAGACTCTTGATGCTCCACGGAGCACAGCAGAGTACGCTGCCATGAGGCCAACGGGACCTGCACCAAAAACAGCAACACTCTCACCCGGCTTGAAGCCAGAAAGCTCAACACCGTGCCAACCTGCAACATCAAGTTAGTCTTTGCACCAAGTCGACAGTCAAGGATCACTCTCACCGGTTGGGAAGATGTCTGCCAGCAGGATAAAGTCGGCTTCGAACTCCTTTCCAGGAGGCAGCTTCAAGGCATTGAAGTCGGCGTACGGTACTCTCAAGTATTGAGCCTGTCCACCAGGGTAAGGTCCCATGGCGACATATCCTGGGAAGTTGTATTAGTTTACATCATTGAGGCAATAATTAGGATCAGGGCACCAACCGTAAGCACCGCCAGCAAAGCCAGGGTTGACACCGGTGCAGAATGCCGTGCGTCCTTCTTCGCAGTTTTGGCAACGCCCATCTGCGACATTGAAGGGCATGACTACGCGGTCTCCCTTCTTGAGAAGAGTGACGCCAGCACCGAGCTCTTCGACAATTCCCATGTTCTCATGACCTGTAATCCTCGTCAATACTTGGCACATGGGGCCTCGAAGTCTGTTGTAGAATAACTCACCGAATGTGATGCCAGCCTCCGCTGCAGTTCGTCCCTCATACATACTGCGACATACTTAGCTACTTCATTATTACATTCAAATTATCAGGCGTGGCATACTGCAAGTCTGATCCGCAGATGGCAGCCTGTATCGACAATCAGCTTGGCGACCCTCTTCGAGCAAGAACAGATGAAAGTGGGGTTCATCTTACCGTTGTGACTTTGACGATGACATCGTCTGGGTGTAGGATCTTTGGCAGGGACACCTCCGAAACCTTGACCTTGTAAGGTCCCTGATAGTTCACTGCTTTCATAGTAGAGGCCATGGTGATGCGTGTGGGTTGGTAAATTTCAGATGACGAGCAATGGGGATTCAAGAAACCACGAAGAGGAGCACAGCAGCACCCATCCTTATTTATCCCACTCACGAACCCCTCACGAAGGAGCCATTATCTCCCAAGAAATCACCAAGAATAAGTGCCATTGTATGACATCGACCCCGGGTGACCGGCTGTCACACGAGGCAGCTTCTCTCCCGCGGAATATCTTGCTAAACTGAGATGGGGGCTGCGCCGCTGCGGGGTAGCGGGCGGGAAACTTTTGCCAAGACGCGGGGATGCCGCCGCGGGCCAGTTTGTGTCCGGCAGGTTCGAGTGTGACGGGAGGATGGCCGGAGTGGGGGATGAGAATAAGTCCGAGTGGGAGGGGGATCAATCCCGAACCCCCGAGCCTGAGCTGTGGCCCGAATCGGCGAATCATTACCATTCCTAGATGGCGCGGGGAAGAAGAAGTAGGCAGTTCTAGCTCATCCGAGACCCTCCCCCACTCTTAGCAGACGATGAGACGACTGTTCTTAGACACATCGAATCATTCCTCTTACCCCAAGTTTGCTCCTGCATGACGTATTTGGAGAAGTGGAGGGCGACACTTTTTGGAGACACGGATAATGGGTCTCAATCAATAGAGCAAGCCGCTGCTAGAATCCTGGACGTTGCAACAGTTCTCCGCATGTGTCGCCGAATATTGCTCGTCTTGGTTCATTCTACCATTTCTGCAAGAAAGGGCATGCTGCATGTTTCAGACAAGCCGAGGCACAATGCGCTCCAACTGTTCAAGATGCGTCTATAACCGCACTTTGAGTGCCTGGACCAGGAAGAGTAAAAGCCTCACAGCTCCCAGGTTCTTCGGGAGTATGTGGGAGTGCCTTGGATCTTGGCTGCATTCATGCTAAACGACGGCGGTAGCTGTGTTAGGCAAGTGAAGATGTAAGAAACTCGAGGTACGTTATCAGTCCCAACAGAACCTAGCTTCATTCGATTTACTGATAATCCATCAAGCTGCAACGACCCCATTATGTGCCAGCAAATTGGCACTTCCCTCTCGCGCATCACCGACAACTCCCTTGAGCCCGAGCTCAGTCAACTTTTCCCGTACGGTAGCTGCGTCGGGCATTTCGTATACGCTCCGCAAATATGCGACGAGGCCGGCAACATGAGGCGAGGCCATCGATGTACCAGAAATCGTCGCCGTAGATCCCGATGTCTTCCACAAAGACAAGATGTCGAGACCAGGTGCGAATATGTCAACATCAGGGCCGAAATTGCTCCAGTCAGCCCGTGTCCAATTCCACGCGACTGCACCGACGGTAATCGCCTTCGAAGCTGAGGCCGGTGACTTAGCTCCGGCGTCTTTCCCGTCGTTCGCGGCAGCTACGATGGTAGTGACCCCGAGATCGAACGCAGCATCAACTGCGGCGTTGATGGCTTCGTTCTTGGGGACAGCTGATACAATATTCAGCTCGGTGGGACTAAGTCTCTGGAAGCCACATACCTATACTGATGTTGATCACCGCCTTCGCAATGCGTCCTGGCGTGTTTGTGATGTTGTTCACGGCCCAGCTGTAGCCGTCTAGCATATGAGCAGTGGTAGTATAGCCCTGCGCGCCATCTTTGTCAGTAACTCGCCAACTATCTTCCGGGAGTACTCACAATTCCTCTAGCAACCTTGACGTCGAAGATAGTTGATTTCTTAGCTACGCCGAAGGTTACAGAACCAATTGTACCTGCTACGTGAGAACCATGGCCAAACTCATCATCAAAGGTTTCGCCGGTAGCAGCCCAGGCGTTATAACCCTTGAAAGCTCGACCCTCGAACTCGGGGTGTGCCACAGTAACACCGGTGTCCATCACATATGCAAAGCTCCCTTCTCCAGCTGCACTATCAAAATGGTACGGATACCCGGCGTTATTGCCGTCGACCAGTGGTGCAGGGGACGATAGAGTTGCAAGACCCCATGGCGCATTAACCTGGGTCGTTATAGCCGTGACTTCAGCTACGCGGTCTTCTTCCACCGCAACAACCTGTAATATCGATATTTCTGTCAGTCCAACAGGCTCTCTTTCGTTGCCTGAAACTGCAAAACTTACGTTCTTGTCCTGCTTGATCTGCTCAAGCGTTTCATGATCGAACTCCCCAGCGTATGCGCGAAAGCCTCCAAATTCAAATGTCTTCTCCACACCAGCTGTGTTGCGTCGCATCAAGCTGCGCGCATGCACTGCTCCGACCCACTGCAAGTGATGGTCAAAATCGGCGTCGACCGTGTTTGGTGCGATTCGTACGATATACTTGTCTAGGACGATGTCGTTCGCCAACGCGTCACTGGCAAGTGGGATCGAGAATGCAGGCAAACTTAGCCCTAGAAGCAGAGCTATTCGCTTGATATGGGCCATGGTGACGGAGACTTGCATGAGAAGAACAGAAAGCTGGCTACCAACGCATGCATCATGCAGGTCTTTATCTGCGAGATGGAAAGCTGCTCAGCCCAATTAGAATGCTCTCTACTCGTATCTAATTTTGCTAGTCACTGTGGTAATGCAGCTTGGTGCAAATCTCCTGCATGGCCTTTAGAATATCTCTACTGAGCTGCAGGAGCTTTTGAATTATCGTGGTGTACCTAGTAGCCAAGACGGAAGAGTTCTCTACAGGGAAGGTGGGCAAGCTGAATCCTTGCTAATCGGCCTGGGAGCGGATTCAATGCAACTCCTCCAAGATGGCTGTACCCGCTATCAGAGCTCTTGGCGTCCAGATATGTCTCAACAACCATTAAAGATCACCACCGCCTTGAATGGCGTGCTGAGCGGTCAGATAGCGGTTCAATGCTACTAAGATTGTGATTTTCCATGAATGCATACGAAAACCCTCTGAGGCTACTCTACTTCTAGACAGGATTCAAAGAAGTGAACAATGGCTTCTCAATCTCCTCGGGGTTCAAATACCAGGACACGTCTTTGTTGTCCACCTCAATGTCAGTGAACCCGTTACCCATGAATTCAAATCGGTTTCGACTTCGATATTTGATGTTGTAGTCCTCCCATCTGGGCTGGTTCGTCATCAAGCGCCAATGAACCAGGGAGCCAGGATAGTGGGCGATAACCTTCCCGTCTGGCTTCCCTTGGTTGTACCAAGAGCGACAGCCACCAGCCCAAACACTGCAGATAATTGTTTTGTCAGTGATCCTTGATAAAATGCGTTGCGTGGACATTGCCATGGACCACAGGGCTTACCTTCTTTTCAGCCATTCGTGTACGTGCTCGTTATATTCTTCCAGAACCTCAGCCTTGACGTCGATCGATCGAATATTGTCGACTTGGATCTTCCGAATCACCCTACAGAGATAGGTGAGAGCCGCCTCGAGAACATGTGTCAGAGCTCCATGGGCTAATGGGGCATTCGGACCGAGTGATCCAACTTTACGATCAATGTATCAGCCACGCACGAACGACGTCTCTCTATTTTCGCAGGGGGGGAACGTACGCATGAAATTTGGAAACCCGTTTACTGCAAGTGCAAGATAAGCCGCTGGGTCATCTTTCCAGACGTCAGCGAGATTTCGGCCTTGGCGCCCGACAACTGGGAAGAAAGGGCAGTAGCTTGTGTCGAAGCCGGTAGCGCAGATGACGACATCCGCCTCGTATTTCTTGCCATCAACAGTTCTAACGCCTTTCTCTGTGAAGGCTGCGATGTCTCCATCACCTAACTCCACATTATCCTCATGAAACGATTCCAGGAATCCTTCCGCCGGACCAATTCGTCGGCACCCCGCAGGGAACGATGGTATGAGACGCTTGATTAGCCGCTGATCACCTTTCAGAGCAGCGGTCATGCTTTTTTCAAGTAGCTATACAGACCTAGTTAGCTGGGAATCTGAACCGAAGCATAAACTACGTTGTACCTCGCGGCCAAAAGTTTGGATAGGGTGGTTAAGAATGTTAAAGGGGAACCCTTTGATGATGCTGTCTTCCATCTTCTTGCGATGTTCTAGATGAAGCTTTGGGTCGTTTTGAAATGCTTCAATCTGTTCTTTCGTATCTATCGAGAGTTAGATTTGACTTCAGTCGTGATGAATGTGGGTGTGTCCGTACACGAGAAGTTCTGGCCGCTTTCCGTGTAGCCCTCGAGGGGTACACCACCACTGACCCATTGCGGCGTGCGATAGAAAGATGTCACTTTCTTCGCATCTGGTTGAATCGCAGGAACAATTTGTACGGCGGAAGCTCCGGAGCCAATTACTATGACCGACTTGTCCTTCAGGTTCACAGACGTATCGTACGCTGCTGAATGCATCATCTTGCCTCTGAAGGCTTCCCGGTTGGGAATGTCTGGCCATTTCCAGGTGTTCATGATGCCGATACTGGCGACTAGAAAGTCAACTTTGTCTTGGAACCGTCTTTTTTCGCCATTGTCAAGCAGCTCATCAATGTCCAGGATCCACTGGCTGGTCTCTTCGTTCCAGGTCGTCTGCACGACCTCATGGCGTAGTTTGATGTACTTTTCAACGAAGCCGCACTCTTCGGCAAAGGATTGATAGTACTTCTGAATCTCCTCTGCAGGAGCGCAGTACTGGGACCAGTCCGGTTTGGGATAGAACGAGAGCTGATAAGATGGCGACGGAATATCACATCGACAGCCCGGGTACTTATTCACGTACCACACACCTCCACAGGCTGGGTGTCCTGAAAAGAAAGGAAATCAATAATTCCACTGGAGAAAGAATACTGTTAGAATGAACTCACGGTCGTATACGACGAGATCAATGCTCTCGCCAAACTCCTTCTCTTTCTTGTAACACAGGGTCAGTCCAGAAGCTCCAGCACCGATGCAAGCAACCCTGAGCTTCCGTGGTGCCCAAAGAATGTGCTCTGAAACCTTGTAGGGCCCATTATATTGATGATTCAAAGGAGTTCCGCCGACTTTGTTATCGAATGTTAATGGTACGGTGTCCGGATCAGGCTGCGCCTGCTCCACGTCCGACATCCTTACTATCTGGCCAGGACGATCCGGACCGTAGTTGCAAAGCGATTGCAATCTGACAGAAAGTTTCAGATAGAAAACTTTAAATGACAAAATCAAAGCTCAGTCCAAGGAATACCTGTGGGTGCCGATCAGGGCTGCTATGCATGTGTTCGCGTTTTCCCTCGGGCGAGCAAGGATCCCCGCTCGTATCACGGCATTGGCCGTTGGTGCCAGATCTCGGAATACAGACCGCATGCACTTCCCCGCGAAGAATGGGGCATTTCCATTTACAGACTCGATATAAGTATTTGGTGGGAGCCGGGGGCTTTGGCGGCTTCCAATTGAAGCGGCACTAACGAAGTGATCCACCCCGCATCCCAGCCTTGGCTCGTTCAGAGAAGTAGCTTATCGGAGACGACTGAATGGCCATGACTTCCATCTTGGCTGCGTCAATTTGAGGTATTTAAATAAGCGTTTGTGCTGAGTCTCTGATTTCAACCTCCATATCGAATGTGTTTTATGGATCTGAACATGAGCTAGCCTCAAGTCAACTCGTTTAAGGCCATATAAAGCATTCGCGGATGGCCGCCAGCGCTTATCAATCATTATTTCAGATTTAAATACTATCAGAGGAAGATGAAGGGATGGGATCGGATTTGAGGCAGATTGAGACTTCATTGTGTCGTCTTGAGGGTCACGGGAACTCATGGACTCGGAACAGATCATGCTTAAATGAGTAAATTATTTAGCTCAATAGAGTAGACTTGCCACAGGTAGTCGACTATCACAAACGGGACTCCGTCTTGTTTGCCTCTCGCCTCCTCTTTTCAATCTCTCTCAGGTTGCGCCGAAGGATCTTTCCAGCGGCACTCTTAGGGATCTGGTCAATGAACTCAATCCCTCCGAGAAGCCACATATACCGTGCCTTTAGCCCCTCCACATGTTTTTCTAGTTCTTGCGCTGTCTCTTGAGACTTGTTGACGCCTTCTCTTAGTACTACAAAGGCTTTAGGCACCTCACCGGCGTACTCGTCCGGTATACCGATGACTGCAACGTCTGCAACCTTTTCATGCCCATGAAGAGTGTCCTCTAGCTCTGCAGGGGCTACTCCGTGACCCTTGACCTGGAAGACAAGGGCATATTAGCATAGTCATTCAAAAATTCTTACATTCATAGCAGGTTCTCTATATCACCATACTGACCTTGATCATCTCCTTGATTCTATCATGGATAGTCACGAAGCCATCTGGCCGCATGATGCCCAGATCCCCGGTGTGTAAGTAGCCGTCTTCGTCATATGTTTCGCTTGTTGCTTTTTTGTTGTTCAGATAGCCCATAGTAACCTGAGGGCCGAGGGCCCATATCTATGACAAATCTGTGATTAGCGTACGAAGTCTACAGGGCAGCTGTTGAATCGTTCGCGAATTTACCTCGCCTTCCTCACCATACCCAACCTCTTTGCCAGACGCGGGATCGACCACTTTGACCTGCGTGCCTGGAACCAACTTCCCCACCTTGTCAGCATTCGCATAGACCTGTAGATCCTTGGGAGTAGTCGTGAGGCAGCTGCAACTCTCCGTCATTCCATACGCTTGTCTGAGCTTTGCTTGAGGGAAATCTTTGGCGAGTTTCTCGATGACTTGTGGAGACAGGGGTGCTGCTCCAGTAGTGAGCTGCCTGACGAATGATAGATCATTCTTTCTGGCCACCTCCTCATTGACCATGCGGATCAACAGTGCTGGGAAGTAATTAGCCCGGTAAAGGTAATCAGAAAAGGAATACTTACGAGGAACTAGCCATAGTTCCTTGCACTTGTACGACAGAATAGTCTTCATCATGTCTGCCATGTTGAACTTGCTCAACAGGACGACGTCTTGATCGAACATGATTGGCACGTGCAGAAATTGCAGTAGCCCAGTGACTGTGTAAGCAGGCCTGGATTAGCAAAAAGATTGTAGCAACGATAAGATGCCACATACTGTGGTAGAAAGGCAGCGGGGCCAGGATCGTCTCCCTTGTTCCAGGGTCCATGGTATCCATCTGGCGACACTGCGCAATGACATTGGCATGAGATATCATAACCTGAAGTTCAGTCAACACTCAACTGATACTCTCAATTGGCTAAATCATGGGCAGGTCTCACTGCCTTGGGTAATCCAGTTGTACCCGAGCTGAATGGTAGATAGGCGCAGGCCTTTTTGTTTGATTGAGTCGCCGGCAATTGCCAGTGGGGAACCTGCCCCTGTACTTGAGAGGAGCAGCCTTCTTCGACCAGAGTCCCAATGGACTTCAGGTCCTTGACATCACAGTCAACAGAAACGAGATGATCCGAATCAATGTTCAGACGAGAACAAGCAGGTCGAACTTGGTTGACGGTTGACTCATCGACAAAGACAATCTCGGCACCGGAGGTTTTGAGGAAGTACTCATAATCTGGGGTCTTGGCCTCATGCGGCAAGGGCACCACGATGGCGCCTAGCCGTATGGCTGCAAACAGTGCAACTGGGTACCAGACCGAGGTCCTGCAAACGATTGCGACCTTAGTGCCAGGTTCGAGACCATAGTTGCGGTTCAGAGAGATGGAGGCAAGGGTCGCGTATGTCTTTAGGGCTTGAAATGAGATGCGACGTCCTGACAACCCGTCGATGAAGGCATTCGCTCTACTGCCATAGGGCTGCTTCTCGAACAACCAATCCCAGATCGTTAGGGATTCGGACACTGCGCCCGGATATCAGCGAGGGGCTTAGGCGACATGGATGCGAAGGGGCTTGACGCCAGCTTACCAGGGTCCAACGGCGGTCCGGTGAATGGCATGTTCGACTAAGGGGGCGCGGTCCCAAGATTAATGACCCTTGCTGAAAGTCAGCCTACGAATATGGAGGGTAGAAAGAACGTAAAGTTCGAGCTTTTGGGCTGGGTGTATGGGATGCCGGGATCGCTTACCCGGTTGTGCAACAAATGCCGGTGCGGGGAAGCTGCGGTCTACCGACGGAACGAAGCCAACCACCTTGGCTGTGGTAATAGTATGCCCGCAGTGCTGATGACCTCATAGTGCAATCAAATACGTTCCCGAATCACTGTTTCAGATGCAGGAAGCAGGAATTCGCCAATGATATTCGACCTCATAAAAGCAGAATCTCCCCCTTACATCGATCGGATCGGACAGACAGGTTCTAGCCGTCCATTAGGTCTGACAGAATATCCAACTGCTAGAAGGTCGTGATCGTTCATATGGGTCCAAGATGCAGTTTAACGCGCCACGGCGCTTAATACCATGTCGGGGTATGAGTCCGCGAGATGTTTCGAAGATATTTACATAGGGTCGTGATGTCAACTCATGCTTAATTGGCGAGTCAAGAGCGCCGAGTTCAATTTCTTGTTTGGACAATGTGATAAAGTGCATACCTTGTCCGGCGAGAAGTCCGATAGCTTGTTCCTTCTTGGCACAGCACACAGCCCGTGTTTTCTAGCTGAGTGATCATTACTGAATACACCCGCAAGGAAGCCACACTAATCCCACCGGCAATCTATCGCGTTACAGTCATACCGTAACGCCATAGACAACAAAGCTGAATTGGGGCCCATTTACTACGTAGTATCGTTCGTCCCATGCCATGAGGCTTAGCATTACCTACCAATTTCCTCGCAGGGTCAAGCATGGGGGCCAAGCATGATGTTTCCCCACGACATCGGACTCAGATCACTTTCTGGCACTCCCTAGAGATAGGCTCAGCCATTGAGGCTCCGAGGAGCGAGCCCGCCAGTGCCTAAAGCAGAAAATCTGGCCAGCTGTGGGGTGCCTAGTTAAGGGGTCTTCCCATTTAGGATGACAGCCTCAACTGGGCCAAACCCTGGTTCATTCTCCTCGGCCAAACCGTTTGAGGTCGACAACGTGCCGATATCGGTCTCCGCAGAGCAGCCAGAAGCTCTGCGTGATGCCTGGAAGCTACTGGGGCCATCATGAGAGGCTAGAATTATAAGCATTGAATAGCAGCCGCGAGCAAAGCAATTAAGTTTCAAACGTTTGTTTATGCGGAATGAATTGAGTTTCTGTGATTGAAACGCGTGATCGGACGAACGACACGCTGGGACTTCGGGTCTGACTCGCGTCTCCCGGGCCGCATCCGAATGGAGGTTGTTCTCCGCGAGCTTCACAGGTCCGTGATCACAAATAGACTACCAATGGCACGAGGGAGCGAGAGCGAGCTAAACCTGGGGAAGAAGCTTGACTTCTCGGAAGTTCGCCGGACCCGCGTTTTGAGGCCTTCGGTGTCTTATCAGCCTATCAGGCGTATCATCAGACATGTGTTTATCGGCAGAATTGGAACATTTTGGAGCATAACCATTCAAGACTAATAACATTATCGGTTGTCAGACCTCAGGTTCAACAGCTTTGATGTACCGACACGTGAGTTACAGATTCGTGAGTCGGTTGCTAATCGAAACGTCAACCGGCCACATCCGCCTGTAGTCTGTAAGATGGAGCGTAGGGACCGGGCGAAGAGGCCGGGGCTCCAGTGGACCGAGACGTTTTTTTTTACTCCGATGAAATACAACGTGCAACGATCCCGAATCCTTGACTGGTCAGCCAGTACCTCCACACTCCGCAGGCTTAATGGCTTTCAGCTCTACTCTTGCGGCGGTATTATCAACCCCAGCCAGTGATGAGGCGCGGTGGACTACGATCTCGTTTGGGACTCAATCCGATATCCCCAGTGGCCTGTTCCCGGTCTGGCCGTGATAGTGATGCTTCACGGCAGTGATAGCACAGCCTTTCAAGGCTTCACATTCGAGTATAAAGTCTTTAGGTTTCTGCATGGTCTGGAATCGAGATCTTGAGTCTTCACAGCAACAATCAGTCGCCACTCATTGACACGTTCATTCTTTCTCGACAAGAGTCACACAGTCTTTTCGGAATCAACCTTTCCTGATCATCTCTCTACACTCTCTTCCCGCTACATAGAAACTGCCTCCTCGATATGCAGTCGTCTCTGTTCACTCTCTTTGCCGCGCAGGCCTTCATTGGCACGGCGATTTCGGCTGTCCTGCCGGTACGGGATGTAGTACCCCCTAGCTCGGCCCTGCTTCGTCCCGTTAGGCGGCAGGCTTCAATCCCGGCAACTCCTCTCGGCCCTGCCAAGTTCACGCCCAAGATCAATGTCACTCTAGATTATGAGGGTCTCAACGCAACCAACGCATTGGTTCACGCTGAGATGAAGCAGCCCTCAGTGCTCCTAGAGCACATTGATACCATCACCGACATCACCTGCTCCGACACTGATGTCGTTCTCAAGTTCAGTGCTACCGAGGACTACAACTCGTGCTTGAGCTCTTGGCCGGCAAAGAACTTTACCATGATTACCAACCACAACGGCACCTGCGACAGCGAGCACGAGCGCGGAATCTATGTCATCTCAGGATACACATTCGATAACACCACACTCACTTTGACCGCATCATCCTCCAGAGTCCAAATCCGTGACCAACTGAACGATGCCGTTATCGATTTCACCCACACTGGCACTGCCACCGCCAAACGCGATCTCTCTGGCACAATCTCTGCCGACCTCTCTGGCACCACACTCGTTGCATCCGACCCCTTGACTATCGTTGCCAACGAAGCCAAGCTCGACACCACCGTTACCCTCAGCGGCCACGTCCACTACAACTTCTGGAAGTTCAAGGTGGATGAGTTTTACATCGAACTTGACTACTCCTCCGATCTAAACCTCGCTATTACCGCCGCGGTCAATGCCCAATACTCCACCAACCTCTACAACTATGACCCTCTTTCCGTTACTGTTTCCGCTTTCTCTATCCCGGGCATCATTGACGTTGGCCCCATGGTCGACTTTGGTCTTGGCATCGAGTTCGCCGCCTCAGGTTCCGTCAACGCCACTGTTGGTGTGGTCAGCTCTATCCCTGAGGCTACCGTCCACCTGGACTTCCTCAACCAAGCCAACACCGTTGCCACTGGCTGGAAGCCCCAAACCAATGTCACCACGGACATCAGCGCCCAGGTTGAGCTTCAGCTGAACCCTTACGCCGACTTGACAGTGGCTCTCGGCGTCAAGCTCTTCAACGGCCTGCTCGACATGTCCGCTGGTATTGAAGCAAAGCCTGAGATTGTTAACGCTTTCGCCGTCGATCTCGACTTCACCTACACAAGTGCCAGTGGAGTCACCTTCACGAAACCCACCGGAGACCAGTGCATCAACGGCGCATGGTTTGCCAGCACCTTCCACTTCAACGTTGATGCCTTTGTCACTCAGTTTTATACTAAGTCTTTGTACGAGGTCGAGATCCCAATCTACGAGTCTCAATGCTGGAACTTTGTCAACTAGTGGCTCGTTTGACCTCACTCGAGAATTCTTCTGTGTACATATTGAGTTGGATCTTTTCATCTGGGAGATTGGGTTACGGGACATTTTGCACATTTATGACGCTAGATTTCTTTCATTTTGTCGGTTATGAATATACCTATGGTTCAAAAACTTGCATCGGTCTACATGGATGCTTATTAATCTACCCGATGACATGATCGCGAACTTCGTCATGGCACTCGGCATGGCGGGAACTTTCGTGCTGAGGCTCTCTACTGTGATGGCTAGGCAGCGTGCTGAATGGGACTTTGAGAGGGGTCGCCTCCTCCAATCCTTCAGTACCCGACATGCAGATGCTAATTAGCGTCATGACGTGATACCTCCTCAATTCTGCAGCATTCATAGGTATGATTGATAAGCACATGGAGTCCTTGTGAGTGAAAAACTACACCTAACACCCGCTCGCCGAGACAGTCCGCAACATCCAAAACAACTTTGATCTTCGGAGATAAGTCTCTTTCACGAAACCTTTCGACGCTTAACCTTCATCATGGCCGAACATTCTGCGGTCAAGTTAAGTGATGGAGCATCTGTGCAAGTTAAGTTGCTCGGTGACACCGATAAGACAAATCCCCTTCTCATTGCACTCCATGGTGCACCCGGCCTGTCAGACCACAGGGAGCCTGAATCGTCGTTTGGGTTTCTTGCCTCAAACTTCAGAGTGCTTGTCTACGACGCCAGAGGAAGTGGTGAAAGTGACTTGAAACCGCCATACACTGATGCTCGATGGGTCGCCGATGTGGATGAGCTCCGGTGAGGAAACCCTCATTGGTGCCGGATTGAAGAAAACCACTGACCTTCTGCAGAAAATGGGCGGGAGCCGAGAAGTTCATTCTAGCAGGAGGTTCATACGGTGGCTTCGTTGCCCTTCAATACGCCATAGTCCATCCAGACCGTCTTCTTGCACTCGTACTTCGAGACACCTGGGCAAATGGTCTCCGCGGAAGCATCAACTTCTTGAAGAACATTCTTACCAGCGACCGTATCCAGCCAGACGGGGATCGACAGGTGCGTCTCGTAAGCGGCGGCGTGAGGAGCAACGAGGATTTTGCAAACGCCTTTGCGGAAATTGTTGGCATCTACACTCCGAAGAATGGGTCGACAGATTCGAAATCTGCATCGTCGACTTTCGAGGGCAACGCCATTGCGGAGACACATCATTTGCATTATGAAACCCACAACTTTGCCTTTTCTCACAACATACCCCGCTTCGATGTTCGATCGAAGCTGAAGGATATCACAGCGCCGACTCTCGTAGCCACTGGCAGACTCGATGTTGTCGTGCCGGTCGGTTATGGCGAGGAGATCAGCCAAGGGATTCCGCAAAGCGAGCTGGTAATATTCGAGAAGTCGGGTCATATCCCGCCCTCGGATGAGCCCGAACTGTTCCAGAAAACGGTGACTGAATTTCTGGCGAAGTGGATCGAATGAAGTTGTCTAGATGACGTGGTGTATTGCTTGGCACGTGTTTGTCGGTCAAATCGAGCGTTGATCTAATCTTGACAATTGAAGAATTTCTCTATGTGGAGGGCGCATCTTTGATCAACCTTCCACGCACGTACACACGTGCAATATTCCGATCATCGCCCGTCATTAGGAACTTTTCAAACACCGTTCTCAAAGTATCTGACTCCTCCCTAACAGTCATCACACCGAAGGACTCCAACGGGCAAGTGATCCATAGAGCATCGAACTCCTTGCCTGCGGCAAAACTGCCAATCTTGTCTTCAAGACAGCAAACCCTAGCTCCGCCCAATGTCGATAAGTAGAAGACTTCGTCCAGAGATAGCGCCTTGTCTTTTCCGTCAGACATTACCTCACGAGCATTCGAGGCGATCACTGCTTGACGGATGCTGTCGAGCATGCTGGAAGAAAATCCACCTCCACTGTCAGTACCAAGGCCGACTTTGATGCCCCTTGCTAGGAATTGGCGAATGGACGCCGCCATGAAGCCACCGCCAACCGTCATGTTCGAGATCGGACAATGGGCAACACCACATTCATACTCTCTGATCTTCTGCATTTCATAATCGGTCATGAATGTGCAATGTGCAAGAATCGAACGCTGGTTCAGCAGCCCGAAGTGGTGGTACAGGTCCGCCTCGCTGGAGAACTCGGGAAACAGCTCACGCGTCGCCTTGATCTCTTGCTCCGCTTCGTTGAAATGAGTCTGAATTGCCAGTTTCGTATCCTCCTCAGCCATCTTCCCCAGCCCAGCAAGTAGCTCGGGAGTGCAAGAGATTGCGAAGCGTGGTGTAAGCACTGGGCGCACAAGCTTTCCCGTGGGATCGATGTTCCTGATGTGCTTCACACACTCCACCGTCTCCTGCAGCGACGACTCAGCTGAGGTATCATGGAGGTAGCTGGGGGCGTTGCGGTCCATGTTGCATTTTCCTACAAAGGCTCGCTGACCCTTCGATAGGCAGATGTCTGCGAGAATTTGCGTAGCTTCGGCATGTTTTGAGCCATAGTAAGACGCCGTCGTAATGCCTTGTTTGAGAAATCCATCGACACAGCTTTCGTAGACCTTCCGAGCATATTGAGGGTCTGAGAATCGGGCTTCGTGGGGAAATGTGACTTGATCGAGCCAGTCGAGGATGTGCAGGCCTTGGCCAAGACCCCTCATGGCCCATTGAGGAGCATGATTGTGCGTATCGATGAAGCCCGGCGATAAGAATTGGCCTTTAGGGATTGAGCGAAGTTGGGCGGTGGCAGGAACCTTCTTTGACAGCTCTTCCGCGGAGATGTCTTGGAAAAACTCGGTTATGACACCATCGCCGTTCACAATAAGGCCAGCATTCTCCAGGATCTCGACCTCGTTGGGTCCGAGCGAGTGGATGATGGCTCCATGAAAAGCGTGTCCTTGAGCCATTTTGCAATAACCCGCAGCTGACCAGATCCGATTTCTCTGGTTGAATCTTGTTGATCTGAGATCAAGCAGTGTTGTCGACGAAGTGTCTCATAATCGGCTGCAAGAGATTGGGAAAGAACGTGAATGATATGAAAGTCGAGTGATAATATGACCAGCACATGAGGGGCACAGGGATATTTGGCGCGAATTGTGGGTACGTAAGCGTTGCGATCTCGCTTATCTTATCGACTGCAGCAGCTTTCGGCTGAGTTCGGGCGAGTTTCCGAATCGCTTCAACTTTCCCTTGGAACATGTTGCTCATAGCACACATCAATGGGTCGCTGCTGAGCAACAGTTTACCTCACGGACTGACTAAATCGTAGATACCTTCTATTCTCATATCGATTCGTGAGGACTCAACCCGTCGTTTCTGAGTCCTTGGCTCAATCGATTTAACCCCACCTACGGTAAGCCGGGAGCTCACCCGATACCTTCGGCAACGAGCAATCGGTACATCGCAGCCATGACAGACGACGCGGCAGAGACCTTGCGTACTACACAACGAGCGCCAAGAAGCTGTCGGTCATGCGCATCTCGGAAGGTCAAGTGCGACAAGGCCTCCCCTTGTCTAAGATGCATCCGTCGAGGGGACGCAGACAAGTGCGTTCGAGAAACAGTTATTGTTCGTGGAGAAGTCACCAGGTTGTTTACCATTTCTCCATTCCATACCCACAACCAATACTTACTGTGTAACCTAGAGGAAATGATCCCACAGATGCCCCAACGTACGAAGATTTGGTGCGGGAGAACGAGCGCTTGAGAAGTGCTCTGTCTATCCGATCAAGCGTGCATCATACCCCAAATTCACCCTTGCTGAAACCTCGAAAACCTCAGCGGCTACTGGAATGTCACGATGTTCTTGAAGAAATGGTCTTTGATCCGAGACAAAGACCAAAGTCTTCGGGTCGGATGTCAAGCTGGGACGAGATCACTTCGTGTTGTCCCAATCAGGAGGCCAGTGAGCAGCTCATTGCGTATGACAAGACGTGGAATTCTTGGGTACACTATGCTCTCGAGTATCCGACCTTTCAGGATGAGCATTCCAAATTCATGGGAGCTCTCAAGAACGGCGCTCTCCTATCAGACTGCGACCCGGCCTGGCTATCTCTCTACTTTGGTGTGATTACGGTGGGCTTTTGGCAACTCACCACTATCTAAGAAGCTTGCTAACGGTCGGGACTTCTCAAGGCAGCTCTTCTAATGATGGATGATGAGGAGGCAAGTTTGATTTTGCCTGGGAGTAAGGATGGCTTTTCACAAACCCCAATCTTTTATCCTCATACTGACGCTGTAACCCTTTTTGCAGAAGACCATCAACGTGTTCTTCAAGACTGGTACGAATCTGCCTTGTTCTGCATGTATCGGGCAGACTTTATGCGCACTCCCCAGATTCATATTGTGCAAGCCGTTGCAGTGCTTGGGATGTGCTTTTACAACTTCGGCGACTCTGAACTAAGCAGACATTTATGGAGCTGCGCCATTCGTACTGCGCAGACCCTTGGGCTTGATGGATCTCGAGGTGACGATATTCCAACTGAAATGAGTCAAGAGGCTCAGCACAGGCTGTGGTGGACGCTTGTTATATGCGAATGGTAAGTTAGGTCATGAACTCAATGCCACGGCTGTTCTTGCTGACGAACGGTTCAGGCTCGCGGTTCCGTACCATGTTCCACAGGTAGATGAAGGCGACTTCAATGTTCCACTCCCTTCGCGCGATCCTGAGCATGACATACCTGGCGGTATCCAGCCTTTCCAGTACCACATCTTCATGGCACGAACATCAATCGTTTACCATCGATTTCGGTCAGCATTGCGAGAAGGGTCGCGGCCGATTGCAGAAGTTGTTCGACTGGCTGATGATGAGCTAGCAGAGGTCATCAATACTTTGCCAGAGCATCTGCAGCCGGACGGTGGTAAGCACAAGAGAATGCAGAACCTGGAGATTGAACATCCGTGGATCAAATGGCAGCGGTTTGACATTAGTCTTGTGCTACTCCATCATCGCATGCGCATCAACAGGGCGCTTCAAAAGCAGTGGATGACATCTCCTGGGCAATACGAGTGGGCAAGAACAGTCTGCATTAGGTCTGCCATGGATATCATCTGGATCACACATAACTGGGACCAGCCAGCTGCGATGCGAAGACAATGGTATGGGTTCTATGCTTGTGAAGTGGGTTCCATGAAGCTCCCAACTGACAATAGCAACGCAGGGCATTATCTTTGCATATATTTGTCGCCGCTATCTTCCTGCTGAGAGAATCTCGCAGGGCTTCCCCCGATCCCGAGGTCGACTTCAGTGATGAAGTACAACTAGCTATCCGATACCTCGATGAGGTCAAGTCCCGCAATGCAATTGCAGATCACGCATCCGACATCTTGCGCGACTCTATCAAGCATATGGATGACCCAATGCTTTGATGAGATTTCCAGCTCACAAATTGAACCCGAACGCTGTTTTCGCATATCCGTCAAACCCATCAAGTCCTACATATCCCTCAAGCGTTCTCTCATCCAGGACGTTCCCTTCGGCATAGTCCGGTGGCGGCCGACCCGCCCGAGTCTCTTCAAGCTGTCTCTTGACATATACCCTGTTATTAGGGGTCGATGGACATGCAGCTATGTATACAACGGATGCATTCTCCGTTCCATGATGCTCTGGGTCCACTGCATGGCACACCTGTGCAACCATAGTCAGCATTCAAATCGTTCGAGGTCTGAAATGGATACCTACATCAGTGTGCCACCAAACTGTATCTCCAGGCTCCATCCTAGGGATATGCACCAAGCATTCCTCGAGTCTCAGGTGCGGATGCGATGATCGACTCAAGCGCTGGCTCTCCGTCTTGAACGTTCCCGGGAACCAGCTTGTGGAATCATCCAGAGTCCACTTGCTCGCATCCATCACATCAGTAGGGTCTCTTGGAGGCTTGAAAAAGGGTCGAAGCATAACGTATGACACCACAGTTGCAACGTTCGGGTACACAAGAAGGGTCCCTTCGTTCGGCACCGCTCTTGTCAACGCTGTCCAACCCTGGAAAGAGCGGAACACGGAGGAATGCGCGATGCCAGGGTACAGCTCTTGGTCGGCGGCCTTCCGCAGGCCGAGGTCGTAACAGTCGTGCAACTCAGGCCTGCCGGAGAAGATGTTACCATATACCTCCCGATACGTCTTGTCCGCCCATCGGCAAAGACTGCCAGCGTCGATATGTGGGCCAAGGCCAAGGAAGTCTTGTCTTGGTGGTCTGTCTCTAATGCCGTCGTAGTAAACCAATGGATCAGGAGACGTCTCTTCGTCGTAGTTGTGCCAGAGTTCATTCAGCAAGCCCTGAACTCTCAGATGGTTTGGATACCCTCGGAGGGCGTTCTGGATAGGAGAGTCATACAACATCAGCATCGAAGGACTTTCCGCTGGCCACCCTTGGATCTTTCCTTTGTTGTTGGCAACATATTTCTTTAGATCAGTGTAGTGGTGAATCGCTTCCGACTTATCAATAAGTCCACGAATCACAAATGACCCAATTCGCTTGACTTCAGCCTGTTGCTCGCTCGTGAACCCCTTTTCCAAAAGGTCTGCAGCATCAAGAACAGGTATTATGCCGTGGCCCTTGCTGATGATCTCTTCAGTGACAGTTTCGAGGTTTTGGCACACAGCTAGCCAACTCTTTTTCAAAGAGTCAGCGCCGTAGTGAGCGATAATATACTTTTTGGCGTTCCCAAAGTCGGGGTCCTTCGACTCGGTCACCCCTTGTTCCGTATATTCGGCCCATGCGGGCCACTCTCGAATCTGACTGGGCATTTCGAACGGCAGTCAAAGAAATGGACGTGAAACGAGATGGTGCTAAGACAACTTGAGACGCAGGCAATTTGAGACTTAGCAGTTGCTTGCGACAAGACACCGTTAAATACCTTATCTTCTCTCTATGCAGATTTGCCGATCACATACCTTACCCACGCTCCGTCCTCCAACCGGCAGGCAACATGGAACCTCGCCCGAGTTCGGTCGAGTATTTAGACTCAATAATAACCCTGCAAATCCCCACGATACCACCCAAAACGGCCGCACTAAACATGCTGGGTCGGTGTGGTGGGCCTCTGATATGCTCACCCGAGCTCGCCCGAAGTCTGGGGACAGCCAATCAGGATCTAATAATCACAAATCAGATCTCCTCATGCTTAACAAGATATAAGGACTTGGAAGAAGTGACCCAAAAGTCTTTTGCAAGCTTGTTGTCGTTGACTGATTTGATATGAATCTCGAACGATTGGATCCAGCCACTCACGAAATGGGTTTCGAGCGTAAACATGTCTCGAAGCTGGTACCGGCCAACCTGAAGTTGCTGTCTCCGCTGTTGCTCGCGGTTGCCATCGTCAACTCTGCGGTAAGTACCCGGCTAGAAAAATCACAACAATCGATTCTTGGGCTGACATATACTTGATAGACACTTGGGTACGATGCGTCCGTCATGAATGGGCTACTCATCCTGCCGTCCTACACCGAATACTTTCACTTGACGACTGCAACTGAAGGCCTCAACAATGCGGCATCATGGATGGGCAGTATCGTGGGAGCTTTCCTGATGCAGCCGATTCCGGATTACTTTGGCCGCCGGCGAGCCATTCTTGTTGCTTCGGTCATCACCGTTGTCGGCATCATCCTTCAAGCTGCAGCACAGAACATTGCCATGTTCGTTGTAGCTCGCATAATTGTCGGCATTGGGTCTGCAGTCAGCAACGGCGCAGCACCCACTCTTTTGGGCGAACTTCTTCCTCCGCAAAAACGTGGTCGTATTTTGGGACTGTTCTTCTCCTGCTTCTACGTCGGAAGTCTTGCTTCGGCGATCGTGAACTACGGAAGCCAAAACATCGCCAGCACCTGGTCATGGCGCTTACCTTCCCTGTTGCAGTTCGTACCCAGCCTTCTCGCCGTCGTCCTGGTTCCCTTTATTCCAGAATCTCCTCGGTGGCTCATTGCAAACAAGCGGGATGATGAAGCGTTGGAGGTGCTCATCATCATGCAAGGCAAGGGGGTCGAAGACATGCAACAGGGACGGGAGAATCTGCACGAGATACGAGCTATCATGAAGAAGGAAGAGGAAGAGTATCCTCGAAATCCTTGGAGAGAAATCTTCGCGACACCAGCCAACAGGAAAAGACTTGCCATCCTTTGCTCATTTGGTCCTATGGTCAATATGTTTGGCAACTTCATCATCTCGTATGCTGCGCCACGGTGTTATTCCGGGTCCGTGGCCTCGCTAACTTTTGCAGATTTTACCTCACGAAGATCCTTGATCAGGCGGGTATCAAAGACACTGTCAAACAAACTCAGATCCAAGTCATTCTCAACTGTTGGTCTTTTGCGGTGGCTGTCTTTGGTAGCTTTATGCTTGACGTCCTCGGGCGGCGAATCCAGAGCTTCATTGGAATCGCAGGCATGTCTGCGACTCTCTACATTATCGGAGGTCTGATCAAAAGTGAGCCAGTCCAGTTTCCAGCCACATTTACATTGTTACTAACGTGACCCCAGAGTACGGCGAAAGTACCAACCAGTCAGGAATATATGGCACGATTGCTGTGATCTTCCTTTTTCAAGGCTTCTACGCCTTTTCCATCACGCCAATGACCAGCTTGTATCCTACCGAGGTTTCTCAATACAAGCTTCGCGCCACTGGTATCGCCATATTTCGCATGTTGGATGCTGGCTTCGGGTTCGTTGACTGCAACTATCTCTCCAAGTGTCTGTTGCTGACATAAAGCAGGCTGCTCGCATCATTTTGCATGGCTTATGCAATGGCAGACTTGGGCTGGAAATTCTATTTTATCAACGCTTCATGGAATTTGTTATTTCTCGTCGTTGCCTACTTCACATTCGTTGAGACTAAGGGTCTCAAATTGGAAGAAATTGCAGCCAAGTTCGAGGGATCCCGCATTCTCGATGCCATTGCTGAGGATTCAGACTCTCAAGAGACCAGAGACGCCAAGGTCTTGGGCAGCATTGACACTAAAGCTATGGCATAGAATTTTCTAGATCATCAAACGACATCCTAACGGTAATATTCTCAAGCATTTCCAAGTTTCACTTTTGCCTAAGGGCCGCCACTGCATCCATCTCTTCTTGGGTAGGTAGATTCACTACCATCAAGTAGAGGGCGTCCTGTTTCATCATCTTCTTCAACGGCCTGTTCTTCTTTCGCTCTCTTCTCCTTTCCCTTCTGGCCTGCCTTCCTACCTTGCGATCGATGCCCAACTCCTCACGGCGGTCGTTACGCCTTTGCTGAATGCGGCCAATAGGCCCAACAACTTTCCCACCCGTTGCCATTGAGAGGAGTCCCCCACTACTTGACGAAGTGCTCGGGATGCTTTGCTGCAGTTGTGGGGCTTGCGGAATCTTGGAATCGGGGTGCTGGGCCTGGAAGTGGGAGGCAGCCCTGCGATCGAAATACGTGGACACGAACTGCCCGAATTCCTTGACTGCGTTCTGCTTTTTCCCCTCGTCTAGAGCATCCAGCTGCGGAAAAACAAGAGGTGCCGGTTCTGGGATCTCTACCTCGCTCTTTGTCGTCGTGGAGGCTGAGCGCACGGCGTTTTTCCACTTGCTCTGCCCATCTCTGTCATCGACAGCCTTTGCGATGTTGTGTTCGAGATCAATGTCCTCGATAAGTTCCGTGCTCGAAGGCTTGTACTTCACAATGAGACAAAACAGCCCGCGAGGCTTGAAGAATTTCTCATTCATGGTGTCGAGGTATCCGTTTTGCCTGTAGTTCACGTAGGTTCTGCGTGAAGTCTCGAGACTCGTGTGGATTGCGAAGGTGACAAGCATTGCGATTGGGCTGAAGCCCGAAACTGCCATGTGGGCGTGATCGGCAACCATCACCCCTGCGTTCAAGACATTGAACCAGGGGTTTAACTTGATGCTCTTTTCGAATCCGTCGAGAAACTCCAGCCACGCTGTCTGGTCGATGCCGCACTCATTAAGCACTGGCGCGTAGGCTCTCACGAAACCGCGGTGGCGGGCTTCTGGTCGACGCTGTGGGAGGATGACGGGCATGGGTAGTGGGTGAGTCTGCTGGCCCGCTTCGTAGGGCGGGGGTGGGTGCTGTTCAATGAACCGTCGCAGAAGCTCCTCAGGATCGGCATTATCGTCCGCTTGGTGAGATTGACCCGGCTGTTGGCGCTGTTGAGCTTCGTCGAGCTCAATAGCCCAGTCCTCCTCATCGTCACTGGAAGACTCGTCTTCGAGTGCATCTTGGTGTTTTTGAATAGTAGACGCGTTCGATGAACCCCCGGCCTGTTCATTCCTCTCGCGGGCTTCTTTCCGTTCTTTTTGGTCCGCTCGATACTCCTTCGTAAAATCGACCGCTCCGCCAATAAGTTTTGAAATTGGTCCACGTCCGCTCATCGTGCTCTTGTTGGTGTAGTAATGCTTCACGGAGGCTTGTATGTATTTTGAAATGTATATATCTTGGCAATTCAAATGCAGCGCGGTGACAGGACGACGCAGTCTTTATGGCTCATCATCTCCTTTGTTTGCCCATTAGGCTGCCGCAATTTACTTTTTGGGGGCTCATTTCGCCCGCCAGGCCACGCCCGAGGTATGAAATCCACTGAAGCCACCGTCGTAGGGGCTATGATTTTGCGGGCAGTGGTTTGGTTGGGCTCACCCAAAAATTAGCGTAGGATTCCCCAATTCCAGCTGCAGTCAGCAGCCTCAGATGTGGCTGTACAGCCAAGAGTCGGAAATGATCTTCCCGTCAGCCCAGCTAAGCGCCAAAAGCTTGCATGGACCCGGCGTTCTGTATACAGACGATAAAGACGTGGAGTGAAACAACCAGTTGACAGACCTGTCGATGCGCCCGCATGACTGTTGGGGAAACAGTTGGTAAAAGGGACCTCTCAGCAGGCACAGCAAGGAAGACATGAGAGACAGCCCAAGCAGAGGCCCAAGGGGAGACAGAGACAGGACGGTCTTAGACCCATCACCTGCTATCGCCGTGTCATGGCCGTAGGCAACAGCAACAGGCAGTCTGCCAGTCCCGCCATGCCACTTCAAACGTCAAACGCAGAGGTAACGAGGGTCATCCACATTGGATAGAGATGTGACATTGGGAAGTCCAGGAGAAAGTAAGTTAATGTGGTGAAAACAGGCCCATCATATGGCTCAAGCAGGAACGTCGTCATGTTGCTACCGTTGTCTTCTTCCGCGTCACTGAGCCATCTCCGATGCCCGCTTTGATGCAAAGAAGCAAATCAAAGACACGAGACGCGTCAGCCCCTGCAATTGGTTATTGCCAACGCAAGTAATTAACAGTCTAGGCCGGCCAAAGTCGTCCTCTTGACGTTTTGCCTCTAGATAGGGCAAGATCCCGCAGTGATCAATCGTCAGACAACGCCACACGACAAAGCCACCGTAATACCAACCGCCAACAAACCTGAAATTCTGGGGTAACGCAAACGTGTGGCGGGTGTTTGCGCTGAGCACACCCCAAATGACGACTGCCAATGGCCCGTCGCCTCACTGGTGGAGCGACCGTTTCCCTGTTTTCTCTGGCGAAGATCATCGGATCCGTGTGCCGGAGCCCAAGACAAGCTCCCGCTACCGCGGGAGCGGCTGGGGCTAGCCTCACGAGTCCCCGCAAATTCACGTCATGAATCCCTCCCTCGCCGTCATTGACGTACCTTCTTATTCCCGATGCTCGATGAGCTTCTAGCGACGATGTGATGCCTTAGCTGCTGGGCGGGAAGTTGAGGATTGTCCGCGAATGAGTGCCAGCAGTAACCCCACATGAGCTCATAGCAACACAATCGCAATCCCGCGAGACATGGACTGGTGACATTTTGTCTGGGCGGCAAGGCCGCAGCTTGGCCTGGACCAGCGTTGGAGCTCTGACATCACAACGAACATCCGCTCGCGATGGACGAACACCTGGACTCGACGACGAGTATTTGATGCCCAGGATCCCGCAGCCAAAACTAAGATTCCTGGAAATTGTAACAGCAAACTCAAAGACATATAACAACTTCAACTACTATAATCAGCAATCATGGGTATCGGACAGAAGATCAAGGATGCGCTGCATCATGACAGCCCCCCAAAGTCTTCCACATACGAGAACGACAAGCCTCCCGGGAGCTTTCCCTCCGAGACCACAAACCCCAAGCACACAAACTTGACAGACGGCCGTGATTACACCACGACCGGCAACACAACCGGCACCACTAGTACTTCGGGCCTGACCGGAAAGGACACTACCACCACCACCGGCACCGGACGTCACAGCCCAACCAGCAACCTGACGGGCAACACCCACGGCGGAGCTACCGGCGACATCACCGGCAAGACCCACCGCACTACCGACTCCGGCATCGATGTTGGTCATGGTCACAACCGCACCGGTGAGCAAGACACGCAGAACCCGTACTGGGGCTCCATGGGCCGTGAGAGCCATGGTGTGATCGGTAGCGCGGATTCTTCTGGCCTGACCGGCTCTAACGCTCGTGCAGGCTACAATGATCCCGCCGGCACCCACGGCCCTCACGGCAACCGTGCCGAGAACCTCGCCGACCCCCGTGTCGACTCCGACCGCGACCACCGCGGCGCTCCTGGTACCGGTCTGACCGGATCTAACGTTCACAACTCCAACGTCCGCACCGGCTACGATGATCCTTCCGGAACTCATGGACCCCACAACACCCGCACCGGCAACCTGGCCGATCCCCGTGTTGACTCTGACCGTGACCATCGTGGTGCGCCTGGCACTGGTCTCAGTGGTACCACCCATGGTGCCACCCATGGTACCCACGGTACTTACGGTACCTCTGGCCTGAGCAACTCCAATGTTCGCACCGGTTACGACGATCCCGAGGGAACTCACGGCCCTCACTCTGGCCGCGTTGCCAACGCGGTTGACCCTCGCGTCGACTCCGACCGTGATCACCGTGGAGCTCCCTACGGCGCCAACAAGGATCTCCCTCTCCGTCCCAACGAGCAGTACGGCGCCAGCGATCGCCTTAGAGGCCAGGGTCCCGAAGCTGTTGGCGGTGGCGTCTACAACCCCAACGTTCCTGCTGGTCACCACGATCCCACCTCCAACGTGGACCGCTCTATTGAGGGTTCTCACTTCACTCACACCGGCCACGCCGGCAACGCGGGTCCTGGCGCCCAGACCCAGCACGCAACGCATACCAACCCTTCCCTCATCGGGGCTCACAGCAACGACCCCTACGACACTAGGATGAGAGACAGAGATATGGGCTATGAGCGCTCTGGTCATGGTATTGCCGGCGGTGTTGCTGGAGCCGGCCTTGGTGCTGCTGCCACCGAGGCTTCTCGCAGACACCACCACGATGACATCCGCGAATCTGGCTACGGCGCCAACACCACCCGCAGCGGCGTTGACGACTACTCTCGCACTTCCGGATCCGGACTCACTGGCCACGAGCCTGGTGTTCCTAGAACTAGCATGCTGGACCCTTACAACGAGTCTCCTACCACTCACGGAGTTGGTGCTGATAAGGGCATCGTCGGTGGACGCAATGGTTCTCCCCCATTCAACCAAGGTTCGCTTCAATCCTCTATTCCCTCCGGTATGGGTCCTGACCATTACGGCCCAGGCCACGAAGGTGCCAAGGTCATGCACACGTGCTCTCACTGCGGCAACGACAATGATATCAGCCGCTACTTCAAGAAGGATGCTGTGTACCGCATGAACTAATGAGAGTCTTTGGGTTTATGAATAGCGTGTTTTGTATACCATCATGTACTTCTAGTTAGTCATAATGAGCATGACATAATGGAACCAGTCCACATTGGATTTAACAACGAGCGTTATGATCCGATCAACTTCCCAACTATGCGCTGTTCAGGCTGACATGTAGTCAAGAACGAGCTGTGCATCTATACGACTCGAGTCTTGCAGAGCCTATTGGGTCCTTCTCCAGCGCACCTTCACGTCTCTATCGGGTGACACGGCACCTGACCCAATTGCCGACTTTTCGTCTTCCGCTGGCCGATCCGAACTAACACCATCAAAAGTCACCCATTCGATAAACTCAACCTCAAATCTGGAGATGATCATAGCAGCGACTAGCATGATCTCTTGCTTTGCGAAGAACCGACCAGGGCACATTGAGACGCCGCCCCCTATGTCCTGTGTTAGTCCTCGCCGAACTAATATGGGTAGTGAGGTTTACCGTACGGAAAGTAGTCGCTTGGCCTGCCAGCCATGGAGAATTCCATCACCGTTTTGATATGCCCAAGCTCATCCTCCTTATCAACATATTTGATATGTCTTTCTGCCCAGAAACTCGATGTTGGATGACCCTCTACTCCCCACACTGACTCATCTTGCAAGCCAATTTGTGTCGGGGCTTGGACCAGAGATCCCTTCGGTAGAACGTATCCATCCCATTCGAGGGGTTCCATAACCTCTCTGGTCACATTGATCGATACATGCAGACGAATAGTCTCTGCGTAGACGGACTGGAGCAAAGGCAGGGCCAAAAGCTTCGTAACATCAATCGCAGGCTTCGACGTAACAGGGTCAGGAACAATGGCTCCTTGCACTTCCTCTTTCACTGCCCTCCACAGAGACGGGTTCTTCGCGAGCTCCATCATTACCCAAGCCGTCTGGGGGATGCTGTTGACGTTGAATCTGGTTATAGTCAGCACGGGAGGTAGACTTCGCACACACGTGTTGCTTACCCAGATTGAATACCTAGATGCTGCGCAGCACGAGACCTCATAGAAAACTTCTTGTCCTTCCAGAACTTGGCATGTTCTCTCTGAAGTCTGGATCCGAATGTCGGTTCCCAGTCGGCCTCCGCTTCCATTCCATCCCAATCGAAAGTATCCCATGCGTCCTGTAAGAATGTCTCCATCATATCTAATGCCTTTTTCTGCGCTTTTCTGGGTCCAGGATTCATCCATGTCGGCAACCCGTACATCAGTTTCATTGCTACCTTGTCGTACTCCCACATAGCGTCTACGAATTCAGGGTATTTGTCAATAAGCCGCCTGCCCGCCAGGGTCATGACAGCAGCCTCAGTCATGTCCTTCTTCAAGAACTGGAAGAGGCACACTTCTTTCCACTCATTCAGCGGCTGGGTTTCTAATTTTTCTCCGAAGAAGGCCGTGAAGTTCTGCGCCAGTTTCGCTGTCGGCTCAGCACGCGACAGGTGCTCCGTGAAGATATGATGCATGCCGCTCCATATCCTTTGGTCCTCTGGAGTATCCTCGGTCCCGGGAGCGGGGATCTTCAAACGGCCTGTCTTGTCGCTGGCCCATCGTTTAGCATCTTGTTGGTCAACTCCATGAACCTTTTCTGTGACCATGAGAACGAACTTGTCCGAGCTGAGTTGAGTGCTGCCAGCGCTGTTCCGGAAGAGCCTTTGGATATTTTGAGAGCCAGAAACCAGATACACTGGGACTGGACCTAGGTTGAACTTGACAATGTTGCTCTTCTTTAGGGCCTCTGCGGCTCTCTTGAGGAACCCGTGGTTGTCAGTCAGGTATTGATACGTGTTAGAAACATAGGGTATGCGCTCTGGTAAAGAAGGAGGCTCAGCTGCTTTCTTTCGGAATATCCTACTGACAAACAGGATGCTGATTAAGGGCAGTATCAGCCAGCTGAGATGGAGGATCGTGATGTTCGAGTAGAACACGTGTGGCAGGCCCGCTGGTGACCTGACTTCCGATGCGTTACCGTCATCCATTTGAAAGTATTACGATTGAAGTTGAGATCCGATTAGAACTTTTCCATTAAGGAGAAATGGCAAGAAAGAAAGAAAAGGGGATGAGATCCGTCGCATGCAGTGTGTCTCACAACCACGGCATGCCCCATTGGCGCCTTGCGCCCACCAAGCTACCCTGACGGGTATGGAGAAATCACACCACATTCCCCAAACCCAACTAGATTGCATTGTGCATATCTTGCCATTTCGGCTGATGATTGTTGATATTGGTGATGAACTTCACGTGCATACGCTTGCTTCGTATGACAATCTGCATCGTCCAAGTCTTTCCAACGAAGAAGTGTTTTTCCTTTGGTCCATCGAGATGGGCCTCTTTCCACTGACCGCTGATATCAGATCCAAAAAGTGCTGTTCTCAACCCTGGTCCGCGAAAGTCTACCAAAGGTCCTCAAAGACAGCAAAGATTTTGATGATAGTTGTTCCTTTTCAGGTGCGAGGTGACCAATCACGACCATTGAATACCATGCAGGATGTATGAACTTGATCAGCTTGGAAATCGTAACAGGCTAAGTGCTGACATGCCCTTGGGCGCCACCTTCCCCAACCAGGCATCACTCGCAGCCGCTTACACAGAAATATCAAAAGATTGGCTGATCCCAAGGGAAAGCAGCCGGCATAGAGAAAAGCCCTTCAACAGACTCGATCCAGTCTAAAGGCTGTAGTCCAATCTCGTCGAACGAAGGCAGATGGTTCGAGTCCGCGTCGCCGACTTCATTTGAAGAAGTCGGCACAGCGTTGACTTCTTGGAGCTCGTCTGAATGGGCATTGCTACCGGAATTCCGCTTCCTTGTTGCATCTGCAGATGAATCCGACCGTTGGAACCAGAGACCGTTGAGTAGCTTGGCGTATTTTGCGGCGATGTGATCTGCGTCAGTGGCTGCGATCTCGAGTACTCCGATGAATCGTCGCATCAGGTTTGCTGTCTGGGCATGTTTTCCTGATGAGACGGCACCAGATGCGTGTGCTTTATAAAGGAATACAGACGAATGTATTTCATATCTAACTGGAGTTGTCAGAGACATTTTCAGGCCCCCGGCAAGCATGGGACCGACACTCACAGGTAGAACCGAGCGGGCATGAACCGCAGATATTTCTCGGCATCAATATCTTCAATGGCAATCCTCAATAGAGCTTCGGCAGCGTCTACAGCCTCATAAACATGACGAGCATCGGGACTAGCCATAGCTGAGTGCGGGAAGCATGCCGACTTTGTGACTTCTTGCGTGCCGGATGCCGATGCCCGATAGAGAACAGCTTGAAAGGCGAAGGCATTGACATAAAGACGAAGATACTTCTCCATCATCTTGAGACATGACTTCAGATGCTGGGAGCATTTGAGTCCGTTCCAAACGAGATCCCACGCGACAATGGCGCGGCTTGCATCATCGATGTACTTGGTGTAATCACCCCGGGTCATGAGTTCTCCGGTACGTTGTTTTGATGCAAAGAGAATATCGTGGGCGTTCCCGAACAAAGTTGTCAACTCAACCTGTGCCTGTAGCAGAGACGCAAAATCTTCCCCTGAGGTGTACCGTGGTTGTAAGGATGGGAAGTCGTCAGCTGTGAATCGCGCAGATAGAGCCGGTCCTCTGCTCCAGAAGGCTTGGCCCATACGGATAGAGATCTGGCGGTCCGACAGGTATGTAACTTGGATCAAGATCAGTATAAGACACTCTGGAGATCTTCGAGCCGAGGGAGCTGTAACTAACATGTCCATGCCAGCCGTCTTCTCAACATTGCTGGGTCAGCTTCTTTGTCTGCCCTGAAAGAGGAATCTTCAAGCCGCAGCAAATACGCAAGCCTGACGGCGAGCCCTAATATCGACCATGCTGCACCTTCTCCCCCGTCATCGTTTTGTCCCAGTGTAAGCGGTGTCCATTCTCCTAGGATCAGGAGCCCCTCCACACACCCTACGCTGCGTATTGTGGACATACCAAGAACGACATCGAGGATAAGGCGTCGCATGTGCTGCCATATTGACTGATGTAGCTCGGTCAGGTCGGACTGATCTCTTGAAGCTACTACTAGAGCGGCTGTGAGAAGGAACGATTCGTGCTTGATGGTATCGGAGAGGAACTGTGGCATGAGCAGATTGGCTGGAACAATCGGGAAGAATGGATGATAGTCATCGGCATAACTTGCTTCTGTGAGCGATTCAGTCTCTTGTAATTGGACTGTAGACTTACTGTCTTATGAGATTTTGGAGGGTGACTAGGTCCAAAGCGCCCTCCTTGACGGGAGGGTATTCTTCAACCGCTTGGTGCGCCGTAAGCTGATTTTCGGGCGATGCTAAAGACGAGAGCTGATCAGTCCGGGCTTGCTGTCCCGGAGACAGAATCGAGTCTAAGATAGAAGATGCGTTTCCAGGTGTTGATTTGTTGAGTCCGCCATCCCCTAGTTCATCATCTTCCCCATCCTCAGCCGCCCGGGCAAGGATCAGCAGGGCATCAGAGGGATTCTGAAGGGACCGATGCAGTCGCTGTTCTCGAGGCTTTGGCGTCTCTACGATTGTTTCTGGGACAAAAGATGCTACGGAAACCACCGAGGGCGCCGTAGCAACGTCACTATCGCGTCTTTGCCTCTTGTTGCCTCGGTACTGGGAGTAGTCGCCGCCACGTCGCGATCCAGCTAGGGAGCAGTCGACTCCTTCGCGGACACACTTTGCGCACGGCGGTCGTCCTCGTTCGCCAATACTGTCTCTGTAACGCTAGTTAACAACCGAAATATTCGGTAGAACGCCTTGTGAATCGCAACCAGAGAGATATCATCCTTGCTGGAGAAATCGATCGGCCGGAAGGCGGAGGGACCCACAAATCACATCGCGTCTTGCGCGCGCGACACCTCACGCATGCTCGGTATTGTCTTACACCGGTCGCTTTGGTCATGTTCAAGGTTCCGGTCCGGGGAAAATACGGGGTGGTGAGCGTGAGAACCTGGGGCCGCTCGTACGACCGATGCGGGGTCTGGGGACGGTTATAGATGGCCGAGCGCCGGCTATAGACGACTAAAGACGGCGGGGTCGACGCGGGGTACGGCAGCAGACGGCCGAGGATGTTCGACCTCGCTGTTGAACAGTAAGGCTTTATGGGAAGAACGTCACTGGGCAGAATGGGTTCGTTCGGTTTAACATCTTCAAGACTTGTGGCAATAAGTTCTTGGTTTGCTGCATCAGAAAAGCCGAACGAGGCCGTATAAAGCGAGACGGTAATCAGCCACGGCCATCCGTATTGTTCAACTCGTAATTGCGTTTCTAACAGAATTCCATCACATTAGAAAGCAAAAGAATTCGCATTTCATTCCATCTCCTTTATACATCCCTAAGTAAGCATCATGGCGCCCGGAGTGCTCCAGTCCGAAGCCCCAGCTTCACTGCCAACGCAGAATGTCAAACAGCTTGACCACCGTGAAGCGTACGACCCTAACAACGACATCTACGGCAACTACTTCCCGGCCGATCCTAAGACCCTGAGTCTAGAGTCCAACTTTGGGCCCATGGATCCCGCTTCGATTGGATACCTCCAGCCTACCCACCGCGATACCCCCCTCAACGTGATGCGGGAGCGCTTCGAGCGCGATGGATATCTGCTCGTATGTCCTTTGACAGCAATTGGAGTTTGAATACCTGGAATATTTCTGACATATGGAACAACAGATAAAGGATCTTCTTCCCTACGAGCCAGTTCTGAAGTGCCGTCGCGAATACTTCTCGCACATGAGCCCCAGCGGTCTCCTCCGTCCCGGCACCGACCCCGTCGAAGGCACATTCTCCGGCAAAGACACCAAAAAATACCTTCCTCCCGGTAATCTTCGCCGTCTGTTTGGCCTCAAAGATGATCCGGAGAGCGATAAGTACGCCGAGCTCATGGTTTCAGCGCACGAGGCCGACTTTTACGTCAACTTTTGCAAGTTCCCCGAGCTGCGCCAGTTCGTCAGCCGTTTCACCGACTGGCAGTCTCCCCATATGCTTCAACGCACCATGCTTCGAGCCTTTGTTCCCGACAGCGAGCTCACACCAGTCCACTTCGACCAAATGTATCTCCGCGCCGGGCCTCCAACCAGTCTGACCGCTTGGGTACCCATCGGGCCGGTGTCGCTCGAGGGCGGCGGTTTGATGTACCTCGAGGGATCCACTGACATTGGCATGAAGACCGAGGACGACTTTGCAAAGAACGCGCATAACCTGACTGACGAGGAGCGTGTCAGCGCGTTTAACAAGAACATGAATGACGGCGGCTTTCTCAGCCGAGACACAGTGACATACGGAAAGGAGACTCAAAGGAAATGGTTGATCGCGGAATACGAGGTCGGCGACGTCATCTTCCACAACCCGTACATGGTCCACGCCAGCTGCAAAAATAAAGACCCCGACGCGAGAATCCGTTTGGCTACGGATCTCCGATTCGTCGACCCCGAGAAGCCGTATGATAGAGTAGGTGACACAACCCCTATATTCAAACCAAGTGGGCTAACCAATATCACAGCGGTGGATGAAAGTTTACAAGCCCCTCGACGGGCTGTGAAGGACGACTTGGAAAGGGTTTTAGCGGTGTTCTATGGAAATTGTGATATTAGAAGACTGTTGGCATGTACCTATGTAAAGTAAAATGATGGTACAAAACAGAATGAAGGAGGTAACCTTTCCACCATGTTCCAAAAGTGCATGAGACTATTGGAGAGCCCATGAAGCTTCTGCCTTACCTTAGCTACTGCCTAGATGTGTTTTCATCCGCCGAGACATAGATAGAATGATCAGGCTGTCTTGAATATTGAAATACAGAACTCGTGTACCAAGCAGATGGTACGATACCCTCCAACAGGGGCCTTGAAACGTATCAGACTACGCTCTCGTTCCAAGCTGGTGCGATATCTCTGTAGTTCTCGGTTCTTTCACGAAATGCTCCAACTACCAAACCTCGGCCGATCTGCGATACAGGTGACCCCGAAGACTCGCCCATATTCATCCCGCCAAGTCAGCTTGGCATCAACGTCACTGGTGATGGAGAGCAGACAGTTCCGAACGCTAACAAGACCCGACAGATTGGTAATCTCCATGATGAAAGAACGAATCCAGAGCATCTCATTTGTGGGAAAATCAAACACCGCGAGCCTCAAGCACGGCAGATGCCAGGATAGTGACATGGAAGCATGCGACTTCAGCAACGCGGTGCTACAACGGTACACATAACACTCCATACCCAGGGGTGACAAGCGAGAGCTGCCGTCAACGCGGACGCCAAGTAACACCCATCCTCCAGTCCGCGTGCGATACGCCACCATCCATCTATAGCCGACGCTAAATCAACCCAAGAGTCCAACCAATGTCTGACTCGGTATCCTCATGCCGACAGGTCTCCGACTTGCCTGTCGTCCCCCATACCCCGGATTTGGGGTTGTGGGGTGGACGGGCTGGGGTAGCTTGCGGGGTGCAGGGGAGACGCCGGTTCTGATCGAGCCCCGAGGCCTGTGACTTGGCCGGCCGTCTATTACCGTTAGAGGAGTTGATGATAAGGATGAAGAGATATGTCGGCTCTTCGATTTACCTATTTAGTCTATCCGGATGTCAAAACCATTGGGTTTCATCAGCATCGAGGTTGTCTTTCCCAAACTCGACAGGTTGCCTTTTTTTGAATCCGATTTCGTCGAGCTTTTGACCCAGTAGTTGCGATGGGCTTGTTGCAGAAGATTGTTCGCAATGAGGCGACCAAGTCGGACCCTCCCGAGATCTACAATGCCCGAGTTGTACTCATCAGTCTGGTGGTAGGTTGCTCTGAGCGCCATAGAGACAAAATAGCACTGAAAGTAACAACTTCGACAGGCCTGCGGCGGAGCATTGCTCTTTGGTATGGACATGGGCATCATCGGGGGCGTCTTGACGATGGACTCATTCAAGAAGTGAGTTGTCATACCTTCAGAAGGCGAGACTGCTGACGAATTTTTCGTGCAGGGAATACGGACTGATGGACCAACCGAAAGCTGTCCTCGCCAGTCTGGAGGGAAACGTTGTGTCAGTCATCCAAGCTGGTGCCTTCGCCGGGGCCTTGCTCTCGATGTGGCTGGCAAACCGAGTAGGCCGTCGATTCTCCCTTATTATCGCCTCGATCCTAGTCTTCGTTGGCGTTGCGTTGCAGGCAGCTGCTAGTGGGCATATCGAGGCCATGTACGTTGGCCGGCTGGTTGCTGGTGTGGCCATTGGTATCGCATCTTCAGTCAACCCGCTTTACGTCTCGGAGAATGCGCCTCGCGGTATTAGAGGTCTCCTCACGGGCCTTTACCAGCTGAGCATTGTGACCGGCCTGACGGTACGCTACGTCAACCCCATCCCGGTCTTCACATGCTAATAAGATCGGGCAGCTCGCATTCTGGATCAACTACGGCTCCCTACTCCACATCAAAGGCCACAGCCAGTATATCATCCCCCTCTCCCTACAAGCCTTCCCCGCCGTCATCCTCCTCGTGGGCATGCTTCTCGCAAACGAGTCACCCCGCTTCCTCGCCCAGCGCCACCCCGACAAAGCCCTCGCCGTCCTCGCCAAGCTGCGCAATCTGCCCGCGGACCACCCCTACATCGTGCAAGAGATGGACGGTATCTCGAGACAATTGGAAGAAGAGCGCGCCCTGGCGGTCAACGCGTCGTCGTTCTCGCTGTTGAGGGAGGCTTTCACGATCAAGTCGTACCGCAGGAGAAGCCTTCTCTGCATCACGCTGATGATGTGGTCCAATCTTACTGGAACGAATGCCATGACGTACTACAGCCCGCGAATTTTTGCCAGCGTTGGGTTGTCCGGGTCTGCTTCTGGGCTTTTTGCGACGGGCGTGTACGGTATCGTCAAGATGGTCTCGTGCGCCATCTTCATTGTCTTTGTGACGGATACTCTTGGAAGAAGGAAAAGTCTGCTGTGGACGGGAATCGTTCAGGTGAGCTCATCGTGAGACTTTGACCAGGCTACGAGGCTGACTCTATCTGCTTTAGGGCCTGGCACTATTCTACGTTGGGTTTTACATACGCTTCGATCCTCCGGTGACAGGGGAATCTGTGAGCGCGCCGGGATACGTTGCACTCGTTGCCATCTACATCTTTGCAGCAGTAAGTGATGGTCATCATGGCAAATGTTTATTGGAGTTGAAGTGCTAACAGTCTTCAAGGTTTATCAAGTAAGCCACACTTTACTTCAGTTGTCTCCTATTCTCAGTGTCGCGATGGGAGCTTCTAGGCTTTGATTTATTACACAATGCTTTCACTCTTGAGACTATTTTCTTCAGTCATGACAGAAACTAACCTTTTGCAGTTCGGCTGGGGACCCGTCGTCTGGACCTACTCCTCCGAGATCCCTCCCGCCCGCCTCCGAGCCCTGATGATGGGCATGGCCACGGCGAGCCAGTGGCTCTTCAACTTCGTCGTAGCGAAAGCGACCCCGAGCATGTTTGCCACTCTGGGGACCAATGGATTCGGCACGTACTTTGTCTACGGCACCTTCTGCTTCATCATGGTGGTCTTTGCGTTCTTCTTCGTCCCCGAGACGGCTGGTGTTGCGCTGGAGCAGATGGAGGAGCTGTTCGAGAAGGACTCGCTCAGGGACAAGCTCTTGTTCAGAAAGGGGCCGCGGCTGAGCTCGAGAGAAGATGCGGCGGATGAGGGTGTGCTTGACAAGAAGAATGCTGAGCACGTGGAAGTGGCGTAGGCATAGGGAGACACAGCAATCAATGTTGTTCGACGATTCGATAGATGAAAACTGAAGTCCCTGTTGAATGAGACTGCACACGGGAGTGTTTTCCACACGTGCTTTCACTGATATTGGTGACCGAGCTTACACCTAGAGAGAATTGCTTGCCGAACAACCCTCCTAGACGTATGTGCAATCAATTTGGTCAGTTCATATGCAACGCAGTCAACGGCTGTCTCGAAGCCGCGCAACCTAGATGACTTGCGCCAAAGATTCGCTTTGGCCTAGACAGGCATGTTTCGAAACAATACACATGGGCCAGATTCGCGAGGAGACCAAAGTCCAGATGGGGGCTCTGCATCCGCGTTGACTCGCAGCCCTCACACATCCTTTGTCCGCTTTGTCCCGCCGTGGTGGCTTGCTTCGTCGGCTCGGCGAGCCGAGAAGAACCCAATTGCGCCCAGAGAAAGCCAGATGGCAAAGTTGAAAGCTGACATGCGCAAATATGCACGCGAATCCGGCCGCAGCCCAATGGCGGGAGCGGCAGCGCGAGCGCATGGGGGGAGAAAACGTGGCCGTCTTGCCTGGTGCAGCGCAAGTCGCACCGTCGGGCAGCAGCCACTGAAGACGCGGGATTGGCGCCATGTGCTTCAGCGGACGGCGGGGGATTCGTCCATTGTGCGTCTGGGAGATTGGGCCATCGAGATCAGACGAGGTGCATTTTCACGTCGGGCGATGTAGGGGAGGAAATACGGAAAGTGCAATGTAGGCGAAAATGGCTCAGTTGGAAGGGCAGGCCGTTCAGGCTGATGTGATGGTGGTGGTGGTAGTTGGGCTGCGTGGATGAAGGGCAGGGAACGGCCGAGATGGTACCTTTTGGCATAGCGGCGTCGTTGACGGAGGCGCTGAAGACGGGCATGCGGTGATGGGCTGATGAGATTTGCTGGGCGAAGATGATGCTGCTGCTGCCAAGGTTCGACGCATGGGATAGACACGGCTCAGTGATTGAGGTTGTATGTACGACTAACTGATAATATGCAGGGCATCACGTAAGTGCCCTTGTCCGCAGGTACACACGCATGAGAAGAAGATGGTTCGGGTCACCGATTCTCGTCGATTAAGTATCGGTTTGATGAGGCATGACAGCTACGACAAGCCAGTGAGAGATCGAGCCGATGACGATGTGGTGGTCGGGATGTAATTAGATGAGGGGAATATCTCGTTGTTGGTACGTCAACGTTTGGCATGGAACAGACACCAAGAACGGGACCGCAAAGTTCAGTGAAGAGTTGGCGATTGCGTTCTCGATCCCGATGGGATGGACGGACAACACCGCTGCCAGCGTAGGTTGGAGACACGGGGGACAATACAAGGTTCACGCCATCGTCCAGCATGTCTCAACGGTGTAGCTTATCGAACGAAGCCGCAGAACGATATCGTCGGATCACGGACGGTGCAGGTGAGCGGGCAAAGAGCAATCCATGGCCGAGGTTACAGCGCCGTACATGGAGTTGCATCCTGGGCTGTCCCTTCGTTCAGGGTGCGCGTTGCAGCGGTGTTGGTCGAGAACCACGCCGGCCTAGTCTGTCTGCGTCGTCTCATGCATGGAATGAGAATGAGAAAAGGGCCAGTCACCACCAGCCAGAGTCAAATAAACAGCGGCCGAGTCACCTCCAGTCAGCCGGTCAATGTTAAAAAGAGCGGTGGAACCCATCCGCAATCCTCGCTCTGATCCCCCAGATTGGAGAGAAGAGATCTTGGGTTCCCATTCTTTTCTGGACTGATCTTTTGGCTTTCCCCGTGGGCATCACTTGATCTGGTCGCACCCGACGTGGCCTGACAGCGATAGACGTGACCGGGCAAAGCATTCGTTCTTACGAGTTTACGAGCGAAGCAGCTTGCGCAGTCGTATTGCAGCAGACGACACCAACAGGCCCCTTTTGGAGGGACCACTAATTAGGACCGTTGTTCGCGCTCACCGTCTTTTCAGCGCGGCGACATCGACGATAGGCCGACGGACAGCGCCACGAACGACGGCCGATCCAGGAGGGTTGCGAGAGCCTCACTCTTACTCATCCAACTGCTCTATCGCTACCGCTGGTATCTTGAGAGGTTGCCCAGAGCAGTGGACCATCGACTTCCGAGAAATAATAACAAAAAGGGGGAGGAAATTACCTCGAATTACGTCAGGTGGGTCTGAGTTTTCCCTCTGGTTGATTGTTTCTGCGTCAAGTTTGCGGCTCTTTTGTTTTCTTGAACGAATGCCGTCGGGGATGGCCGGTCCTTCGTTTCTGCATGGCTCCTCTTCACTCTTAGAGGTAGAACCAGAGGCAGAGAGACACAGACTATCAGACGGTGGCGGTAATGGCTTCAGTTTGGCGGACACTTTCCGCTCAGCTCACCACCACGGCCAACGCAGCCAACACAGCCAACGCGGCACATGTGAGTTGAGTAGTCTTACTTGGCTTGGCTTGTGGCCGTCTCAGCTCACTTTTGGGGCAAGTGCATCCGGTGTGTTGTGCGTTCTAGACGCTGTTAGCGAAAGCCTGCCGCCGGTCCCAATGGTTCAACCACTCGGCTGGGAGCGCAAAGGGGATTACGAAGACTTCACTATTTGTCTCTTTGGGTATCCCGTCCGTCCCCCTGGTTTTTGCTTTACGTACTCAGTCACCAGCATCTCCCCCCTCGGCTGTCCCCTGTTTTCTGGAGAAGATGCAGAATGATGCGGGTTGAGAAAAAGCACGCACAGCAGAGAGCTCTCGGCCATTTTTGAGAGATTTTGGCATATTTTTTTTTTCTCTTCTGCTGTTTGGTTGCATCACAAAGACATCATCGGGGCACACAGACAACGGCAAGCAGAGGCATCAACCCGGCAGCATGTCGCTCAGCGGTGCAGCACGCAGGACCGGTGCTCTACCTCCGGCGCAGCAGTCCAGGAACAGCGCGGTCTGAGGTCCAGCTTCGACCCAGCTTGACCCAGCTTTGACAGCCAGCGAACAGGGGGCGCCCCCAAGACGAGCCAATCCGGGTGCTGTGAATTCGTCCCGTCCGAACCAGGGGGGAGCCCTTTTGGGGTGCTTCTGCCAAGTTTTGGGCGAGTAGCTCGACGAGTGGGCAGTACTGCGTCATATGTATCGCCACATGCAAAAGCAGGAGGCCAGATACACCGAGAATACCTCCCGAGCGCGGACCAGCTACCTCGACGATACTCATGCCACCACCTCTCGCGCGTTCCAGCAGCTTCCCCTCCACACCACCACCGAAATAGCAGTGGTCTGGTCTGGTCTGGCCTGGCTGCCGCTGTCAGTCTGCTGTGCCGCCGTCAGTGCCCTGAAGCTGGAGGCGTGCTGGGTCGAGCATCGTGGCTGTCTAGCTGTGGTACAGAGTGTCGGTCTGTCGACAGCCATCTCCGAGACACGGAGCTAGAGAGGAGAGGGGTAGAGACGAGGGAAGTAGTCGGAATTGGGGAAGACAACTCGAGGAAAGAGAATCTGTCCTCTTTCCAACCTCTCTTCGACATCTCCAGATCGAAAGACAGAAAGACAAAAGACGACAGACAGACGACAGACAGCAGCAGCGGACTATATCCCTGAGGTGCGGTGTACAAGCAACTACCAAGCAATACACCACCGCGACGGCAGCCAATCACCAAGCTCGTCCCACGCAGCTGTGGACTCGCTGGGCTTGTCAGTCCCTCTTCTGGGTCTCTGGAGTTCTGGCCCGGGCCAGGATTGGGGGCATTGGGGGTCAGGATAGGAGCAATTCGTCCTGAAGAAGAGGGGGGCCAGGTTGCAAAGTACCCTGCGGCCGGGGATACGGGGCGAGATACATTCACGAGATAATCAGCATCGACATCAGCATCGTGTCACGGCTCGGCGACGCGCGCAGCAGGATCAGGATCAGAGACGGATAGACCTTTCGAGAGTCCGCACTCTCTCTCTCTCTCTCTCTCTGTTGTTCTCTTGCTTGTTCTGTCAACAGCAGCAGAACAAGACAGAAACAGAAACACAAAAGCAACGGCAGAAGAACAGCAAAAACATTACCCCCCGACTGTTGTCTGTTTCTTCACCCCTGGCGCCAACCCCCCCGTCTCCCACATCGCTCACCGTCACCGTTGTCGCCTGGACTGCCTATTCCGATACGGCTTCAGGTCCAGGTCCAGGTCCCCGGACTCTGTCTTGTCTCTCTGCTCACCGTCTGTCTGTGTCTCTGTCAAGAGTCGGGGCGTGTGCAGCTGGTTCGCTCGGCTCGGCTGCTGCAGTTGTCGTGTGTTTTCTGTTGAACCTCGAGAACATCCATTTCATTTTACCCCGGCTTCTCCCATTTTCAGTCTGTTGGTTGTGCACCTTGATCAACAACGCAAGTTGGTGTGCACGGGGATAGCTTCACTCCATCGTCGTTGATCTTTGTTTTCTCTACCTTGCCTTACATCTCTTCTTACCTTACCATCATCTCTGTCTACAACTGTATCCCCTCTTTTTACTCTTCCCTGCAACCTGTTTAATCTGCTGCCCGGTTCCTCGACTGGCCGCTAAGCCCAAACCATTCGCGTCCGCACCCGCACCGCACCCACTGAACTGAATCATGAGCAGCCAAAACCAAAAGCCAGAAGCTGGCTCATCGGCAAACTCGCCCGCAGTGGGCGACCAGCAGCTGCGGCACACGCTCAACAGCCTGAACCCAGCGCCCGTCAACCCCGCCAACCCGGTGCTGCGCAGCATCGCCCTTTCCGACGCCGTGACGCCGGGGATTCACCAGCACACCTACACCTACCGCGACTCCCCCGAAGAAGGCTCCTCCCGCGCCGCCTCGCCCTCGTATTTTTCCATTTCTTCCACCTCCCACCACAACACCAACACTCACACCAACAACACCACCAACGACGACGACACTCACGCCGGCGACAACAGCAACACCAGCAACAGCCATCGCGGTGGCAGCAGCAGCAAGGTCGCCTTTGCTCCCTCCTCCTCCACACCCCTCCCGGCCACGACGCCCTTCATCGCCGGCCACAACCTCCCGACGTCGCCAGGCACCGCCATCGGCAAAGACATCCTCAAGCGCATGACGCTCGCCGCCATGGGCCGCCGTGAGTCGCTGTCGCAGATTCGCGCCTCCAACCCCGACCTGCAGCTGAGCGGCAACATCATCTCGGCCACCTTCAACATTCCCCATTCTCTCAAGTACCGCAAGGGCTCCGACTGGGTAAGACCGCACTCCTCTCCCTTGGTGTGCTGCTTGCTGCCTTCGTCAATTGACATTGTGTGTGCGAATAACCCCGCTGACATCATCACCACCACCAACAGGAATTGAAGCCTCGCCGCGGCCAGTCCGCCCTCTTCGACTCCTTTGCTTACCTCTCCTCCGACGAGACCCCCTGGAACCACACCGTCGTCGCCTGGACCGGCGAGATCGACACCCCCCAAGATGTCCTCTCTCCGCCCGGCACGCCCCCGGCCACGACCGTCCACTTCTCGAGCCTGAATACCCTCTCCGCTCCCGTCCCGATCGATGGCGACGCCCGCCTGCCGACCCCTCCCCCGACCGAGGGCCTCTGGCTGCCCAAGGAGGACCAGGTCCGCCTCGAGAACCAGCTCGTCCACAACCGCACCATCAAGACCGTCCCCGTCTGGCTGTGCGACGACAACGAGCAGCAGGACGACGGCCTCCTGCTCAAGGACCAGAGCCGCTGGCGCCGCTACGCCGAGCACGACCTCTACACCCTCTTCCACTACAAGCAGCACGAGCCCACCGACGGCCGCAAGGAGCGCCTCCAGTGGGCCGACTACTACCGCATGAACCAAAAGTTCGCAAACAGCATCATCGAGCTCTACAAGCCCGGCGACGTCGTCGTCGTCCACGACTACTACCTCATGCTGCTCCCCAGCATGCTGCGCCAGCGCGTCCCCAACATGTACATCTCCTTCTTCCTCCACTCGCCCTTCCCCAGCTCCGAGTTCCTGAGATGCCTGCCGCGCCGTAAGGAGGTGCTCGAGGGCGTCCTGGGCTCCAACCTCGTCGGCTTCCAGTCCTACAGCTACTCCCGCCACTTCTCCAGCTGCTGCACCCGCGTCCTGGGCTTCCCCTCCGACAGCGGCGGCGTCGACGCCTACGGAGCTCGCGTCCAGGTTGGTGTTTTTCCCATCGGCATCAACGCAGACAAGTGCGAAATGTACGCCTGGACCGACGCCGTCACCGAAAAGTACAACGCCCTGAAGAAGCTGTACGAGGGAAAGAAGATCATCGTCGGCAGGGATCGTCTTGACAGTGTCCGCGGTGTTGCCCAGAAGCTGCAGGCGTTCGAGCGCTTCCTCGAGATGTACCCCGAGTGGCGCGAGAAGGTGGTGCTCATCCAGGTCACCTCGCCCACGAGCATCGAGGAGGAGAAGGAGGACCCCGAGAACCGCATCGCCACGCGCGTCAACGAGCTCGTCATGCGCATTAACGGCATGTATGGCAGTCTGGGCTTCTCCCCCGTCCAGCACTACCCCCAGTACCTCAGCCAGGACGAGTACTTTGCCCTCCTGCGCGCTGCCGATATTGGCCTCATCACCTCCGTCCGCGACGGCATGAACACGACCAGCATGGAGTACGTCATTTGCCAGCGCGAAGGCCACGGCCCCCTCATCCTCTCCGAGTTCAGCGGTACCGCCGGCAGCCTCAAGGATGCCATCCACATCAACCCCTGGGACCTCAGCGGCGTCGGCATCGAGATCAACAACGCCCTGACCATGACGCCCGAGAAGCGCATGGCCATGCAGGCCAGCCTCTACAACCACGTCACCACCAAGAACGTCCAGAGCTGGATCGACCACTTCATCCGCAAGCACGTCCACGTCCTGGGCACCCAGAAGAACGTCGTCGCCACCCCTCTCCTCGACCGCGCCCTCATGCTCAAGACCTACCGCGAAGCCGGCAAGCGCCTCTTCATGTTCGACTACGACGGCACCCTCACTCCGATCGTCCGCGAGCCCAGCGCCGCCGTGCCCTCGGAGCGCGTCCTTCAGACTCTCAAGGCCTTGACCAGCGACGAGCGCAACGCCGTCTGGATCATCTCCGGCCGCGACCAGGAGTTCCTCTCCCAGCACCTCGGCCATATTGCTGGCCTGGGCTTCAGCGCCGAGCACGGCAGCTTCATGAAGAACCCCGGTTCCGACGAGTGGATCAACCTGGCCGACGAGTTCGACATGGGCTGGCAGTCCGAGGTCATGGCCGTGTTCCAGTCCTACACGGACAGAGTTCCTGGTAAGTAATTCGAAACCTCAAGCGAAAACGCGTCAGATTGCTAACGTACCCAGGCTCTTTCATCGAGCGCAAGCGCTGCGCCCTCACCTGGCACTACCGACTGGCAGACCCGGAGCAGGGCCTGCACATGTCACGAGAGTGCCACAAGGAGCTCGAGTCGACGGTGGGACAGAAGTGGGACGTCGAGGTCATGGCCGGCAAGGCCAACCTGGAGGTCAGACCGACCTTCATCAACAAGGGCGAGATAGCGAAGCGCCTTGTGCACACATACAACTCCGCCCCTGCGACGGACAAGCACCCCGGCCGGGTCGAGTTCGTCCTCTGCCTGGGCGACGACTTCACCGACGAGGACATGTTCCGGGCGCTCAACGGCCTGTCGGGCAACGAGGTCGAAAACGAGCACGTCTTCACCGTTACGGTCGGCGCGAGCACTAAGGTTACGCTCGCGAGATGGCATCTCCTCGAGCCCGAGGACGTGGTCGAGTGCGTGGCGCTGCTCGCCGGCGTCGGCCTCGGCGGCGAGGCTCACGAGCACTTTGGTCAGGTGAACCTCGCGGCCCTGAGCACGGTGGAGGGACACATTCCCGAGTCGGAGAAGTGACTGAAGCGAAGCAAGCTGTGAATGGGATGGGAGTCATGCAGCCGGGAGTAAGGATAGAGGGCATCTTTTTGAATTTTTACCAGACGGTGTTTTTTGTGTTTTGATATCGGCAGCCGATGGACGGCAGACGTCGAGCAGGGAGAGGCAGGCAGTGCAGTTTAGTCGACACACACACGAGGCATGATGCATGACGGGTTAACCAGCATCGGAGCGGGATGGCCCGACAGATACAGTGGCCAAGATGCATATAGACTTTTTATTTATTGTATCGTTCCCTCACTGTCACGAACCCGGCTTATAGTGACATTGACGCCCATGCCTTTCACGTGTTTCCCGCTGACACATGCGCGCAGAGAAAACAGACCCAGAAAAGAAGGTCACATTGCTTCTGGGATCGTCGTCGGATCGGCCGTCGTACCTGGCAGCTCGGCCGACGCCGAGAGAAAGTCAATTGGAGACGCTGGCGCTGGCGAATCATCTCGCGGCGATTTTCAAGTGGCTGAAGTGGGAAAGGGTAAGCTGTTCGTGAGGCCTTGTTGAGTGCAGTGCCCGACCGAGCATGTTTGCGCAGGTTGATGATCCTGGTCCTTTGCATGGGTTGTTCTTGGCGATGTTGGTTTGGGAGGTGATGTTTTTGAATGTGAGTGCATTTCTTTTGATTTGGTTCCCTACTGTCTGCGTTTGGTGGATAAGAGCTACTACAGATACGACTTGAGGACCTGGTTTCTCGTAATGCTGAGCAGCTATCACAGCCTGGCGAAATACCCCAGCCCGGAAGACGACAGAATCGGGACGATGCCGCTTGCGACTTGCCTCTCCGAGGTTGGATTGTCTGCAGGAACGAGCGCAATTGCACCCTTGATGCGGGGCAATAGATTACAACGGCGGGGCGAACTTGCGCGATGAGAAGGTGGTGATGGCGCACGTCTGTCAGTATTAAGAGGCGTGACTCCCGTCGTCACGATGATGGGATGCCAGTGTTATCCACGGTGCATCGACAGACAAGATGCGGTTTAATGTTCTGCTTCCGGCCCTGACGTTCATCGTCGGGACTCTGGCTCAGGATGAGGAGGACACCCAGAACGAGCCCAAGCGCTTCATCGTCGAGTTCACTAATGTGAGAGCTCCCACACTTGACATGTCCGAAAGCAAAGACTGACCAAAGCAGGGCATCAACACTATAACAAAACGCGACGAGCTCGCTTCAGAAGAGGGCATCACCGTCCTCAAGACATTCTCCTCCTCGCTCTTCTCCGGCGCCGCCGTCGAGACGGACACCCACAACCTCGACTCCCTCCGCACCCTGCCCGCCGTCGCGGCCGTCTGGCCCAACAGCTACGCGCACCTCGTCGCGCCCGTCAAACGGCAAGTCGCTGTCGAGCCCGGTGCTGCGGGGAGCTACGCCGTGCACTGGGCCACGGGCGTCGACGCGCTCCACGAGCAGGGCGTCCGCGGCGACGGGGTCAAGGTCGGCGTCGTGGATACCGGGGTGTGGTATAACCACTCAGCCCTCGGCGGCGGGTTCGGGGAGGGGTTCAAGGTTGCGGGAGGGTGGGATCTGGTCGGTGATACGTGGGCTGTCGGGAGCGTGAAGACGCCTGATGGGGACCCGGTCGATCAGCAGGGCCACGGGACGCATGTTGCGGGGATTATTGCTGGAGAGGCGGAGACGGGTTGGATGGGCGTGGCGCCTGGGGCGAGGTTGTATGCGTACAAGGTGTTTGGCGCGGGGGATGGAACGGATACGGCGACGCTGATTGACGCGTTTCTAAGGGCGTATGATGACGGGATGGATGTGATTCATGCGAGTATTGGAGGTAGGGGCGGGTTTGCGGAGAACGCGTGGGCGGTGGTGGCGAGCCGGATCGCGGCGGAGGGGGTGGTGGTTACCATCTCCGCGGGCAACTCGGGCAACGGCGGCGCGTATTACGCGAGCAGCGGCAGCTCGGGGGAGAATGTGATTGCGGTGGCGAGCGCGGAGGTCAAGAGAAACGAGGGCGGGCAGGTGATCCAGCCGAGTTACTTCACGAGCTGGGGCGGGTTGTATGATTTGAGCGTCAAGCCGGATATTGCGGCGCCGGGGACGGATGTGTTCAGCACGTGGCCTGGGGGCGATGGGAACGAGTTCGTGCTGCTTAGCGGTACGAGTATGGCTGGACCGTATGTTGCGGGCGTGGCGGCGTTGTACGTCTCCAAGCACGGCGGACGGGATGTGCACGGCAAGGAGTTTGCGAAGGATCTGGCGATGAGGGTCGTCTCTTCCGGTGTTTCGTTGCCGTGGCTGCTGTACGGCGGGGGCTCGGATGAGGCGTACCGGGCACCTTCGCAGCAGGTCGGCGGCGGGCTGATTGATGCGAGGAAGGTGTTGGGATACGGCACGAGTCTGGAGTTGACCAGGTTCGGGCTGAATGATACGGCCAACTTTCGGGCGAGCCAGGGGGTGACGGTGCGGAATGGCGGGAACGAGAGTGTGAAGTACAGCTTTGAGGTGGAGAGCTGGGCTGGGTTTGAGATGCTGAGGCCGTTTGATGCGAAGGATGTAATGGAGACGCCGAGGATGCGGTATCGGCCGGAGATGGTGCCGTCGAATATCACCGTGACGGCGGGGGTTCCTGAGGTGTTCGAGTTGGGCCCCGGAGAGACGAGGAAGGCGGAGTGAGTCCATCACCCACTACTGGGTTGGACAGTTGCTGACGATGGCAGGTTTGCGTTCGAGATTCCGCAGGGTGTCAATGAGACGGCACTCCCGGCTTATGGTGGCCGAGTCCTGGTCAAGGGGAGCAACGGAGAGACTGTCGCTGTTCCATTTCAGGGGCTGGCATTCGACTTGAAGGAACAGATGCAGAGCGCCTTTCACGGCACATATCCGTGGTTGAGATCTACGAGTGCTTACAGCAACAAGACGACGTGAGTACGAAGCGGGCAAGGTATTATGATAATGTTGTGCTGATCGACCATCACAGATTCAACTTCAACACTGCCACCGGTTCGCAAGACTTCCCCATGATGTTCATGAAGATCAAGTGGGGCACCAGAGAAGTCAGATGGGACGTAAGTACTCTCTCAGTTTCGTGAATCGTAGCACACTCTGATGAAAATTAGATCTATGAATCCGGCTTCGAGAACGAGCGCGACTGGGAGTACCCGCCTGTCCCTAGACGAAAGGGGTACATCGGGTCGGCGACGTCGTGGTCTTCAGCTGGCAATGTGGCAAGCTTCAACCCCGCTCGTCATAATGCCAGCGATACCTTCTCCTTCCCGGTGACGGACCAAGGCCGGAATGCGTTGACTACTGGCGGCTTCACGACGGCCTATTACTGGTTCGGGAAGATGGCGGATGGCACGCAGATTGCCCCTGGCAACTACACGTAAGTCGAACTCCCGGCTTTTCCGCCGAAAACGATACCAATGGGAGATGAGGCTAACATTTGGCATAGCATGAGGTTCGCTGTATTGGTCCCATTCTCTGGCCCTCTGGAGGCAGGTAGTTGGAAGGGACTGACAACTGAGTTTACGGTTCTGCCAACCGGGAACACGACAGTTGCTCGCAGATGGTAGTAATCAGAAATGGGATCAAATGTTGCAGCTTTTGTATTAATTAGCAGACTTGCTTTGAAGCAAGTAGGTATTTGCGGCTGAAGTATCATACACGCGCTCCGTCCCCATCTAAGACTGTGCTGCAAATAACTAGTTGTGGGTGAAAAGAAGAGAAGGCCAAGCGAAAGAAAACCGCAACGAACTACTTAACGCCAAATAACGCCAAATTCAGCCAGGTGCAGATGAATGAGTCTCTATGACCTGATAGAGCATCCAACCACATGCTCCAATCGTAAATATCCCCACCGCGTCATCGCTCACTGAAGCCTCGTAGTGCCGTCCTTAATCAGCTTGAGCATGGCATCAGTGCCGAACTGGTTGTACTCCCTGCAAAGAGTCTTGTACTCGCGCATGTTGATCGCCTGCTTGCGGACGAAGATCTTGTCCAGGGTGATAGCCAGGAAGGCGTCCTTCAGCTTATGCTTCTTCTCATACTCAGTGTAGATACACCGGCCAGCGTCAAGCCAGTCCTGGGGGTTGAGGGAGAAGCCCTGGGCCTCCGCGAGGCGGCCGTTGCGCGGGACCACTTTGTTGGTGAGGTAGTCCATGACCTCGTCGCAGAGGGCCTGGACGTTGAAGTAGTCGCCCAGGATCCAGAGGCGAGCGCAGTTGTGCAGGATGGTGTGGGCCTTTTCGAAGGGCTGGAAGTTCACCTCTGTGTTTTGTTTGTCAGGATAAGTGGATGAGAAAGGGGGTGGACTAGGTAGGGAGATAGCAATGAAGAAATGCGAAAACAGTGACAAGGACGACAGGGACGACAAAGAGGGGCGACAAAGACGAAAATGGCGCCATGAGGAGGGAGACTTACTGCCCAGGTAGATGAACCTGATGAGCTGGTCAATCTCATCAGCCGTGTACTCTGTGATCTCGACCTTGCTGATCTTCGCCTCCTTTGTCAAGTTAGTATTGGACATGCATGGCATTGATATGAAGATGCACTCAATGCTGTGATTGGATGGCGTACCCAAAAGTTCAAAAAGGAGAAAAAGGGGTAAAAGGGTGAAGATGCACTCACTGGCCAGTTGTTCAAGAGAACAGACTTGAAATAGGAGGAGCGCGTGCAGAGGATTGTCTTGTGGAGGTTCCAAGACTTGTCTCCGCAGATGACCATGCAGTCAGACAGGATGCCTGACATGAGGAGGCTAGAAAGGAATACAAGTTAGAAGCAGCATGAACAAAAAAGGTAGCACGCGCTAAGAGTTTTGCTCATGTGGAGGAGAGTAAACAAAGAATGGGGGAACTCCGTTTTGTGAATGGGACGTTATGGAGGAGACTTACTATTGATCCTGATCTCCGAAAGGGCTCATGATGATGAAGATTAAGGTGTGATTTGGCTTGTGAAGTTGAATATTATTCCTGGAACCCTGACTCAGTTGGTCTTTTGTGTTGGAGAGCGTGCGGTCTATATGTGAAGGTGTATACGTCCTTTTGTGAAAGTATTGTGTGTTGAGGTAGAAGAACGAAGACTGTGACGTCGAAGATGAATATAAATAGCTGGCGGCCTAGAGGCTGTAAGCTGTTCACTGAGTCAACGGCAACGGCAGCTGCGATCCGTTCTCGAGCTTGCCTCGTCTTGGGCTTAATGAACGATGGCTTTGAGCTTGGGCTTTTCCAAGGTGTTTGAGTGTCTGAATTGTAAAAGTCACCTTGTAGTATTAGGGTGAAAGAAGTGATGTCTTCCAGGTCGCTCCTGTTGTGGGGTGTGGTTAGGATGTGTGGTGGGAGGGGGAGTAGTTGGAAGCGACACGTGGGTGGATTGGGAAGTTTGATGGCTTGAAATAGGTCTCCGACTCTTGATAATCGGCGGGAAGAACCTGTGCTGCTTTGGGATGGCAGGAGGAACCGGAAGGAAGTCGCGATGGGGGTTGATTAAGTTTGCTCCCACACGATCTCGGAAGTTGACGTTTAGATGTTGAGGTTAAGAAATATAATACTGAATCACTTTAGTTGAAGGTGCGCAGCAGTTGCTAAGAGAGACTTGGGGACAGGCTTGGATTCTGGAATAGCTAAAACTGCGCACATCATGGAGTTAAGTTAATAGTGAACAGCAGACCCAGACATCACTGAATGGTACGTGAGCCACACAAGGTTGACATGGAGTGTCGTAGACGTTTTGAAGATTGAAATCAAATGTTTATAAAACAACGCTTTTGTCTAAATGCTGTTCTATCCAACGTCAGGAACAAGTCTAAGGTATCTATATGTCTAAAAACATGTACATGAAGAAACGGTGTAGTAGTCAATCATCAAGGAAAGAGTCCTCCTCTGCAAAGACAATCTAAACAGTGATCTGGGCAGTGCCGCGAATGTCGCGGGAGCTGGCACCGACGGAGAAGGTGTAAGTGCCCTTGGCGACGGCCCACTGCTGGGCGGTGGTGTCCCAGTAGCTGAGGTCACGGCGGCGGAGGCTGAAGGTCACATCGCCAGACTGGCCGGGGGCGACGTTGACCTTCTCGAAACCACGGAGGACACGGGTAGGCTGGGCAGCCTCGGCGGGGAAGGTGACGTAGAGCTGAGCGACCTCGGAGCCCTCGATGGCGCCGGTGTTCTGGACCTTGGTCTTGACGCTGACGACCTCGTCCCAGAGATCGGCCTGGCCACCGGGGAAGAGGGCACCGGTGGGGTACTTGGAGCTCAGAGCGGTCTGGTTGGTGGCGGTGGCATCGACCTTGTCGTAGGAGAAGGTGGTGTAGCTAAGACCGTGGCCGAAGGGGAAGCGGACGGTGGTGTTCTTGGAGTCGAAGTAGCGGTAGTCAATGTAGACGCCCTCGGAGAACTCGCAGACCTCGGTCAGGCAAATCTGGGCAGGGTAGTCGGTGGCCTTCTTGGCGATGGTGTGGGTGACCTTGGCGCTGGGGTTGACGTCGCCGTAGAGGACGTCGGTGATGGCGTTGCCGGACTCCTGGCCGAGGAGGCCGGAGTAGAGGACGGCGGTGACGTTCTCGTTCTCGATCCAGGCATCGAGGACGCGGGGGCCGGCGGTGTTGACGATGACGACGGTGTTGTTGCAGTTGGAGGCGACGGAGGTGACCATGGCGTCTTGCTCGTCGTCGTAAAGGAGGCTGCGGTCACCGCCCTCGCCGGAGTAGGAGTTCATGAAGACAAGGCAGACCTCGGAGTTCTCGGCGTAGTTGGAGAAGGAAGGGGTGGTAGCGGTACCCTGGCCGAGGTTGCCGAGGCCACCGCCGCCACCACCGCCCATGCCGCCGCCGGTGCTGTTGCCTCCACCCATGCCGCCTCCGGTGGTAGCGTTGCCGGTCATGCCGCCAGGGGGACTGCCGCCGCCGCCTCCCATGCCACCAGAAGAGGTAGAGGTGTAGGTGTTGTTCAGGAGCCACCAGATCATGCTGTTGTCCTCAATGGCGCGGGCAGTGATGGCCTGGAAAGGGGTAACGAGGTAGGGCAGGGACAGCTGGCCGGAGCCAGTGCCGGAGGCAAGGTGGCCCTGGTAGACGTCGGAGTCGGTTCCCTGGACGCTGAAGGGCTGGTTGGGTCCGGCGAGAGCGGGGCCGGCGTGGGCACCGAAGAGGGAGATGGTGCGGGGCTTCTTCAGGGGAAGACCGAGCCCGGAAGTGTTGGAGTTCTTCAGGAGGACGATGGACTCCCCGGCAACCTGGCGGATGAGCTTGGAGTGGTTGCCGCGGACGTCACGGTACTCGGTGGAGCTGGAGACGGTCTCGGGCTGCTTGCCGTTGTCGAGGCCCACGGAGTAGTAGCCGATAACGTTCCGGATGGCCATGTCGTCGAGACGGTCCTGGGTGAAGCTACCGTTGTTGATGCCGGCGTTGAGGATGTCCTCAGTCCAGTAGTTGCTGGAGCCGTAGTCGAGACCAGCGTTGGCGGAGCCGTAAGAGGTGGACTGGGAGTTAACATCGGGGAAGACGAGACCAAGGAAACCCATCTCCTTCTTCAGGACCTTGCTGATGAGGTCGTTGTTCTCGCAGCAGAGAGTGCCGTTGACACGGGTCATGCCGCACATGACGGCCATCATACCGGACTTGACGCCGTCGGCGAAGGGCCAGGAGTAGAGCTCGTGGATGGTCTTGTCGTCGGCGTTGGAGGTGTAGACGGCGGAGGTGGTGGCGGAGATGCCCGAAGAACGGTTGGTCTCCTGCTCGTTGAGGAGGAAGTGACGGCCTCCGGCAATGACACCAGCAGAGTTCATGCCAGAGATGGCCTTGCCCATGGCAATACCGGTCAGGTAGGGGTCGGCGGCGAAACTCTCGGGGGTACGTCCGCCGTAGGGAACACGGCCGAGAGGGCCGGGCTCGGGTCCGTTGATGAGGTTGTAGCCCATGCCGTAGAACTCGTCGCCGATGGCTCTGAACTGCTGCTCGATGAGCTCGCGGTTCCAGCTCATGGTCAAGGCGTTGGCCATGGTGAAGCCGGAAACATAGAAGGCGTAGTTGATACCGGAGACACCATCCTTGTTAGCGAGAGCAGTCCAGGAGCTGCCACTGGTGCTGTTGCTGGTGACGCTCTGGCCGGTGATGATCGAAACCTTGGCGGCGTTGTCGAGGGTCGCGACGAAGGCCTTGGCCTTTTCGTAGGCATTGTTAAAGTCACCTAGCTGGACTGAAGATGATGTCAGAGCCAAAGACTGGAAACTCGGGGGTTATCAATAATACCATATCCGTCAGAGAGAATAGCAGAGGTAGAGGTGGAGGAAGAGTTGGAAAGAGCGGAAGTAGAAGAAACGAAAGTAAGCGCCGCAAGGGCGCGGGATGAGAGTGAAACTCTCATGTTGATCCAAACGAACGGCAATAGTCTAAAGAACGGATGATGGGGTGAAGTTGAAACTCTTTCGTCTGAAGATTCATGATTCGAGTTTCAGTCTCTGCTCAAGTATTATATACACTTCTTGGCAACTCCATTGCCTCGCTGCGCCGACGTCCGTTGCGCGGCCGCTGGGGCGATAAGGCCGAGATGTCGGCCAGTCTAGTTCACGATCGCAATGACAGCGCCCCATCGTGGTGAGCTTCCACGTCCCCCGGCCCGCCACGAGGAGCGCCACAATAAATTAAGGCTCAGGGGCGGATCTCCATATAACCTCATTGTCGGCGGATTTTCTGGGACGTTGGCTTTAAAGCACCCGGGAATTCCGGACAGTGAAACATAAATAAACGAAAACAGTCGAGAAGACGTTCATGCCAGGCCGGAAAATCCGGGCTCTTTGTATGTGCGGTTGCTCTTCTGCCCACATACCGCAGCGCACAGAGTTACGCGGCGACGCGTGGCGGCTCCGTAAACGGGGCCGGACGGGGACACCTTATTATGCTGTTCCCTGCAACCACTCAAGCATCATATCTATGTCCGGCCAAAAGCCATCGGAAACCGGCCGCTGACATATCGTCTACCGCATTTCGACATCTTTGCAGGGTTAGCTCCGAGTGTTTGGGTATTTGAAGAGTGGGATGCCGCGGCTGGATTGCCTCGAGAGACGGCCGGGAAAGACATGAACAACATCATGACGATGGCAGCACGGCACAATGTTGCCTCGAAAAACTTGCCGCCGTGACGCAGCCCGATTCGTAGATGGTGGCCTCCAATGAGTGTCCCCGCTGTACGGCCGCGCCGATAATGTGATGGAGACACCCGGTTGCAGCCGATGAAGTGCCCGTTGGAGCAATGATCGTTGGTTTACTGAGATTAGATGAAGGAGGTGGCTGGAACACAACGGCCATCCCGGAAAGGTCGATGAGGAAGACTGGATGAACGATAAGGCAGCGGGAATGCGGCACAGTCCATCTCCAACGGGCTCTAAACCAAACAAGCTCTCGGCAATCAGAGTAAACAACTGCGCGTGGCGCCTTGGCGAAGTCGAGAAGGCTTACCGTAGCTGCGGCTCACTCACGATATGTGGGTGCTCGGATGGCCTTGTCCGCATCCCAGCCCCTGTCTGCCGGCATTGCAGGCTGCAAAATTGCGTAAAATTAGAAATCTGGTAATCTTGGGTTCCATGTGCAGATCACTCCGATTTCTCCGAGCGGCTTGTGAGAAGAGATTTTGCCGTTCTTTTCTGCCCAGTTGACACCATCGCAGCACTTATTCTACGGATGCACATAGAAGAGCATCACAGCAGACTCTCATACTCGGGCAGAATGGCGTCCGCTGTTTGCTCATGAGCTCAATCTCAGTGAGAGCCATTGAGCATGGTTGATGTCATTTTTGAGAAAAAGCATCTTCAAAAGACGAAGCCATTGATCTCGGAAGACTAAAACAACGAGCCAACACCACTTGAGGCCTGTGGTTGAGCTGCACAGTTGAGGATGATAACTCTCGGTGTGGCAGCTGTTGACCGAGAATGCACTCGGTCGCAATCGGTGAGAGACCAGACACCTCTCCGGCTCCAAGGTGTGGGGCCAATGGCAGTGGCCGTCAAGGTGCCTTAGGCGCCGCCAATTGCATCATTCCGACCGAGGAGCTCGAATAAGCCGAGCCGCTGCTTGCGACGTTTTCGCGTTTTGGTGCACAATCGCCGTCCAACACCCCCCGAGACAACCGGATTCTCGTAAATCTCTCTTCTTCACTGCCAAACGGTCTTTTGCCTCCTTTTCTGGACCAGATCATCCGCAGGTCGTGGTAAGTTGCGGCAATTTCCTACCCCTCCGACGATCGCAGACCTCCTTCGGCTCTCCTTATCGATTAGCTCGGCTCGACTCCCGTCCTCCGCTGCGACTGACGCTTTTCACGCAGAGTCAAGGAGGAAGATGATCGTGTTGCGGCGCCGGGCACGATCACGATGATAATCCGAGCCGTTCACAAGGCTCCATTGGCCTGCCCTCGAGGCCTCGGTCACGCGAACCTCTGCCGTCCACCATGGCTCCCTCAGAGCCCGCGAGCCCCTGTTCGCATCTTCCAAACCAGCGCCCCTGCGAGACGCGAACAACCCAAGACCCCCGCGACGACGAAGCCCAGCGATGGTAGCCCTAAGGCGACCGCTGCGAAGGCCACGCAGGCCAAGAAACCCCCCGCCGACCCCCTTGCGACACCCGAGAAGAATGCCCAGGAGCAGCGCAAGGCTGACTGGGCCATCATGAAGGAGATGTCGAGATACCTCTGGCCCAAGGACAGCTTGAGCACCAAGGTCAGGGTCGGACTCGCCGTCTCCTTGCTGATTGGCGCCAAGGTCCTCAACGTGCAAGTCCCCTTCTACTTCAAGAGCATCGTCGACGCAATGAACATCGACTTTGGTGCGACTGGCGGGACGGCAGTCACCATAGCAGGAAGCATGATTCTAGCATACGGCGCAACAAGAATTGGAGCTACGGTCTTCCAGGAGCTGCGGAACGCGGTCTTTGCCTCTGTGGCCCAGAAGGCAATTCGCAAGGTGGCCTGCAACGTGTTTGACCATCTGCTGCGGCTGGACCTCAGCTTCCATCTGTCCAAGCAGACGGGTGGCTTGACGCGCGCAATCGATCGAGGAACCAAGGGTATCAGCTTCTTGCTGACGAGCATGGTCTTCCACATTATTCCCACGGCTTTGGAAATCTCAATGGTCTGCGGTATCTTGACATGGCAGTACGGCGCCAAATTCGCCGCCATTACGGTGCTTACCATGGTTGGCTATACGGCTTTCACAATCTGGACGACGGCTTGGAGAACGAAGTTCCGAAGACAGGCGAACGCAGCCGATAACAAGGCGTCTACGGTTGCTGTGGACTCTCTTATCAACTACGAGGCCGTCAAGTACTTCAACAACGAAAAGTTTGAGGTTGCGAGATACGACCAGGCACTCCAGGCATACGAGAAGAGCTCGATCAAGGTCGCTACCTCCCTGGCCCTCCTCAACAGCGGTCAGAACATCATCTTCTCTTCCGCCCTGACGGCCATGATGTACCTGGCGGCGAACGGTGTTGCGCAGGGTAACCTCACGGTCGGTGATCTCGTCATGGTTAACCAGCTTGTCTTCCAGCTGTCGGTGCCTCTCAACTTTCTTGGATCCGTCTACCGTGAACTGCGCCAGTCACTGCTTGATATGGAGACTCTGTTCAACCTGCAAAAGGTGAACGTCTCCATTAAGGACGTGGCCGATGCTAAGCCCCTGGCCCTTTCCAAGGGCGGAGAGATCAAGTTCGAGAACGTCACTTTCGGCTACCACCCCGATCGCCCTATCCTCCGTAACCTGTCGCTTACTATTCCCGCTGGCAAGAAGGTGGCAGTCGTCGGCCCTAGTGGTTGCGGCAAGTCCACCCTCCTTCGCCTGTTGTTCCGATCCTACGATGTTCAGTCCGGTCGCATCTTCATCGACGACCAGGAAATCCGCCAAGTCCAGGTTGACTCCCTCCGCAGGTCCATCGGCGTTGTTCCTCAGGACACTCCCCTGTTCAACGACACTATTGAGCACAACATCCGATACGGTGACATGTCTGCTCCTCAAGAGCGCGTCATTGCTGCTGCCCAGCGTGCGCGCATCCACGAGATCATCGAGCGCTTCCCCGATGGATACCAGACCAAGGTCGGAGAGCGCGGTATGATGATTTCTGGCGGTGAGAAGCAGCGCTTGGCCGTCAGCAGACTGCTTCTGAAGGATCCCCCTTTGCTCTTCTTCGATGAGGCGACTAGTGCTTTGGATACCCATACCGAGCAGGCGCTCATGCTCAACATCAACAGTATTCTCCGCGAGAAGTCGCGGACCAGTGTGTTTGTCGCGCACAGATTACGCACAATCTTTGACGCGGACTTGATTATCGTCTTGAGGGAGGGCAGTGTGGCTGAGATGGGTACTCACAGGGAGTTGATTGATCGGGGCGGACTGTACGCCGAGCTTTGGAGTGGTAAGTTGGTCCCAAGTCCATCTCGTGGCGTTCATGCTGACACCCGACGAAGCCCAGGAGACTTTGTTCAACGCAGATGGAGAGCGCGAGGTCGCAGAGGAGGACGCGCAGAAGCCACCCGCTGGTCGCTGATCTTTGAGTTTTTTGTTGAATACCACTTACCGAAAAATCGAATTCCATGTTCACAGTTATCGCATCTTGTGAGATCTTTCATGTGAACTATCTCCGACTTTCTCAAGCATATTGAGCTTGATGATGGGGCGTACCATTTCCTCTGCTCAGGCTGGGAAGCCCGCGTTTAATGGCATAGTAACTGAACCGAATCTCCCACACAAGTCTTTCCAGGTAGAACTCCTTGGCAGCTGGCGTGAGAGGCTAATGGCTATTAGTCTTAGCTACGGCACGCAATGCGAAGCGAGGTCAACACTAGCATGGTGATGGGAAGGCTTGTCTATATCGACCCCACCTTGCCGATTTCAACGGAAAGGACAAAATCTCCGCGCCGGGATGGGCCGCTCTCAAGTGGGACGGTCTCGGGTTTCCTGGCAGGGCGAACCGTTTGAGGTGCAGCATCATGAGGGGTGGTGAAGGATGCCCGGTTTTTGTGGAGATGCGGCCGGAATCGGTGCAACATTCCTCACAAGAGTTGCACATCACGCTCACAGAAGTAGTGAACCCCAGCCATGATTCGGTACTAAGAAAACTCAACGCGGTCCGTCCGATCATCATATCATCATGCACTCAAGCCCCCTCAACTCCCGTTTTCTGCTGCCGAAGTGGACCCAAACGGACTAGACGGACTGATGAGCCGGCCCTCAGCAGTCGTATCCGCGTACTCAAAATGACTCTTGCTGCATGAGCCGCGCAAGTCGTGGTGAATCATGTCGCTTAATGCTCGATTTCCCCGGCCGGCGGCCCCAGTTCAGGGACCGGAGAAAACCCACTCGTCTCCGCTTCAAGTTTCGGCGGCATCCCGTCGAGTCCGAGTCGCCGACCCACTACACGGAGATCGTGAGCGGTCTGCTGGCCGGTCGACATTATGATGCGCCAGTAGTGCGATGTCTCCCAGACCAGTGGCGGATTTATAATGGCTTATGATTCCCATCTGATGCTGCGTTTTTGGCTTGCGATTGACTTTGGATAATCGCATCATCCTGCTGATCGTTTTCTTCGTGGTGTCGACTTGCCATCTGATCTCGCATCAACCACACAGACGCACATACCACTCGCACATATTGCACCACCAAGAAACATTGAGACGAAAGATGACGCCTATCGAAAACCCAGCGATCCCTGAGGGTTCCATTGTCGTCGTCACCGGCGCCAACGGCTACATCGCTTCTCATATCGCCGACCAGTTCATCCAGGCGGGCTACATCGTTCGTGGAACGGTTCGCAACCCGAAAAAGAGCGCCTGGCTTGTGCCCCATTTTGAGAAGGCCTATGGCAAGGGGAAGTTTGAGCTGCACATTGTGCCTGACATGCAAGCTGGTGGAGCTTACGATGAAGCTGTCAAGGGTGAGCTGAAACGAATCTATCCCCGTAAATAGAATGAGTAACGTTGCTGACCTTGATCAGGTGCTGCGGCCTTCGTGCACACTGCCACCGTCATTGACTTCAACGGCGACCCGGCCGAAGTCATCGGCGGCGCCGTCAAGTGCGGCATGGTTGCCATCGAGGCTGCCTACAACGAACCCAACATGAAGCGCTTCATCCTGACTTCATCGGCCTCGACTCTCATGCCCCTCAAGAAGGAGAACTTCTTCGCTCTCAAGGGCCAGACTGTTGACGAGACCACGTATGGCCATGATGCTAAGGAGCTCGCGTGGGCTCCACCTCCGTGGGGTATCGAGCATGGCGGCGCTATCTACGGCGCGAGCAAGATGGAGCAGGAGCAGAGCATCTGGAAGTACTACAAGGACAATGCCTCGAGACGTCCTGATATCGTAGTGAACTCGAGTGAGATACCGCTCATGCTTCCAATGTCAATGAGAGTGCTGCTAACCGAGGGCCATGTCTAGTTGTGCCCGACTTCAACTTTGGCAGGAGCATCGACCCTGTCAACGCTGGAGGAACATCTTCTTTTGGCTTGGTGACAGATTTGTTCGAGGGCAAGAGCTTGGGTGAGCTCTGGCATCTGCCGCGTAAGTGCACACGCTTCCTTCATACATTTGCTATTCAAATATGGCTGACCTCTGAATGCCTTTCAAGATTACTTCGTGGATGTACAGGATGATGCCGCGCTCCACCTGGCCGCCGCGATTCTTCCGGATGTCAAGGCTGAGCGTATCTTCGCTTTCGCTTTCCCCATGCACTGGGATCAGATCCTTGAGATCATGAGAAAGCAGAACCCTGATAGGAAGTTTGCGGACAACTTCTACGGCGAAGAGTACCCTGTCACAGTGAAGCCGATCGCTCGCGCCGAGTCGTTGCTGCGAAGGATCGGAAGACCAGGGTGGATCTCGTTGGAGGATAGCATTGCATCAAACACGGAGCACCTCAGGGGTACCAATGGTCACTCAAATGGGGTCACTAACGGCGTTTGACGTTGTCGATGAGGGTACAAGACGTAGACATACATCAAATCAAGTAGCATAGATCTTTTCACCGATCATCACATCAAATAGGGCACCCAGGAGGCAATATGATATCAACTGTCGATTTGGTATCCTAGCAATCGCGTTTTCTTCGCGCCAAGCCCTGAACCTATCTGAGTTTCTTCGACGGTTTTCCTCCAAAATCCATAACTTATTTGCAGTATCCGAGCTCGACGAAGCGCTGGCATTGGGCAGCGGTGTCGCAGCAGAGACCGCAGCCGTGGCTGTTGGGAGGAGGGGTGGTGCACTTTCATCTTGTCAGTACCATTCTTAATCCACGGTGTGTAGAGAACCGGGAACCACTTACGACAACTCCTCCCTTGCGCTCGGAACAGGGGAAGCAGCCCTCGGCCGCGACGGAGGTGGCGAGGGAGAGAGCGGCGATGAAAACGGCGGTGACCTTCATTTTGGCGAAGAGGTAGAGACTGGTTTTTGGGTTGAGAGAAGATTGACTGTAGATTTTGTGATGTTGAGAAGGCTGGTGAGTGATGTTGTATCGAGAAGTTGGAGATTCAACGGCCCTTAAATATTTCTCGGAAGGACCTGTTCAACGCATATCGCTCAAACATTTGCTGAAATACTTGTGAGACGTAGATGAACTGCACTCATGATCTTCGACGATATTTCCCTGGAAAAGGGCTCAACCGGCGATTGCCGAACATCCTATATCTGCTGTCTTAATTGAGGCTCTCAAGGCAGCTTGGTGAAGGGATTGATCTACAACATGGAACAGAGCGTTGATGAATGACATGGGATGAACGACCAGGAAGTTGGGCGCTAAGCTTCGTTGGCTGGCGGCCCCCCCAGATTCTAGACTGTGAGACCAAGAACATCATGCCTGGGATACCCTGATTGAATTACCTTCAGAACGGGCAACTGACGAGTCAGTGGGTGGCCTGGTGGCTGTGAGTCAGCTGGCAAGTCTGTCCTCACGCTCAGGGGAACCTATATCTTCCACTCCGTTATGAGTTCTGTCAATGTAGATCATGTGAAAACACGACTCGTACTTCAGTGTCTTTCACGGAAACCACAGCCCACGTGCATGAATTAGAGCGACTCGCATAGGGGTACAGAGCCTCAAGGCAGCATTTCCATGCCGACCCTAAAACAGTTTTCAAAGTCCCAGCCATCTGCGCACTAGCTGGAAATGATTCTCAAACGGTCTCTTTGCGACTTGTCCTCCCTAATCTCGAAGAAAACTTCTGATGTGGTTCTGGCCAGCTTCTGCGTTGGTGTCAGGATGTGATAAGGCAAACCTTATGGTTGCTTAGATTCAGAAGTCGCGTATTGGTGTGGAAACGATCAATGTGGGTACATTTCGCTGCTTTTCTCAAGACATCGACTCAGTTGCAAACTTCCAGAACCATGTCTGAATAGACTACCCCCCGTTACCCAGAGAGTGGGCGGAGCAGAGGACGGGGAAGCATGAAATTAAGCACAAGCGGGGAAGGCCGGAAACAGGAGTTATTTACCCCATTCACAACTAGAGAGAGGACGCCAGCAAGGTAGTCTGATCGTGCATATGATATTGATGAAGTAGGGGCTAACGATCCTCGTTGGGGGCCAGGGAATGATGCACGTCTCATCCAGACGGGCGTCGGAGTTGAAGGCCGACTTGAGACGCTCTAGGCGTTCTGGGGAGACCGAAACTTAGAATGATGAGTCGTGGGTACTTTGAATACGCGCCGTTTAGTTCGACAGAGTGGTTGTGGAAAAGCCGTTTATGCAAGAACCCACATGTTCATCCAGACTTGACTAAGGTAACAGCTTGCCTGCCCAAGACCCCCTGTCGTAGCGAAGGAAGTTAAGTTCAGGGATGTGCTCGGTAGTGTGTTTGATGCCACTACAACGGATGAGATATCTTGACATGCATCATTTTGGCATTCTCGCCAAGGCGAATACTGCTCAACGTAGCGACCTGTATTAAGTAACTTTGATGCGATTCCAATTGAGCGCAACCGCTGCAAGATGTTGCTTAACTACCCTGAGACAGAAATGGGTTTCTATATGTCTCGCGAGTCGTCAAAATAACTTTCTCCGAGTCTCTCGAAGAATGAGGTGAATCAAGACTGTACTCCATGTGTCGGTATCGGATTCAGCAAACATATCCACGGATCCTGGTCAGAGGAATTCGAGACTTATAAGTGCATCCTGATACACGTGCCGAGTAGATAAGCTGACGATAAACTGGGAGTATTGATAAGTATTGTGTCTTCTCTAAGATAGGTATTAACGTGAACTTCTAATTATTGTGCTTCACAGCCTGGTGGTTCCCTGTTATTCACCCGCGATCCACGGGAACGTGCCCCCGAGAAAGTCATCGGTTACCAGCAAACCGGCATCAGCATCGAACATACCGCCTTCCGAAAGCAACATCTTATCTACATCGCTGCCCGCAACTGGCCCTGAAAGCCCGGTCATCAGAGTAAAGTCTGCAAGTGCATCGGCCGCCGGGATGTCCCCTTCCTCTCTCCGGCTAGCTTGAATAATGCTGTCTTTAATCTCACCTACGCACGGCCATGCATTCTGGACAGCATTCATGGCTTCGAGAATGCGTGTCAGTGCTTGTGAAGTTTGTGTCTCATCCCATGGCGTTCCTTCTAGGTAGTGTCTCATCATTATGGTTCCTGCCGCGGTAGCAAGAGTGTGAACGAAATCAATCGGTAGGCAGTCGTAGCGATAAAAGCGATTGTAGCTCCTGAGCAGACGTAGAATGGCCTGTAGCGACTCATAGCATATTTCCACATCTTCACTGGATGCAACATCTGGCTGCGACAAAAGGTGGCGCGGCGGGCGATGGAGAATTATCATTGCAGTATGAAAACGCATGCTACGACTTGTCAGAGAAGAGATTTGAAGGGACGCGCATGACTCACTGTAGATGAAGGACACACGCTGGGACTTGACCAACTGTCCATTGATTCCAGTAAAGCTTCCCGGGTAGGCTTGCCAGCCACTTTGTCAAAGAGACGTGAATCTTCTGAACAGTTGCAGCGGTGTTGGCATTGTGTGTTCTCGACCGACGATTTTCGAAGAGTTCGGTAATGATACTATGTTGAATCTTTGACAGTTCAGCTTGATGGATCAAAGCCCCAACGAGAGCAATCCCATCTTCGAACGCCGTAACGGACAGGCCGGGCGCGATATATGTGTCGAGCAGCCCTTCCCAGTCAGGCGGGTATGGGAGTCTAACGGTATTCCGAACATCTGATTCATACAAATACAGAGCTGGCGGTCGTCCAAAGTAGAGACTCAGCTGCTTGTCAACAATGAAGGCGGCCCAGTAGGCACGGCGCAAAATCTCTCGATCAACATCTGGCTCAGAGGTTCCGTTCCAGTTATTCGGGTCCAGGTGTAGACCCATCTCGTGGGCTAAACGAAATGCCATGCCACAGAACAACCAACCTTTCGAAGCACGACCACGCCCAATCTCGCATTGACCGAGAAGAAGTAGAGCCTGCAAGCTAGTGAGGTCAGGCCGGTCGAGAGCCGAGTACAACAGCTGTTGAGCCTGGGCAGAAAACACATCAAAAAGTTGTATATCTTCAGGGTCGCCAGTCGCAAGGGATCCCATGGCGCATATTGCGAAAAGAAGAAAATCGGAGTAGTAGCGACCAGTCCCAACATCGTAGTCGCGAAGAAAGTACTCTCGATAGATGTACATGTTGTAAGGGTATTGCTCCCTGAAGAAGGAGGCCATCAGACGCTGCGATACGTCATCGTGAGGTGCGTACTGGAAAAAGCTGTTACGGGGGCTTGTGATCTCGGTGGGCTGGTCAGCGTTAGCGGTGCCGAGTATCTCGTCGGCAATCGTCGTTGTCATGGACCCGTCGGTACACGGCAATGTATGGCTTTCTCTATCGCATATATATATGTTGAAAAGACTGGTCCCTCCGTAAAAATGAGCTGAGTTGCCCTTGGCAAGTTTTCTTAGCTGGCCAGCTCTTGGGCGAGCTAGTCCGGCTTCATCGTCTTCTTGAGGTGACTTGGAATTCTCTTGACTTATGCTTGCGCTGGGATCACTTGGGATGATCTCTGGTTCATTCTGGGATGCAGTCGGTTCTCCTGTTGCAACATAGCAAAGCAGCATTCGCTCCCGGTGCTCTGAGTCTGCCGCTGCTAACTCTCGGATGAAGACTTCGAGGGATGCGACTTGCCCTTCCAGTGCGCGGACATATGTCTTAGGCACAGGCCTTCGAGAGTAATCATGTTAGATTCAGCAAGGAACAGAAGACACGACCTAGACGTTGAGACAACCGTGGTCTTGGGAAAGAAACCACTCACCTTTGCTTCTCCCCGGTGCCCGCCCTCATACATTCTGTTCCGGCCTTTCGACATCGTGCGCATGGCTTTCGACGGTCGCATTTGATCTGAACTCGAAACTCACAGTGTTAGACACATTTCAAGCCGAGACTGGTATTAGCGGGCAGTGCTATTGTACCTTTCGTCGGCGACACCGCTCGCATCTAATATTCCACGATATCAGACAAAATGTCAACGAGTCATGGTACCAAGTCAATCCACCTACGAAGTAGTCACAACCTCTCCTATCGGAGTCTTTGAATCGGCCTCCGGGCTTTCATTCATCGTGAGGAACAGTATGTCCGGAGGGAGACGCCGTGTAAAACCCAAAGATTCCAGCCGTTATTCTATTACAGACAGTATTTTGCTGCGTCCCGAACGAACACACCAGCGCCATGTTAGATAGAGGAGGGGCTTGAATGATAAGATAAGCGCTATTTTGGCCATCTCGTTCGTCACTGCCACGCTCTCCGCGGAGCGGGGATCCGGGAAACATGACCCATTCCCAGGATGTTCCCCAGTTCTGGAGACCCACAGACGGGGGCGGATGTCCGCTGCCGCCACCAGATAGGGGTGCATTGAGTCCCGAGCAGGATGTAGGTTGTGTTATTGGTGCAAACCCCCTAGCATTAGATAACATGAATAGCCGAGTGGTGAGAGTGTATGCGATTTGGGGCTGCAACTTGCTATCGAACTGTTACCGTCGATGCCCCCTGATGCCGACTGAGCCTAGTAAACATAACGAAAGTCCAACTGTCCTTCTCCTGTAGTCTCCTTTCTGTCATCACTCAATTCTCCCTTCTCGATCCGTTCCTTTTTCTGATTCAACAATCGCAGATACCATATCTGACCAGCTATGAGGACAATACAAACAATGGCAGAAGCAAGTGAGCACCAATGTCCCAAGCGGTAAGGCGCTGAACGATATACTTGAGGAGCAACTATGCCGGCAATATTTCCGATGGTCTGCTGCAACCCAATCGCTGTGGCTCGACGGTAATGAGGAGCCATGTTATTATTGATCCCTAACCACAAGCATCAGCTCATCTGCGTTACCAGTTGTCGTCTTCTCCCATAGTGAAAGAGGGAACCACACTCACAAATTTCGTTGAGACCGGGTCCGCAGTAAAGCGGGATAGCGATGAGGTAGCATGCAAAGTATCGGATGCCAGGACTATTTGCAACACCAAGAAGGATCGCATACCCAACGACCGCAAACACGTCAAGGCCCAGAAGGAACTTTGTCGACTTAGATCAGCAATGCAAACATCAAGTTGAAGGGTTTCTGAAGTTCTCACCGTTCCTCGAAGCCTCCACTTGTCTCCAAGAATAGCAGCTGTCTACGCAGCCATTAGTCACATAGACGTCTCTTATAACACGGGGAACTAGGACGACTTACAAAAAAGCTGAGACCTCCCACGAAATACACTGGGATGCTGAGATATTGTGCCTCAAGTGCGGTGAACCCCAGATCAAGTCTCAGGATAGAAGGCAGGAAAGTACTGAACCCATACAAGATAATGTCCTGGAAGAACTGAATCAAAGCACTTAAGAAGAATAAGAGCGTCAGCAATTTGATGTACGTACAGGGGCTGAATACCTACGTGGAATAGACTTTAGGGTCTTTGAAGGCGTTGAAGACCTCCTTCCATTCAAATACTTGACTTCCCAGATACTCTTGTCGTTGCGCTTCTCGAGCAAGCATCACTTCTCTCTCTTCTGGTTTCCAAAACTTCGCTCGGGTTGGATCATTCGGCAATCCGAACCACACCCACGTAACAGCAAGTAGGGATATCAGCCCCTCGATAATGTAGAGCCAGCTGAAGTTCGACCTATCAGATACGAAAGGGATGAAGAGATGTTCATGAAACATACCTCCAAGCTCTAAGCCCTGTGCTGTGCCCAATCTTGGTAATCGCCGTTGCAATCAACCCCCCGAACATGCCAGCGAGTGAGACCGAAGTGAAGAGGTATGCCAATCGCAAACCCTGTGTCCCGAAGTTGTTAGCACTCTCTCAATACGTTTAGTTTGAGGGTTCCACGTACCTGCTCTTCCCGTTTATAAACCATCGTGATGTACAAAGAAAGGCAAGGAAAGAAGCCTGCTTCACACAAGCCCAGAAGAAGACGAACAGCCACCAAGTCCCCGAACCGTTTGGTGAATGCTGTACCAATTGTGACGACTGACCAGCCAAAGCACATTATAGAAATAGCTCTGTGTGGCTTAAGCTTCCTCATCGCAAGGACGACCGGAAGCTCGAATGCAACATACGTTGCAAAGAAGATGCTGACGGCGGTGCTGAACTGAGAACCAGACAGACCAAGGTCTTCGGTCAGGCCGGCTACAGCCGCATTTCCGATATTGCTTCGATCGAGGTACGCTACGAAGTAAAGGGTCGCGAAAAGCGGTGCAAGTCGCAAGTCCAGCTTTCGGAGGACTTGCTTTTCGAGCTGACTGTCGGGAATGAGAGTCGAGCTTGACAGGGCATTGCTTGCTTCTTCCGGATTGGGCTTGTCCTGCGCCATCATGTCGAGTTTGGGACCCATTGTAGACTGCGTCTTGTCATTGGAAAAAAAAAAAAAAAAGGTCGCAAACTTATGAACTCTAGAAGAGTTTGACTATGTCATTGACTTCTGTTGCGCCTTCACTTGCTCCTCTTGTAATGAAGGACAAATATGGCTTATCAGTTCGCTGGGATTGTATCGCCAAGCCCCTGAAAGTGCGATACGAACTCCCGAGGTCGTCTTATCTGGGGTGCGTTAGCGCACAAGCTCCCCGGCCAAACAGCATACCATGTAGGTGGGGTTGAACAAGACGGAGGCGGATGCCCGTCAGTCAGATACGCAACCAGACTCTTATCATCAGCTCCTCATCAATTCAAACAATGCAGAGGCACTTACGCCACCAATCTTCTTCTCATTATGTTTCCGTGCAGAAGTTGCATGACGGAAATGGATGTCCGTGGGAAAGTATTGATCTCATCAAGCTTCGAGGCCGTACCAGCCTAAAGAACGCGACCGTATGCCCATTCATTAGAATAGGACATCCGTCCAATGTCTGTTACAGTATCGGAAGAGATTGTCGACTTGTCACAAATCTCTGACTATTGATTATTCTTTGTTCATGATGACTTCAACCATAAAATCTATTGGCTACATTGGCCTGGGGCTTGCTGGCGGGCCGCTGGCTCAGAATGTTGCTCAAAAGGGCTTCAAGACAATTGTTCGTGATGCGGACAAGGAGAAGCAACGAAAGTTTGTTATTGAAAATAAGAAACTTCCGGTTGAAGAGGCTGGCGCTGGGCCGGACGCATTCAAGGACGTCGATGTGTTGATCACCATGGTGCCAAACGGCCACATCGTCCGAGACATCCTCCTCGGAGAGCAAGGCATTGCTCCTTACATGAAGCCTGGTAGGATATTCAACAGTCTTTCTGTTGAGCGATTTGCTGATGAAGATGCTTTAGGCTGTGTCATTGTTGACACTTCTTCTTCGGATCCTTTTGGCACTCAGCAACTGGGCAAAGACCTCGAGAAGTACCAGCTCCGCCTAGTAGACTCTCCAGTCACTCAAGTCAGAATGCACGGGATCAACGATGGCGAGGCTACCTTCATGATTGGCGGGGCCCAGGACGACATTGACTTCGCAATGCCCGTCTTGAAGACCATGTCTCGATGGCGTTTTGTGATGGGTCCTTTGGGTAGCGGCCATGTCATGAAAACTTTCAACAACTACGTCACCGCTGCCGGTATCGCAGCTCTTAACGACGCTTTTATCGTCGGTCGCAAGATGGGCTTGGATCCTGCACAGATCACGGACGTTCTTAATGTTGGCACTGGCCGTAACTACGGCACAGCTCACTCCATCAGGGCCGAGGGGCTAACAAGAACGTATGCCAGCGGATATGGGTTGGCTCTACTTGTGAAGGACTTGGGCATCAACCTTGAACTGTGTGGGAAAATGGGCATTGACACGCAGCTCGCGAAACACATGCATGGGCTTTTCAAGGAGGCTCTAGAGGAGCCCAATGTGGAGCAAAGTGCGGATTACACTGAGTGTCTGAAGTTATGGGAGAGGAAGGCCGGTTTTGAATTACCTACCGCGGTCGGGCTGAAGGAGTGCGACGAGCCTCGTGATTTTGAGACGCCTTGATAGGGTAGATGCAAAATTGCGTGTACTTTGACAACCAACTTAGTTCTCATCTAATGACGCGTTTCCAAATCTATTCTCCTTGGAGTGCTGCAGCTCGTTTCCGATCTTTCTTGATAACGAGAAACCAACTTGTCAGAATTGAGCAGATGCCAACCACCAAAACCGAAAGATTGACGCCATATGAAATGCGGTATCTGGGACCAAACACCGTGCTGAAGACATGCGGGCCTACAATTCCACTATGGAACAAAGTCAGCGTAGTCCAGTTGAACGTTGGAAATAGGGCTTGAACATACCCGAACTGCGCACACGCATTTGTAAGGCCAATACCGATTCCTGATGCCACTGTTCCCTCCAGCGCCCTGATTCGTTCAGGCCAGATAACTGGGTACGCACAACCAGCGCAGGCCACAGAGACGATCAAGCAGAGGTAGCGGACAACCGGGTTATCAACGAGAAGAAGAATGATGTAACACACGATGATTGTTGATTCAACTAGGACAGTCAGTTTCCTGGTGTCTTGTGAGATGTCTCCAAAACCTACTCCCCACGGCAGTAACCCAGGGTCTGATCCACTTCCTCTGCAGCATGAAACCCAGAGCATTGAGAAGTAGAAATGCCGAGACGTATGGCGGCTGAAGAGGATTAGTGGAGTCCATGGCAAGTTGGTCTCGTTGGGGTGGGAACTTACGATGTTCATCAACTGAGAGTAGGCCGTAGTGGTGAATCCTAACTGGTAGATCACCGTAGGCAATGCGAATCCCACCCCGAAACCTCCAATACCATGGCAGATCCAATAAAGACTGAAGGTATAGAGGGTTGGGTCTTTGGCCATGACTTTCAGAGATTTGAAGTCCCAATGTGACCCACCCTTGGGCGCAGTGCTCGCAAGCCTCTCTTTCACATAGAGCCTTTCCTCCTCGGTGAGGATCTTCGCTGACTCAGGGTAGTCGGGTAGACCAAAAGCAAAGAAGGCCAGGATTATAGCAGGTAAACCTTCAAGGATGAACAGCCATCGCCATCCTGAGACCCCTCCAAGTTGGTCCATGTATGAAATTGCGTACGCCAACAGACCAGAGAGTGCACTGGATACCTGTCCCACGGAGTAGAAAAAAGCTATGCGCAAGGCCATTTCCTCAGGTCTGTACCAGAAAGCATAGTGAAACAAAACAGACGGGAAGAATCCAGCCTCTGCCGCACCAATTGCGAATCGCACGCACATCATGCCTGAGAAGTTTGTTGCTGCTGCGGAGCAACACGCCGATATGCCCCACGCCATGATCAGGATGAACATCCATCTTGACGGCTTGAACAGCTTTAAAAGTACCGTATTGGTAGGCTCGAAGATAAGATAGCTGTAAGAGAAGATGGAAAGCGTCCATGCCCACTGCGAAGGCGTGAAGTGGAGCTGTTTCTTGATGCCTGTACCGGCCTCTAGGTTGATGATGGCGGCGTTCGAATAGTTTGCGCTGTCAATAACCCGGAAGACGTAAACGAGAGAGTAAAAGCCAACAAGCCAGAGGTCAATCTTTCGCATTATCCGTTTTTCAAGAGCCGCGTCCTTTGGGGCGGCTTCAATATCAGGGTTCGATGTTGCTTCGGTTGTTGATCCAGCTCCCTTCTCAGAAAATAGCTGCGTTTCGTTGGCAATCTGCGCAATGGTGCCGATCGGGTCCTTAGCGACCGCCATCTTGATGGAAGAGGATTGGTGTAACAGTGGCTGGGAGTAAATGAGAGTAAATGAACGCAGTCCTGTATGCCTTGAATATGAACAGATTTTATTCCACAGAAGAGTAATCCTTCGGTAGACATTAGTAGGAAACATGTGAAGCATAATCCGAAAGGGAAGTTGGTTCTACCAACCCGCCGGTAGTTACCAATCGCGATGTCATTTCTTTAGAAATCTCCAATTCAGCACGACATGATAACCGGAATGGCGAAGGAGCTCCCCCGTCCAATACCAACTGCCAGCGACACTATGAGCTGCAGCTCCCTGCCGTCTCAGGCTGGGATGCGGTAACGACATCTTGGACGCCATACTCAACACCACATTTCGGTATCATTCATGCATGCTTTCGGACAATAAATGCGGAGAAATATCGTACGAAGGATTCGATATGAGCCTGTGGTGATACGCTGTTTTTATTCCCGATGAGCACGTTGTTGGGGTTCCCAAGCACGCAAGGGCCGATCGTGTAACTACCCCGCCTGAATAACCTCAAGTATGAGGGCGTAGTACTGGAGTAAGGTCCAGTTATAAATGAGGCTCAACAAATTTTGGTGACAATTTTTCTTTTGGATTTCAATCAAATTCCAGCTCCTAATCACTATCATGGCCCCTTCCGCAGTTTCACCGCCGCCTTCTTCAACTGGCACATTGCTTGTCAAGCCCTGGTCACGCCCCCAGGAGACTAAAGAGGATCTAGACTGGGCTCCTCTTACTACCATTGATCTTTCGCGGTTCGATGAGCCGGGGGGCAAGCAAGATCTCGCGAAACAACTTTATGATGCTATCACGCGAGTGGGATTCTGGGTCGTTACCGGCACTGGTATCGATGATGAACGTATCCTACGGCAGTTCAGTATCGGAAACACGTTTTTCAAGGAACCACTTGATGAGAAGAGAAGATTCCCTTGCAATTTCGCGGAAGGTGAGTATTTCGGATACAGGGAGAACGAGAGATGGATTGGTGACACAGGCGTCAAAGAGAACATTGAGATGGTATGAGACACTGCTTCTCCTCTGGGAACCTCTATTTGACGACAAGATTTCTGACAAGAGCTCAGCTGAACATCCACAAAGACATTCCAGCCTGGGGACAGGTTGGTCGTCACCGGGTTGTGGAAGAAAACTGGGACGAGATCCGCAACTTCCATCGCGACGTCTGGGAGGTTGCCCGGAAACTCTTCGTTCTGATCGCAATCATTCTGGAACTACCAGAGAACTATCTTGCAGATGCACATGCTTATGATCAAGTCTCGGATGATCATTTGCGGTACATGATCTACAACGTTCGGACAGACGAGGAATGGGACAAGGCGCAAGCATACTCAAAGGGAGGACACACGGACTTTGGCAGTTTGACCCTTCTTTTCTCTCAGCATGTTGCTGGGCTGCAAATCCGGACTCCTGAAGGGGATTGGAAATATGTGAAGCCCGTCGAAGGGGGCATCACCTGTAACGCTGCGGACACCCTGACGTTCCTCACGAATGGTAAGTCAACCTTTTTCCCAAGCAATTTTCCATGCTTCTCTGACTCGAAGGCAGGGTTCATCAAGTCAACAATTCATCGTGTGGTCAAGCCTCCCAGAGACCAAATCGACATCCCTCGACTAGGACTGCTATACTTTAGTCGTCCGGGAGACCACACACCCATGAGAACAGTGCCTTCCCCGCTTCTTGACCGTCTCGGAATGATCAGAGAAGAAGACAAGGATTTGAGCAAACCGGTGCCATCGGGAACGGAGTATGTGCGGGCACGAGTGAAAGATGTGCATCACAAAAAGGTGCTGGATAAGCGGGAAGGAACGTCATTCCAGTTCAAGGGGTTGCAGGTGCAGAATCACTATGAATGAGAACATGCCGCATTTTCTTTTGGAGAAGTTTCTGAATATGAATTGAACAAATCTTTTAAAACGGCTTGGTTGAGATAAAACCAAGATTCTTTCGCTGTGTGGGCCTCCACCAGGCTTGGGGCTGGCCCAGAAGCGGAGGTGGAAGTCCGCGCCGTCCCTTGGGCTGCTGGTCTGCCAATCTTATCCACAGCTTGATCGAGCGGGAATGGAAGTCCCCAGAGTTCTAGACGCTGGAGATTTACTGACCCAGGGGTTGAAGTGGGAAATCATTCAACGTACATGACGTTGAACAGTCGCTGCGGTGGGACTTTTCATAAAACAGAGCATACGGCGACATGATTCAAAGTTTTGACTGATTCTTTTTTCCCAATTAGTGTACTAGACTTCGAGAAACTGTAACGATAATGTCCGTTCAATATCAGACACGCATTAGCTTGCCGGATGGTACGGCATATGATCAACCGACGGGTGTTTTTATTGACAATGAATTCCATGCCTCCAAGGACGGTAGTACCCTCGAATCTATCAATCCTTACACCCGACAATCAATTTGCTCGTTTTCTCGAGGAAGCAGCGCCGATATCAATGCTGCAGTGGCTTCCTCAAAGCAAGCATGTCGGGGTTGGAGGAAGACGACACCTAATGAAAGGGGAAGACTCCTGAATCGCCTTGCTGATCTTATTGAAAGAGATGCAGACCAATTGGCAAAGATTGAGGTGCGTGTCTATCAGGCCTTGGACCAACTCGCCAAACACTAAATTCCCGTTGCAGTCAATCGATGCTGGAAAACCTGTCAAGCTGGCCAAAGTTGCCGATGTTCTCGCGTGTGCGGCCTGTTTCCGATACTATGCGGGATGGTCAGTTTTGGTCTGTCCTGGGCTTTGCTTCTGTTTACTCACCGCATCTTCAAATATTCAGGGCAGACAAGATTAAGGGTGACAGCATTGAGACTGACCCAAACATGCTGAACCTCACCCTGAGAGAGCCTTTAGGGGTCTGCGGTCTTATTATTCCCGTAAGCTGATTACTTCTCTTGACCCGCCAGCACACGGGAGCTCTAAAATCTCGATGGACTTGTCTAACGACCTTTCAGTGGAACTTCCCAATCCTGATGTGTGGTTGGAAACTCGGGCCTGCCTTGGCTGCTGGAAACGTCGCTGTTCTAAAGCCCGCAGAACTCACCCCGCTCTCAGCGTTGTATTTGGGGAAGCTGATTATCGAGGCCGAATTCCCCCCAGGTGTTGTGAATATCGTACCAGGTCTTGGACACGAAGCCGGAGCTGCATTGTCCAATCATCCAGACGTTGCGAAAGTATCTTTTACTGGAAGCACTGCTGTGGGAAAGGGCATCTTGCATGCATCCGCAGATAGCAACCTGAAGAAGGTCACTTTAGAGCTGGGTGGCAAGTCGCCAAGTATTGTATTTGGAAGCGCCGACCTGGACGAGGTGGTCGAGTGGGTGAATGGCGGCATATTTTACAACATGGGGTAAGTCGCTATGAATTCCTTGATTTGTTTCTCGCTGACCCAGAGATCTCTTTCTGCTAGACAAAACTGCTGTGCGAGTAGCCGCGTCTTCGTTCATGAGAGCGTCTACGAGTCTTTCATCGCCAAGTTTGTTGAAAGAGCAAGGAAAAACCAACTTGGAGATCCCTTTGAAGACAAAACCTTTCTGGGCCCCCAGATCAGCGGCAGCCAGCACTCCAAAATCATGGGCATGATCGAAAAGGCGAAGACTCAAGGCGCCATCTGCGCAACGGGGGGACGTAGCCCTTCTGACTGGTTCATTGAGCCTACAATCTTCCGCGACGTTAAGATGGACATGGAGATTGCGAGAGAAGAGGTTTTTGGGCCAGTCGTGGCAGTTGCATCCTTTCGTGACGAGGAGGAAGCTTTGGAAATGGCGCACGACACCTGTTACGGGCTCGCCGCGGCAGTCTTCACATCTGATATCAAGCAGGGAATCAAAATGGCGAAAGAGCTTGAGGCGGGAACAGTTTGGGTGAATTGCTACAACAAAATCTCCCATGCCCTTCCGTTCGGTGGGTACAGACAGAGTGGCAACGGGAAGGACTTGGGAGAAGACGCGATCTACGGCTTTACGCAGTTGAAGACTGTAGGAATCATGTTGTAATTACGCTGCAAAATCAATCGAGGAAAATAGGATAAGCAGTTACGGTTTCATAAGTGCGTGGCAACTATCAAGTAAAGGTGGCTGCACCTGCCGTTCCTAATCAAGTTCGGGACCAAGTTAGTCCCCAGCCTCCACGTCTAAATCCTGATGTCCAGGTGCTCACGAATTGAGTGTGGTGCCGCCGCGGCCAACTCACCGATTCGCCGAGTCTCAGGCAGAATCGGGAGCTTGGCCCGCCAAATGCTAACCGGAGAACCCTCTTCTTGGCAATGAGTCGCGTGGATAAGCTTCGAGTAGGTGGGCGTTGCCCCGGGAGGAGCTCCTCTTCCCCGCGCCCGTCGCACAGAGGAGCTCCACGTCCACAGTCCACTCCGTGCCGGGCGGAGTCACTCTCCCTTTTCCACATTGCTGCAGCACTTACAATCCACCAACCCATGAAGAAAGAGCTGAGTTGCAAGGATGTTGAGAACCGCCACTGGCTCCACGTTCGTTTGAGCCAGGCGGAGGACTTGAGAGTCATTGTGGACGTTTCGCGGAGCATCGCACCACATCCTGCATCTTGTTCGCAGACCCGATTTCTTGTGACCGTGTGTGACAAAACATCATCTTCATACTCTAAGCGTGGTATCCTTTCAGTCGTATATCAATCAAGACTTCATCGACTCAGTGAAGTCTGAAGAACCACTCACTCACCACGCACATCATCAATCAAGTCGAGCATCCAAAGATCAAGAAGACTTTCGAATTACAGATACCAATTTCAAGATCCTTTCAAGTTTCACACATATCTTCGCTTGCCCAATATGGTCGCCGACATCAACCAGCTTCCGCCTTACACACCGCCTCCCCCTACCAAGGAGGACTGTGAGTACCCCAGACTGCACAGAACCAACTGCATTTGCATTTGCACTTGCAAGAATAAGGCTGACCACAGACCGCCTTGCAGTGGACTACGTCGACCTTGTTAACATTGATCTCGCCAAATTCGACGATCCCGAGGGCCGCAAGCAGCTTGCTAAGGACCTTTACGAGGCCGCCACCGGCTACGGCTTCTTGACGCTCACCAATCATGGCATTTCTGACGAGACCTACCAACGCCAGATGCGCATCGCCAACGCGGCAATGACGCTGAAGCCCGATGAGAAGGCCCCTTATGAAGGTAAGCATCGGGGAAGCATCCTTCTTGGCTTGGAGCAATACTGACAGATGACAAGTTACTCCTGAAGAGGACGCCCGTGGTCTGTACGCAGGATACAAGCCCGCCGGCCCTCTGGGCCACAAGGGCGGCTTCCCCAAGGCGCTTGATCACTACAACATGCTGGTCCACGACCCCAAGAACCGCGACCACCCCGAGATCATCCGCCCATTCATGGAGGAGACATACGAGGTTATGAGCTACATCAGAACCAACATCCTGGTGAAGCTTTTGAGGATTGTTGCCGACATTCTCCAAGTCCCCGAGGAGGCTGTGCTTTCGACCCATGCCCCCGGAGGATCTAAGACCGAGTATCTCCGCTACGTGAGTGTTGTCGTCGGTACTTGCAGGAACCTGATTGACCCAAGCTAGATGATGTGCGAGCCTCGTACCAAGGAGGAGAGCGAGAAGTACCGCCAAATCTTCCTGGCTGGCCACACTGACTGTGAGTTATCAGCCATGTTGACCAAGGACATGGCGTCGCTAACAGTAAAACGTAGGGGGCACCTGGACCTTCCTCTTCTCCCAGCCTGTCGCCGCTCTTCAGGTTCTCTGCCATCACACTGGCCGCTACAGATATGTCAAGCGTAAGTCACCACACGAAAGCACCCAAGAACCGTCATCTGACAGTCGCCATAGACCAACCCCATGGCATCGTCGTCAATTTCGGCGAGGCCCTCGAGCGCCTTACCGGCGGTCTCTTTAAGGCTACTATCCACCGCGTCACGACCCCGCCCGAGGACCAGCGCCACCTCCGCCGTATCGGTGTCATCTACTTCTCCCGCCCTGCAGACGAGCGTGAGCTCGTTCCCATCGAGAACTCTCCTCTTCTTCAGAAGATGGGTACCGATAAGCCCATGGACGACCGTGTCTTCTGCATGGCCGACTACCTCGATGCCCGCAAGCACGGCTGGAAGCGATACGACTTTGACATGGACCGTCCTCGCGAGGAGGGCAAGCACCAGGACCCCTTCGACGTAAGTCTCAAACCAGCCTATTCTCTACTTACAAATCTGACAAGTAATTCAGGGCGAGTACCCCGACCCCGAGGGCCACAAGAGTCTCGGAAAGTTCGACAACGTGCCCCGTCTTCAGTACAGCCTTCCGACTGTCAAGTCAACTTAGGATGTAGAATGTATATGACTTTGTCTTTGGATGGGACCTGGCGTCTTTTGTAGCATTAATGAGAACTTTTGCATCTGAAACAACGCGTCCATTTTGATGATGAACACTGTGAAATAAAGCATCTTCACAACATTTCGGTCCCCAATTGTAGCCTGCAGCACTGCCACTCTGGTCATAGGGGATGTTATCGCTAGAAACATCAGACTTTCGCGACGCGCTACTTTTGAAAACAAACCTTGATACGTGCCCTCGCGGTCTCTTCAACAGCCAGTGAAAGAAGGAAGTGTGCTCTCGCAGGCTCCCGTCGCTCGTGCTGCACCATACATGTCATCCAGATACTGGAGTTACGAGCCTGACTCAAAGACTTTCTAAACATTGAGATAACTCCCTTGCTTTTGGCACAAGTCATAAAAGTCACACACTGCTCATTACTTGATGCGAGCGACGGAAGAGATCTTCGGGTATCGTAGAAAGCGTTGTCATCATTCACTCATCGGCGCTGCGTAAGCCTCCCTCGCTTTTGCTAGACTCTCATGCATGACCGCCGCAACCCAGCTTCCAACTGGCCAGGTCGTTCGCTTCGTAAAGTTCGCCACGATCCATTCCAAAAAGCGCACTTCGCTCCTCGCAAGATCAACAGGTCTGTCCAGCATAGCTAGCGCGGCCGCAGCATTCTCTGCATCATCGTCTCCTCCAGTCCCCACGCAAGCCATGATGGCGTCCAGCACAAAGCGACTTGGGTTCGACCTTCCATTATTGCTGTTACCCAGCATCATACCTCCGCTATTATCGTTACTACGTTGTGCGGCTGGCATTGTCAGACGAACTAGACGCCAGCCTACGAGACAGATCTTGAAGCCGAGGAGGGTTATGAAGGGGTTCTCGAGGGCAGGAGGAGCAGTAGACTTGATCGGATTTAGAAGGTCGAGGGCCATTTCGAGATCATTAAGCTAGCCAGTTGTTAACGACACTTGACTGAAAAAGTACTTTTTGAGATACATACTATTCTGAAGACGTCGCGATCTTCGTAGATGTCCCGCTTGTCTTTACTCCTGGGTGTTGCTAAGTGACCGGCCGCTAGTGCACAGTTAGCGATAATCCTATCTTATCTTCATTCCACTTGATACTTACTAGCTATCGCCAAGGGCAAATTAGACTCTACCACTCCACTTACAAGTAGAGAGTCTGGATGCGATAGAGTGATAGACGTGTAATACCACAAAATCCAGAAGGTGTGCCACAGAGGCGTCTGGTCATCATGACTATCCGACAGCACATCCATACGGCCAAAGTCAAAAAAGCTGAAAACTGGTTTCTGACTCCGCGGTACCAACTCTGCAATACTTTTGAGGGCTTGGGAGATTTGCGCATGTTGCTTATCTGTCAATATAGACAGGGCGCGCCGTTGAGCTTTTGGGCGCTCTAGCAGACAACTGGCATGAGTAAGTTCGCGAGCCATCATCTGTAGTTGCGTCACCAAGATGACGGCAGCGAATGGAGATGCCCATAGCAATCTCAGCTTCCTCGGTTTGTGTTTCTCTCCGGGGTCTCTCTGGCTGTCGTCATTCCGATTGGCGTGAAGTAGGGTCTGAGAGGCTTCGTAGAAGAAGCCCTGACTTGGAGGCGTCTCATGGGCGTAGGCTTGATCGTCGGGTTCGTCAAAAGACTTGAAGCGCTGTCGCCTCTTCTCGAACCAATCTCTGTCTGAGCGCGCTAACCATATGTCTTCGCAGCATGGAAGGTCGTACTTGATCTCGAGAGATGACAGCATCGGTCGAAGATTGCAGAGAATCGCGAGCTGGGAATCCAGGAGATAAAGCATGTACACGCAACGCTTTCTTGACTCCTTTCGTATAAAGTCTTGCCACTGCTCATTGAGAGCTTCCGCACTCACAGGCTCCTGCATGTCGTCCTCGTCACCCTCTTCACCGTAGCCGCTGTCTTCTCCCGAGGTCATGGAAAGAGATTCGATCGAACTATCTTGCGACATCTGGAGTAGTCGAATGGCATCGATCAGGTCGCGGTGTATTCGTTGCGCTTTGAGGAAGCTCGTGTCGTTGCCGCCGTAAATACCGAGGAACTCGAGGAGGAGGAAAGTCTGCAAAACCCATGTTTCTTGATATCTCGATCGGTTTTGTTCCACCTGCGGGGATAAGCTCATGTACCACCGTTACGCCTCGAAAAATACACTGACATATTGCTGCAGCGAAGACAACGTCGACTCAAAGACTGCCTTGCGGGTCGCTTCATCTACAGTCGATTCGCAATAAAGACTGCCTATACAAGTGATGACATTCAGGAGCGGTACCTGGGTCGACACAATGTGAAAAGAGGCCTCGTGGAGTATCGGAAAGTTGCGGTGGAAGCCTTCGAAGAAGCTCTCGACGCAACGGATTTCACTGGAAATTCTAGAGTGAAAGCAGTCTTGTCAGTAAGGACTCCATTGACAAGACTATCCGAAAGGACATACGCCGGTGATGTCTGTTCATAGCTCTGGCTGATCTGTTGCATCGGCTCAAGCATGTCGCCTTGAGGTTGCGGGGGATGCGTTAGCAGCACATCCAGCCATGCTGCTGTGCTTGGAGAATCTCCGACCGTCGGTGTCAGGGAAGGCGGGGGAGCTGTTTTCGAAGGCGACGCGGAGGTCGAGATGTGGCAATTTTCAACATGGCGTTTCCTCAAGTCGCTATGACAAAGTCAGCATCTCAATTGGAACCCTTGGACTGAAGTATTCTCGTCGCATGTGTGTAAGGCGTTTACGTACCTACGCGCGAACTTGGCATTACATTGAGAGCATGGAAACACAGGTGCATTCCGTCCCTTGTGGTCTAACAGATTGTTAACGAGTGAAGATACAGGACTCGAAGCTTAGCTTACGCGTATTGACATGGCGCTTCAGGTTCTCCTACAGGTGACGTAACACGGCTTCATGTAAGTCTTCATCCTGGTGACGGACGCGTTATCCTTGCCCATAGCTTACCTGGCGCGTGAACCCCTTTTTACACGTAGCGCATTTGAACGGTCGAGGTAAAGTGTCATCCATCTTGGAAAAAGGTAGAAAGTGGCTTGCCGATGGTGAAGAATGAGGAACGACGCATCGCCATGGATTATTGCCAAAGTCTGGGGGAGGAGGTGGACGACCGGGGTGGTCTCCGTGGACAAGACCGGGCTCGGAGTACGTACCGAGTGGACGCGGATATCCGATAAACAGGGAGATATCTCGTTCAGGTCAAGTTTGTCCACCCACGTGATAAGGAATGAGGTGGACAATAACGATTAGATAAGTTGAACACGGTTGTTCCCGTCAAGTTCAAGGGGTGTTTGGCCAATCATGAATTCTATAAATGCGATTTCGGGGTCTCATATCCGGCTCCGCTCTTATCGATGCGGAGAAGCCTCCGTTGCCCCCGCTGCCGCCGGCGCGTTATCGTCCCTTTTCCTGATTCACATTCTTCAGGAAACTGTGTTTGTCCACCTCCAGGCTCGCTTCAGATCGGCTTTCCTCCCACCACGTCCAAAACGTAAGGCTCTCCGTCAATCTTCTTCCAGATATCGTCGCTCTTGATTCGCCAGTACCAGTCGTGGATGGCGGGGTGCGCTTCCGTCCACTTCTTGGCAAAGACCTGTGCAGCGCTGCGGTTAGCAATTGAACCTGAAATCACCGACATCGGTCCCCTGCTTTCCCGAGGGGGGAAGCAAGTCTGGCCGACGAACGGGAAAGTGGTGCTACTCACAAACTGGTATCCTCTGGCAATAGCTGCCACCACGAAAAGGTCGGCTATCGTGAGCTGATCGCCAACGAGGAACTTCTTGCCCGTCAAAGCCTTCTCCACAACGCTGACCATACCCTCGCTGTTCTTCTCTGCCGCCGCCAGAACCTCGGGAGTAGCTGGCTCCTTAGCCTTAACGGGGTTGATCCACGCCATGATGGGGGGCAGGAGCTCGCTGTTAGCGAAAGAAGCCCACTTCAATATCGTCGCCTCCTCCTCGAGTGTTGAGCCCAAGAGCTTGGTGTTGGGGTCTTGCTTCGCCACTGTGACTGTGTCAGATAGCCGTCATTTGTGAGCGGTGCTTGGTGCAACTCACGATAGATCGCTACGGGAATACACTCAAACAATGTAAAGCCATCGGGACGCTCAAGAGCCGGGACCTTTCCGGGAGGGAACTTCTCCAAGTATGCCTGACCAACACCACCCTTGCTAGGGTCGACCTTAATGGGCCATGCCTCAACGAACTCGATATCGAGCCTGGGTGCGACTCTGGTTAGCACTTTTTTAGTGTACGTGCTGCATAAATGTAGTCTTACTTGTTGTACTCGGCGATGTAGAGACACTGAGTCGCACGAGGCGCCTTGGGGTACCAGTAAAGCTTTCCAAAACTCATATTGACTGACGTAAGATATTTCGAGGATATGGATTATGACGTATGTCCGAAGATGTTGGTTGATACTGGAAGATGGAGAGGACACCCGAGGCTGGTCAACGACCAGGTAAATAAACTCAAAGAATGCCCTTCTCGGCAATCTGTCCGGGAGTTCTTCCCCATCGTTATCTCGCCATTTCCAAATCCACGACATGACAGTATTCCACGGGTATCGTCGCGACGTGGAGCTCCTTCGATGAAGCCTTTCCCCACGTGGAGCACACCTTGGGGTTGACGGCAGCATCCACAAAAGCTCAGCCGTTGCCATGCAAGATCTGCAGGGACCAGGCCCAAGCCCCTCGGAGGCGTCCTCCGGCGCCTTCGGTGTCCAACGCCGGAATCGGCAACGAGTAGCTGGGTATGAATGGGTGACATTTCGCGTGCTTTCGGTGCACCCTCACACTACTCACGGCGTCTTTGCTTCTTTTCCCGCAAATTTTGCACTCACACGAAGCCATTTTCACCGCGTGCCATCATGTCTGGAACACAAATCGGCTGGGTCGGCCTCGGGTCGATGGGCATTGGTATGTCCACGAACCTGCAAAAGTTCCTCTCGTCCTCCGGCGCTCCTCCTCTGCTCTACACGAATCGCACGCTGTCGCGCGGGGAATCTCTGAAGGAGCTCGGCGCAATTCCTGTGGAGACGGTCTCTGAGGTGGCCAAGAAGTCATCAATCATCTTCTCTTGTGTAAGTTGTCTCACGATGGAACCAGGATCTTAATGGAGATTCCGAGCTGATCATCGCGCTCAGGTGAGCAACGACGCTGTCCTTCAGGATATCAAGAGCGAGATTATCAAGTCAGGCGACATCACGGGCAAGATCTACGTTGACTGCTCAACGGTTCACCCCGATACCTCCGCGAATGTCTCGAAGCAGATCACTGAGGCTGGCGGTCAATTTGTTGCTGGTAAGTTTACAATACAATCCAAAAGATCTTGTACCAAACTCATCTACTGACATGTTTCTCATAGCACCGGTCTTCGGCGCCGCCGCGATGGCCGCTGCCGGAAAGCTTATTTTCGTCACCGCCGGCCCCGAGTCTGCGACATCAGCTATCTCGCTGTACCTGAACGGCGTCATGGGACGCTCCGTGATCCCCATGGGAACCGACGTCACAAAGTCCAGCTTGCTCAAGATCGCCGGGAATATCGTCGTGGTCTCCTTCATGGAGGTGCTCTCCGAGGCCCACGTATTCGCAGAAAAGACTGGGCTTGGCTCGCCTGTGCTAGAGAACATGATCTCCGACATGTTTGGTCCTGTGCTTGAAAGCTACAGCAAGCGCATCACCTCTGGCGCTTATGCGCCTCCTCCTGACGGCAAGGCTGGTTTCGACGTCGCGCTGGCCATGAAGGACTTGAGACATGCGCTGAACTGCGCGAAAGATGCGGGTACAAGGTTAGAGACGAGCGAAGCGGCGCTGCGACACATGGAAGCTGCCCGAGCATTTGAGGCAGAGAGGCCCCTGGATAGTAGTTCCATGTACGGTGCTGTTCGGAGAGAAGCGGGTCTGGAGTTTTACTCAGATGCCTGCAAGGAACGAGACGCAAACAAGTAGTTTATTCACAGACAGTACAAGCGAAATAATGACACTTTCACCACTTCCACGATCGAACAAAAAGTGAGTGGCAGTCTCTGAGGCCAACGAATTTTCACATGAATCTTGAACTTGGTCGACCGGCAACATCGAGCTTCCTGGATAGCCCAAAAAGCAAAAGATTGCGCCGAGGGGGAATCGAACCCCCGGCTCCCCGACGCTGCTTGATGGCAACGGAGAATTTTACCACTAAACCATCGGCGCTAGTCACGATGTTGACGATGTTAGTCCCATTCGTTGAGTGGAGTGGACGGCAACTTGGTTAGGTATGGTTCATTGGTGCAGAGTTGTGGGCCGAGGTGGAGGATGGATGCCGGCATGGACGGTGCTTCGAGTGGTTGATAACTGGAGACGTACGAGACGAGAGCTTACACTGGCCTTGAACAAAATCTTGATGCGGAGAAATGTCAAGGTCTTTATCTAACTCATCTCCTCTGCATTTAAGTTGCGATGCTAGTAGTCTCCAGCCCTTGGGCATCCTTTATGCATGAGTCTATGTGATAGCCTTCCTGTCGCAGTCGATCTCGGTCGAAGCCAAGCCTCTTATACCCATGCCTTCTCGCATATAGATACTCCTTCATAGTGTAAATCTTTTCGTCCAATGGCTTGTCCACTCCAATTCTCCGGAGAACCGGGCTGTCAATCGGCTCGAGCCTCTGCGTGCCAGCAGGCCGGGCAAAGTATATCAGGCCAAGTCGCTTGGCTCTTTCTTGATCTTCCGGCGGCTTGACCATTCGGTGAACCGGTGCCTTGAAAAGGCCGCCCGTCATCAATTCGAATGCTTCGCCGACATTGACGACTAGCGTCCCCGGAATGTAACGTACCCACTTCCATTCCCCTGGAGATACCTGAACCTGGAGTGAGGAGACAGGCTGGGCGAACGTAAACGTGAAAGAACCGAGATCAGTGTGCCCAGCCAAGTATAAGTCTCGGTATTTCCCATCGTTGGCCGGTCGGGGGTTGTACACTATGTAGCGGAGATAGTCGGTCGTTTCGTTTGATAACGCGTGTGTCGACAGGATGCTCTCTTCAGGTACCTCCAAGATCAAAGCTACCAGGTGGAGAAGCTTCTCTAATACTTGACGGCGAACAAGATCGATTAATTCGGAGACTTGAATCATGCGGGACTGCAGTAGTGGTGGGTGTGATCGGCTTGCCAGGTCCCAGGCTGATATGTTGTAGTGGTCAACTGTCTTGTGGAAACCTTCCTTGGTGCTTAGACCGCATGAAGGTTTGAACCCTGCATACCGACCCTGGGCCTCCTCTTGCGGCGAATTCTCGTATGGCCTCTTTTCCGGAGGAGGAAGAGTCAGCAAGGCATTGGCGAGGTCAACGTGGGTGTTATAACGTTCTTCGGTGATGCCATGATTAGATACAGTCAAGATGCCGTGTGTAACGACGCCTTTGAGAAGATCCTTGGCGAGCTGTGCGCGACTTGAGAGATCGTCGTAATTCGACAGGTCAAGGTTCACGATGTTGACGTAGTCAAGCACCTCTGTTGTTGGCTCGCATTGGGTAAATTTTAGGATGGCATCGCTTGTATCGGAAGGCATTAGAGTAGTCGTTGATAGAGGATTGGCGGGTTCATTCGAAGGGTTTCAGTGTTGACAATGTTTTCTAAGCGTCTAGCCACCTGAAGCGGCAGTCATATTATTGGAATCATACTGCTCTACTTTCTCTCGAAGCACAATGACTCGCCCTCCGAGGGCCTCACTCTCCTGTGAGCTTTTCGGAGCCTCCAGCCAAAGCTTGGCTACGTCCCGAATGCGCCTGTCTATCAGTGGTGCTGGTGCACTTGGACGTGGACTACGGTGTTTACATATCTTGCACAATGAGGACAATGCTCCACGCGGACGGGACCACTTGTGAAGGACCCCCAAAACCAGCGCGATTGCTTCGAAAGCAAATCACGTTGGCCGCATTCGTAACCTTCTCTAAACCATCCCAACACCCGAGCTGAACAAGGACCGCGGCGAGATCTCCGCTGTACCCCGCAAACCCAGCGGGTCGAGCTAGAGGTGGAGGCGAGGACGGATAACCAAGGGACGAGGGGATTCAGAGATACGGCGTGGTATTGACACCTGGAGCTCCACCTTTTAGCTTCGTCCGATCCTTGTCCGCGCCAACGCTTACCCCCAATCATGCCGTAACTGCATAACACCCCCTCTTATCTCTAGTATCTCAGCCAGCATCCCCTGGTGGTGGACTGTGGTGGAGCAGGCCAAGAGGGAAAACGCTCGTGAGTCGTTCGCTCCAGGAACTCTGTCCGGCGATGCGTATCTCGCTTCGCCTCTGGAGGGCGCTGCAACACCATGCTCGGACACGTAGACCTTGGTATGTCGATGTCAATTCGGCTGTGAATAGCCGAGGGAATGCGCGCGTTTGATGAAGAGGAGCAGCAGTATAATACCTAATCACACCACCACTCCTCACGTCGCTCCTGTTCTTGTTGAAGCGCAGCAGCAGCAGCCCCCCAACCGACTGCTCCGCCGTCATCAATCCTCAACTCCCTTGTTCAACCCTCAGCTCCACCTGCATCCTCAGAGTTGGAGTCGACAACAAACGAAATACCATTACAACTGACAACTTCGGAGTTGTGTGTCTCTTCTTCGTGCGAAGTAAGTCGGAGACCGAGACGCGATGGCAGGCTCAACCGTGGCTTCGACGGCTCCTGAGCCTGTGGCTCCTGCCAGATGGTATGACAAGTGGAGGTGGTACGAACTCAGCACTTCAAAGGAGGAGAAGGCTCTGTTGTTCAAGTTGGATTTCATGATTCTGACCTTTGGGTGTCTCACGTTCTTCACCAAGGCAAGTTTCTCAATTATTGACTTGCGAGTAGGTGCACTTCTAACAAACCTGACATACAGTTTCTCGACCTTCAAGCTTTCCAAAATGCATACGTCAGTGGGATGAAGGAGGACATCGGAATGGAAGGCAATGACCTGCAGTACACCACCGGAGTCTTCCAAGCTGGGTACTGCGCTGCCATGATTCCTTCCAACATTATCTTGACCCGTGTCCGGTGAGTTTGTACAGACACAGCCTAGTTGATATGAATCAAGCTAACAAGCGAGTTCGACAGACCTAACCTGCTGATTCCGGCTTTCGAAGTCCTTTGGGGTATCTTGACCTTGCTCACCGCGTATGCCAAAGATGTGAAACATGTCTACATCATCAGATTCTTCTCTGGTGTATTCGAATGCGTGGCCTATCCTGGAGTAATTTACTGCATTGGATGTTGGTACAAGAGCACTGAGATTTCCCGGCGATTGAGTCTGTTCTACATCGCCGGACCTTTGGGAACTGTAAGCCTCCACTTACCGCAGTATTGATGTGATATCCATAATGCTGACAAGATTTAGATGTTTGCTGGGTACTTCCAAACAGCCTGTTACACCAACCTCAACGGCGTCAACGGACTTGCTGGATGGCGTTGGCTCTTCATTGTCTGCGGTTGCATCACGCTTCCCGTTGCCATCCTTGGCCTCACCGTCTTCCCCGCTCGTCCGGACTCGAAGCATCCTTCATGGCTCTTGACGGCCGACCAAATCACTCTCGCCCGTCGCCGAGTATCTGAGGGTGGATCTGAGGCGCCTAAGGTCAAGTTCGATCGCAAGGCCATCACCGACGTGTTCAAGGGATGGCACTGGTACGCCTTCGTGGCACTTTACTACGTCTTCAACCAAGCCATGATCACCAACGGCCAGCCGTTCAACCTCTACCTCAAGGCACACGACGATCGCTACTCCATCAGCCAGATCAACAACCTGCCCACCGGCCAATCGGCTATCTCGATCGTCGCTGCTCTGATCGGATGCTACTGGGCTGATGCGACTGGCAAGCGCTGGCTGCCTTCTATCTGGATTTGCGGCTTCATGACCATTGGTGCGATCTGCATGGCAGCTTGGAACATTCCCGAAGGCCTGAAATTCTTTGCCTTCTACGTTGCCGGACTGGGCGGCGCTCTGAACCCTCTCTTCATGTCGTGGGCTTCTGAAGTCACCTTCCGATCGGCTGAAGAGCGTGCTGTGGTTGTGTCCTCGATGAACGCTGTCGGCCAGGCCCTTCTGGCTGGCTTGAACATTGTCACGTTCCCGACCCCTCAGGTAAGCTTTCCAAACTCCCTCTCCTGTGCTGCCGGGCTTTACTAACATGTGCATAGGCCCCGCGATTCAAATTTGGCTGGTACTGGGTCATGGCCAACAACATCCTCCAGTTTGGTCTTGTTCTCGTCATCATGACACTTCATAACCGCGAGAAGAAGAGCATGGAGATCTTGGAAGGCCAGGCCGAGGACATCGAGCAGATCAAGGTTGCCAACACCACCAAGGGAGACGACGAGTCTGGCTGATTCTGCATAACATTACGGACCAAACGGTTGGGGCTGCATTTCTGTCATTTGGTTCTTCGTCACTCATTTTCATTTTTGTATAGCTACTCGGAAGCGGGCGTCTGGAGTCTGTCAGTTGGGGGGCTTCATGATACCCTATGCCACGCCGAGACAAGCCGCCGGTTGGGGGCTGTGGCTGTTTTGATTTAGGATTTTGGCTTGGTTTGCTTGGAAACTATACTTTGCAGGAAATAATTGGGAGCAACGGAATCATACCAGACATTCACACCATTCGAGGATGTTGCCGGGATCATGGTATGAGGACATGTCAATAAAACTGCCTGGTTGATTTTCCCATAACCTTTCGCAAAGTGTGATACTTTTCGAGCCTGGTGTTGAATGTCGCCATTCGTCTCGTGTTATTGACAACAGATCCCATAGTGGTTATCTCGACTTTCTGATATTCCTCATGAAACATATGTGAGCCAATACATAACAAACTTGTATCTGGATGCTTTTCACAGATACCGGCATGTCCTTTTCTGTTCTGCACACGCATCATGTGTCAACTAAGTTGTCGGCATTTGTTGGTGAAAATAAGTTCCCTAGCGTCTAGGCCCGCACCTTCCAGGCACCCGGAAGACCGCCGTGACAGCCAGTGTAGTGTGCCGGGAATCAGTGCTGGAATAGCCCTTCGACATCAAAAAGCTGGGAGCCAGACCCTTCTGATAAATCCATCTGATTGAGATTCCTCGCTGGAAAAAATCGAGTCATCATAGGCTGAATATTGATTGTTGTCTTGGTAAATCTATTACACCGTTCGTCGTCTTGGCTGGCTTAATCAACAGCCAGCGAATCGCCCATTGCGACGCGTCTGCATCCACTGGCTCAAAAGGTGCCGCCTGAGAGAGGAAATATGTACAAATTTGAAAAATTCGGGCTTAACACTTATCAATTGCAAAGAGTGGGAGACGACTGTCGGTCGGCGTGATATTGCTCCTTCGCCAACGCAAATCCAAGCGAGTACGAGAGAGACACACACGTCACTGACTCATATGGAGGCATTGAGTTGGAGGCGCACGCGTGGCTAGTGTCAAGAGGTTGGCGAATAATTAGGCCGTCGGCAGAAAATACTCTCAATTTGTCCACGTTGTCAGCATTTCCCACGCGTCCGTTATCCTTCCTTCTTCGTCTTCAGCTACGCTTGCCCCGCTTGGAACTGTGCGCTTTTCCTCATGTCGTATCTACCTAGCGAGCGTCCTGCTTCCAGCAGCAGCCACGATCGCATCGCTAGGGTCTTGATCGCTTTGGCTTCTCCAAGCTAAACCCTTCTTTGCCTAGCCCCTCTGCGCTTTCGCTTGTTTTTCGCATCGGAGGAGTCGGACCAACGCTTTTCGGGCAAGAAGGAAGATTACGTTCTTGGATTTCTCCCGCAGCTGACTGGTTAATCTCGCCAACCGACTGCGTGTAGCGTCGAAACCCACCCGACCGTCCGACCGTCCGACGCCTGAGTCTCAACCGCCGATGGCTTCAAGCCTCATTTTTGCATCCGTCTTCTTGAGATAAAAGGAAGTTGCAGTGCATCTCTGTCACAACCTTCCCCGCAGCACATCAACAACTCACTCCAACCAAGCAGATTCAAAAACTTCAAACTTCAAATCTCGCCATTTCTTCTATTCTACTTGTTCGAAACTCTTCTCCCTCCCGCTTGAAATACCACAGACTTAACTCACGATGGTCGCTTCAACCGACACCTTCCCCGGCCTTCTCAAGCCAACCACGAAGCCCTACCGCCTTCCTCAGATCAACACTGTACCTGTAAGTTTTTTTTTCTTTTCTTTTAATCTCGATATGCAATTTTCCCTTCGATCACAGATGCTGACAATTGGCTGCAGCTGCTCATCAAGGATGGTTTCACTCTCACGACTCTCTTCTCCATCGGCGCCCTCATGCAGACAGCGCTCTTTCTTATTTTACCGACTAAATACGCCATCATTCCTTCCTCCGCTATCGCTCTCAACTCCATCATTTCAACCATCATCGGAACCCGCTCAAAGTCGGCCAACACTTACATGAACGGCGTCGTCCCGGGCCGTACCTCCGCACAGTTCCCGGACCCCACCACCGGCAAGATCCCCGCCACCCCGGCCGGTCGATCTCTGCTGGTCTTCCACCTCGGAGTCCGTTTCAACCATCCTCTCGGACTCCTCTCTCCCGGCGGTCGCGAGATCGGCGCATACTTTGACGCCATGAACAAGGACCTGAACCTTCGCGCCGACGAGTACGGACTCTACCACCTCTCATCCTGGCAATCCCTCGAGACCGAGCGCAACAACACGCTCATGTTCATCTACTACTTCAGAGACGTCGAGGGCCTCAACAAGTTCGCCCACGATCCCCTCCACCGCAAGACCTGGGACTGGTACAACAGCATCAGGGACCAGTTCGACCACATTGGTATCTTCCACGAGGGCTTCGTCACCGGCCCGCAGCAGTACGAGACCATCTACGGCAACATGAAGCCCACCCTTCTTGGCGCTGCGAGCCTTAAGTGCAAGAACGAGGAGACCAAGGAGGACGAGTGGGTCAATACTTTGGTCAATTCCGACAACTCGGCCCTGAGAAGCCAGTTCAAGCGCATGGGGAAGGCCTCGCGGCAGTTGGTGGAGTACGAGACCTGAGTCGGCGACAGCTTGGTTTCAACTTTTCTTATGTTCCAAGATCATGACTGTTCATGAAATTGCTAAACGCGGCGTCTGGTGGGTTATGGCTATAGATAGGGCTCGTTCTGGGGTGTGCAGCTCTTTGTACTAGCCTAGGAAGGAACGACCATTGAGGGAAAGCAGACAAAGGACTATCATAGAAACAAATTTGTCCGCAAGAGAAAGTTCCATCATGATATTGAAAGTCTCATTAAAGTTGTGACATCCATGGATACCCATTCGGCTCGTGTAAAACAAAGATTTAGCCCAGGTTCTTTTTCAGTTCGTCGTTGATCATGCCATTCATGAACTCCATCGGTAATGGTTATTGAGAGCAGTGATCAAAGGTGGAATCCCTTGCAATGCCGCCCAATCCCAATGTCCCAAGAAACACGCCGACCAAGATCGAGACAAAGTATCCGACATTCATACTCATTACTGCAAGCATTCTGCCATAATTAGTATCATTGCCCTGAATCGGCTGCATGCACACTTACAGAAGGTAGCCTATCAAGGCAATGATAACCTCATAAATCGCCCTCCCAAGCCTTATGTTGGCTTCTGAAATGATGCCTCTCATCCCATTATCAGAATTTCGTTGTCTTTTTGAATTACTTCTGGTCGGCATTCCTTCTTTTCCGGTCTCCTCGTCGTCATGCCCAACCACCAGTCTGCCCCTGGTGTCGTCGTCTGCCCACACTGTTGTCTCGAGCCTTGGCTTGAAAGCAAGAAGAGCCCGAAGAATAATGGTAAAAATGATGAGAGTGAGACAAGTACCCGCATACTGCCCAGTGGTACGAGGCGTCCAGATCTCAGAAAACAGACTGGTGGACATGGCTGTGTGGAAGACCACAGGCATTGTCATTGACCCGTCGCCATCATTGGAGTGGCCGTGGTTGTGCTCTGTCATATCCATTTTGAGCGGATTCTCCAGAAAGATTCGTCTACAGTGAAGAGACAAAATGCCGACGTCGATACCGGATTTAAATAATTCTTTTCTGGTTCTGACCGCGAGAAACGGGTCGGTCGTTGCTGGGGCGGGCTTGGATGTTGGAGCCTTCGCTTGACCCTCTAAGTTCAGCACCTGCGGCTCACAGGTCTCTCAGCCTCTTTAATAGGACGTGTTCGGCGTGAGCAAGTTATTGACCCAGCTGACCCTCCCTGTAAGGCTGGCTTGCAAGTCAGCTCGCTTCAAAGCACGTCGTCATCTCGCCCAACCTCGTGTCAAGCCCAATGTAACACGATCCAGGCACCGGACAAGTAATATCAAAACGCGTTCCTCTTTCAAATTTGAGAGCGTTAATTGTGGCCGCCAGAGGCTCGTTTTCGTCAAACAGCCGTTGGAGGTCTGCTTTGTCGTCATTTCTGGCGTGGTGGGTCGTGAGGCAGATTGAGGGAGTTTCTCGGAAGTGTGGCTTGGCCTTCATGTTCTCGACCGAATTAGGAAGTACGTTATGTACCCTGAGAGACTTTGTACACAGACTCCCTCGGACTGCTAGCAAGGTACGGTAGGGTTTTCAGCTATTATGTGGTGCTATGGACGTCAATTTTCCGCTGCACCGGCTGGCCTGATCATTCATGCACGAGAGGAGCCGCACAAACCAAACGTAATCAAGGCCCGCGATTCAGTACCTGGCCAGCTATCATAGGATCCCCTAATGACTGAGAATAAAACAGGTCCTACGTGAGGGAAGTAGTTTTGACGTCTTCTTTCCCCGAATCAGCGTCTACCGCAAGAGCGTGCAATCAGTCATCCATCCGGTTCCAGTTGCCTGATATTCCCATTTATCATATGAAAGCGCGAGCCGAGCTTCTCACTCCCGGCACCAGAAATATCGATGAGATGGATAACGGCCTGATTGTTGTCACGATTGATGGCGATCTCCAGTCGCGGGCAATATCAAAAGCAACAGCAACAGGCGTATCTACCGACGTCCCACTTCATGATCCCAGCTGAGGAGGACTCTTAAGACCCCAATATCAAGTTCGTGGTCTATGAGACCCACTACGGATGGGATGTCGATCCCCGGACCGCTATCGAACTCGCCCGTGCCGTAATTCCACTGCTCCACTTGAACGACAACGTACGCGCTTTCGGGGGACGAGGACAGGGTTCCGCTGCACTCGCCTCGGGAGTGATCTTCCCACTTGAATAAAAGATAGACGCCATAAGCGGGAGCAATAGGTTACGGACTCATTGGCGTGTCGGAGAGTCGATGGCTCTTTGCGGTGATGGACCAGATTTGGGTTGAATGATCCTGGTGGGAAGGGAGGAAAACGTCGAGGAAGTTGGGGATATTGAGAGCACCTGTGAAGGGCCTATGCCTTGGCATTCAAGACAACGCGGGGCTGTGCATTAAAGTCTTTCTAAGGATGTCATCATGAACTTCTCTCGTATGTAACCAGCTCCATGAATCAATAGTTTAGACGTGGTGAATTGATTTGAAGGTGAACTCTACGCCGCAATATTGGGTTGCTTCATCTGACCAGCAAGTATATCTCATTCTAGCAGCATGCTTCGTCTCGTTCATTCCCGCTGAAGACACCTTGCCCCGTGGGCTGTAACATCTTCAGAAAGAAGGAGCAGTCATGCAGTCTCCCGAGCGCGTTCTGCGCATAGGCCGGACAAACACCCCATTCCACGTAACCAAGCTTCAAGTAAAATCCTCGCGCAGGCGTGTCACTAGCCGTGTCTAGTAACATCATTGTCTTTCCGAGGCCATCACGGGCGAACGTTTCGGCAAAATCCATGAGCTTCCGGCCGATACCGCCACCTCTCTGGGCCGGGTGAACAAGGAGTTTGCGGACCTCCATCTTGTGCCTATGCGTCTCTTTGGGATTTTGCCCGAGCTGGAAGGTCGCTAAAGTATTATTGTCGTTTGATTTGGCAGAATCCTTGACGACGAAGAGATAGACCAAAGGGTCGGTCCCTGAGATGTCTGACGAGAGCGATGTCCAATAGGCGAAAGCGTCCTTTTCAGACAACGGTGCCCGAAAGCCAATTGAGGATGTTTCAGGGTCCAGATTGACGCATAATTGGAGTAGATTGGAGAGTGAGGGTGTCCAGAATTTCAATGCTTCAGTCGTTATGATTTGGCTAATAACTAGCCCTCCGGGTAGTGAATAGTCCGCCAGACCATTATGCGACTTATATGGTCGTATCATCTCGTGTTGAGAACAGTCAAACTGATTATTGGATGGACGAAATGGCTCATTGGAAGACACAAGATTTCAAATGAGTGTATTTTCCTTGGTCTCCGTGAATTGGATATGACCGCTGGGGCACCGTTTTGTGCGGTCCAAGAGTGAGTCATCGGGCGTCGCCGTCAGTCACGGCGGCCGATAAGAGATCCGTGGTGAAGCTAGTGTGACTAAAACGCGGAATTCGGGTATTTCGGTGCCCGGATAGCACGCTCCAAGACATCAACGTCGCAATTCCAACTTGACAATCAGTTGAGTGACTTTCGCAACATGCAAACACTCTTAGTTTTGATTCAAGATTGTACGCGATTGAAATCATCCAAACGACACCTACAATAGACGAAAGTTGTGTGAAGCCTTGAACTCATATGAGACAAAATTGCCGTGGAATTTTGATACTCATAAGCTTTACTTGGTAGCGTTTTCGAGATTCATCTGGGCCGATTTTCAAATCGATTTTCGCAGAGACGTCCGAGTCTTCCCCACCGTGACATTGAGGTAGGCTGACAAATGATAACTTAGTTGGTCTCATCGTTAATCTTTTACTTGTTTCGAAGGCAATGTCAATCTAATCGTGCGTGTCCCAGTCCGAAGTGTTCTGTATCCTTCGCCTCAGCGACCGCAAATGATGCCCTCACTAGTTGAGGTCTAGCCAAGACACGCTCAGGCCTGGCGCAACCAGAGGACTAAGGCCCCTGCCACAGACTTATATCACAACCCGGGGAAGAGTCTAGATCGAGTGGTAACTCAAGCGTGAGAAGAAGATAGGCACGCATAACAGCCAATGAAAACGGACTAAATATTTTGTACACGCGCAGCCACATTTGTGGGGCTCAGGAATATATATTCCGTAGTTTAGGCAGCTCGCGACGTTAGAAACCACTTGTTCAACAGTGTCTGTTTCATCATTGGCTGTGACCAGACAGATCCTGCCCAATCCCGCATAGTCATCCCACCGGCGTCGGACAGAGATCAGGGAGCGTAGCCTGCTTATAAAGCCAACGCCCTCTCCCTAGCAATAGAATCGAATCCTCGGTTATTCCCCACTGCAAGACGCTGAATGGAGCTGCATTAGGCCTCGGTTGATCCGTAAAGAAAGGCCGGCGGCTACTGAGTTGGTCCGTTGGCCGGCTTTGTAATACTCTTTACCCGTAAAGGACGGCAGTTGTCGACGGAGAATTGACAGATTCTCGTAGTCAAAGGAGTCAATTGTGAGCCTGGCACGGTGAAGCTCCACAAATGAGATATGTCGGGCCGTCGGGTACACAGTTTCGTACGACCAGGTTTCCACTTTTGGGACAACTTGATTCTCATCGCGCTATTAGTTAATAGCTCCAACGCTTGTCATGATAGTTGCCACGATGTATGGTATAAATGTGTTTCCAACCTGCAGCAGCCAGAAAATCTAGAATCGACGCACCGAGAGCGTTTTTCCACGATCACATATCTACACTCTCAAGCCTTTGGAGAAAAGAATCATTTACAATGTCTGCATTCCTCACCCATCGCATCACTCAATCTCAACCCGGCGTAACAGCCGAAGAGGGACGCTTCAACGAGGCTGCCGACAATTGCTCGTTCTTCTCTCCCAAGCAAGACCCTCGCCCAGGCAGTGCTGTTGACCCCCAGCCTTCCGGAGAGCCTATTCCCAAGCTTTTCACCCCCTTGAAAATTCGAGGTGCCACCCTCCAGAATCGCATATGGGTCAGTCCCATGTGCCAGTACAGTGCTCATGAGGGCTTCCACACCCCTTGGCACATTACTCACTACGGAGGTATGGCCCAGCGCGGAGTAAGTAACCCATCACATAACGTTCAAAGGATGAAGAGACTGACGCTCCCAAAGCCTGGCCTCATGATGGTCGAAGCTACAGCCGTGCAGGCCAACGGCCGCATCACACCGGAAGACTCTGGCATCTGGCTCGACGCCCATGTTGAGACTCTGAAGAAACACGTCGAGTTCGCTCACAGCCAAAACCAGCTCATCGCCATTCAATTGGCGCACGCCGGGAGGAAAGCATCAACTCTTGCTCCCTGGTTGGGCTTCGAGACACTTGCTGGTCAAGAAGCTGGAGGCTGGCCTCAAGATGTGGTCGGCCCGAGTGATCTTGCCTGGTCCGACAAGCATTCCACTCCCCGGGAGATGACTATGGCCGAGATAGACCAACTGAAGCAAGATTTTGTCAAGGGTGCCTACCGCTCTCTTCATGCCGGCTTCGATGTGATTGAGCTTCATTTTGCGCATGGCTATCTCATCTCCAGCTTCCTCTCTCCAGCGAGCAACAAGCGCACAGATCAATACGGCGGTTCGTTTGAGAACCGCACTCGTCTCGCCGTCGAGCTCGTCGATGCTGTTCGCGAGGTCATTCCCGAGGACATGCCACTCTTTGTTCGAATCAGTGCAACCGACTGGCTTGATACCAACCCCGAGTGGGACGGCCCAAGCTGGACCGTCGACGAGAGTGTGAAGCTGGCTCAAATTCTGGCGGATCACGGGGTAGATGTGCTCGATGTGTCCACTGGCGGCAATCATTCTCAACAGAAGATTGTTGCCAGCGCTGGCTTCCAAGCACCCATGACCAAGAAGATCAAAGCGGCTGTTGGAGATAAGATGCTTGTTAGCGCTGTAGGTATTGTCAAGGACGGAAACCTCGCCGAGAAGCTGATAACGGGTTCTGATGAGGAAGGGGACACTCCGTTGGACTTGATTGCTGCCGGTCGAGGTTTCCAAAAGAACCCAGGTCTTGTGTGGCAATGGGCTGATGACTTGGGTGTTGACATCCATGTTGCAAAGCAGATTGGATGGGGTTTCAAGGGAAGAGTCAAGAAAGTGCCGAAGAAGCCTGAGATGCTCCCGTATGAGGACTAAAGTCTGAGAATTTATAGTGTCCTCATACTTTACGTAGAGACCTACATGGAGGTCATATGTAGGTAACATTTCGCATGGAATTGAGTCTAAGAAGTCCCCTTATTAACAACGAAGCAAGAGCTTCATGTAGGACCGCCGAGAACATTCCTACCTCTGATATAATGAAACCAATCAAGTTGAGTGCAGCAAGCTATTCCGAGACTCCGAGTAAGCATTCTAGATACTCGTGAGCCATACTTGATCGCTTATGTATGTATCTGAAACGGTCGTCAGCACCACTCGAGTACCGAGCCGAACGGCTGTTGTCCCATTGAGACTGCCGGCATAGCCGTCATGTATGGACTGACCATGTGCGCAATACGATCGTCATGCTTCAGAAATCTGGCGTTGAGAATAAGCAATACAGGTAAGCAGCCTCACATTTACTCCGCTGCCCTTCGGAAATCGAGTTCTCCGTTGGTTAACCTTTTTTTGGGTCTGAACTGACGCCGATCTACACCCTAGTGCTCTATGTACTGTCCAGGATTACGGGAAGCTCATTCGCGGAGTTACGTGAGCTATTTGATGGATGGTCTCCGCTTGGAAATTTGCCGACACGAGGACCCATGTTCGGAAGGTATGCATGGGATTTAGATCACTCGATGCAGGAAAACATACTAGTGCAGCATTGCTCGGTGGATTTGGCGTTACAGTATGACTGTGCATTTGCTTTCAGATGGCCCAGTCAGTGCAACGTGGAAGCCAATGACGGAGCAAGGGCTGGTGGCGGTAAGCATCAGGATCTACTCCAGCTGCGTTGTGAATGTGCCGATCACAGAACAAATACAAATTGTTGAGTATGACAAGTGGCGCAAGTCTTACCAGAGGAGGCCAAAATTCAGTCAGTTCAATGGCTCTTCAGACTAGGTACCAGTGGGATCCAATATTGCGGGGGAAGGGTAAAGACGCACTCGTAACTGGGTGCACTAGCGTCGTCATCTAGTCGAATTGTCGCTTAGCCAGGTGATCCGTTTTGACCAAAGTACCCGTTATACCCGTAAAGAACACATGAACCCCCTGGTCTGACGTGAGATCGTCTAAGCACTTATTTCATACAAGCTTCGGGTTGCATATGTTCTCTATATTGATCTAACCTGGTAGAAAAAAGAGTGGAAAGCTTGACACATGGCCTTTCACCCCCTGCCCCTTTTCAGAGACATATATCTTAAATGGCCCCCAAGACTTGCCATGGAGCAAAACCCAAGATGAAACTGTCTATTTGCAGGCACTTCATTTAGCATTCTTTGTAGCAATCAGTCACTATGGGTAGCCAAGTTGAGCAACGCTTGATTCCTCAGGCCCTTGCAGACGCATTGGCAGAAAAGCCTGACCGCACCTGGGTGTCATACGCCATCAGCAACAACATCGCACAGGATGGATTTCGCAACATCACCATCCGCCAGCTCGCAACTGCTGTTGATCGACTAGCCTGGTACATCGACAACAACATCGGCAAAAGCAGCGATTTCGAGACAGTCATGTACTATGGTCTCGCCGATGTGAGGTACATCATTACCCTCATTGCTGGTATCAAAACCGGGCACAGCGTCCTTTTCTGCTCCCACTTCAACAGCCAGATATTCAACCTTCACCTCTGCGAAAAGACCAACTGCCACACTGTCATGCGAACGGAGGGAGTAGAAGCAGTAATTGACTCCCTTGCACAAGAAAGACCCATGAAAGTCTTCCAAGTCCCAACTCTCGACACTCTTTTGGAGGAAGGCGATCCGCCAAAGCCTTACCCCTACACAAAATCCTGGAGAGAAGCATGCGACGACCCCATATCTATCGGCCACTCTTCGGGAACTACAGGTCTTCCTAAGCCAATTGTCTGGACCAACCGGTCCTATAGCGTCTGCGAACTGCACCAGGTTGTTCCAGACCTGGATGGTCACCCGCCGTACGCCAAGTTGCTGCTTCAGTCGACCAGCGTTTACCAGACCCAACCGATATACCACCCGTTCGGTCTCTTTACTGGAGTGACTGATCCCCTTTATCGGGAGAAGAAGATGGTGCTGGGGCCCATCGTCAGCGGTCCAACTCCGCCTGCCATTCTTGAGCAGGTGATTGAGCACGCCGATATCGATAGTCTCAGTGGCGTCCCCATCTACCTGGAGATGATTGCAAAGTCGCCAAACCTCCTAGATTTGGTCGAAAAGAAACTCAAATACATCTTCTTTGCTGGGGGTGCGCTCAGCAAGCCCGCAGGCGATGCACTGTCTGCTAGGGTCCGCCTCCAGAGTTTCTACGGGGCTACCGAGGCAGGACCTGCATTCGGTCACATACCAGACCGTGAAGACTGGGCTTGGTTGCTGTTGAACGACAAGGAAAGTGGCCTCAAATGGGAACCGCGCGAAGTCAAGGGGGCAGACGGCGTATATGAGTTGGTCTACGTGAAGAATCCTTACACGGAGAAGCGTCAGCACGTCTGGTGGCACACCAATAGCCAAGATGTGTACCACAGCAACGACCTCTTCACCAAGCACCCGACAAAAGCGCATCACTGGAAATTCTACTCTCGAGCGGATGACATGATTGTAACCAAGTTTGGGTGGAATGTCAACCCTGTGGTTATGGAAAGAGAGATCGAGAGGCATCCTGCTGTGAAATATGCAGTCGTTGGAGGTATTGGAAAGCGGACTGTCTGCGCGGTAACACAGCTTGTTGACGATGAGTCTGAATTGCCTGAAGATCCCCTGCAAAGCATTTTGCCCATGATCGAGAGAGGCAACACCATCATGGATGCCGCGGGACAATTGGCCAAGGAGAAGATCATTTTTGGCACAAAAGACAAGCCTTTTCCATTGGCTGGTAAAGGTAATGTTCAGAGATCAGCGGTTTTGAAGTTGTATGAACCAGAGATTGAAGACATGTATGTGCGCGTTGGGGATTAGCTCACGCCTGGTAGCAGAAGGGCGGCATCAGATGGCTCGCCGCACCGGTTACCACTTGCCAGTAACAACCACGAATCAATCAAGTTCAGGCTTGCTTCGCAATGATTTCTCCAGACTAAAACATTCGAACTTCTGAAACACACCGACTGATGCAAAACAAGAAATTTACATGGTGATTGGTTGATGGGCCCAGCTCAATGTGGCTTAGCCTAGGCAGCCGCCCTGCACTCAGCTGATGGCTGACGTGCGGCTGGATGCACTGATCGATCTTTTCGCCTTCAAGTCTTCATTAGCTTGGGATGAAGCTTCATTGACACGGCCTTATACTGCGTTCCTCCTTCCTATTTGCCTACTCGCACTAGCAGTGTGAGACCCAGACACCTCATCGGTGCATCATGTCTTTCACAACGCTGCCGTGTGAGCTCGTAGCATCCATCCTCGGGAGTCTCGATGACTTCCAGTCTCTGACCGCAGCGTTGCTAAGTTGCCGTCACATCTATGACTCGTTCAATCAAATCCGTGGAATCGACATTGCAATTCTACGACAACAGATAACACCAGCCCTGCTCCCTTACGCCGTGGCTGTCATAGAGGCATCTCGTTTCCGTCTTCACCACCCCCGCGAAATCGAAAGCGAAGCAGTGCGCGACCTAGTCGACACTCTGTATGATAAACCGTCCCTTTTAGGTAGCCGCATGCAGGCAATGTCAGTTGTCCATCGACAAGAGATGTCAAAAAGGCACCAAGCGATTGTGGAATTCACCTCCAGCTTTGCCGCTGAGTCTTGGGGACGCCTCCACTCAGACCAGCTCCAAGTTACCACACAACCAAATTTGTCAGTTGAGGAACGTTACAACTTCTGCCGAGCGTTCTATCGCCTTGAGCTATTCTACACCCTCTTCAGGAATATGTACAAAGATCGCAGGGAACCCTTGGGCAATACAGCACACGTCAAGTTCTTTTCAAGGAATCCACCTTGGGAAAATGAACAGATTGGCTCTGTCGCAGAATTCTGGGAATCGAGGTTTGCCGAGGGTAAGTTTCTCGCGATCGATAAGGAACCAAGGTCTGATTTAGCATTGAAGCCAGTACTGATGTTATCGCCCACGACGTCCTCTTTGGTGAACTAAACGTCGACTACCTTCATCGTGGCAGGAGAAATGACGAAAGACAAATCTGGGTGAGTTGTTGTACTCCAATAATGTCTTTGCACACTGCACATAGGCTCACATGAACAACAGATGGCAGAAGGAATTCTTTTTCTCCGGCGTCTGGTGAAATCGGATTCTTCATACCAAACCAGGAACAAGATACTAAGATCTAGCTCCAGGATAGGCTGGGCCAACTGTCCAGGGGCACTGTTCGATGTACTTCGTGCCTACTGCAGTGACGACTCTGGATCAGAAGGCCGCGATGAAGGTGACTTGCTGTCGATTGTGTTTAGTCGCGGCATGGACGAAGATGTCGACAAAGGACCGTGTGAGGCCTGGTATGCAGCGCATAAAAGTCAGCCGGTTGGTTCTTGGCTGATGCTCGACCACAACGATTGGCTTCGGGACCGGGCTTACGTGCTGTGGGACTGGAAACGCATACAGCAACATCAACTACTAAAGCTATTCGAATCTGTTCCGGATGGACAGATGCATCGTCCACAGCCGACGACCGACGAACTTGAGGCCATGAGTGCCTCCTTTGTCGTTCGCGAAACGATATTTGAGAATGGGGGCCTTGGGTACTGGACGGGGAATGGTCATGAAGTGTTGTAGCAAGTCCATTCTGACGAAGAGTACTGCTGGAGCGTGACACTGAAAAGTGTGTTAAAAAACTACATTTGATCGGCTACATAATCTTTATAGTTGCATGCCAAAATGAACCTAGCTGAGGGCGAAGCATCTCTCAGAACTGGCCTCATTATTACCCCACCAATAAGGCATCGTCACAATCTTTCCTGCGCCGAAGAACAAGAACGTCAACAGCATGTTGAAGTTGAAGCCTGCATCAAAGGCTGCCGCCAGAATGTAGTTCCATCGGGCCCTGTTGGTATGGCGTTAGCAACTTTGTGACGCGAAAACGGTCAGATATCACGTTGGGTCACTTACCATAGATCGTAGCGATACCTGTATGCCCAGAACATGACGACAAATCCACCGATGAAGCTGCTGAAGTATCCGGTACTGATGTTGCCGTAGAAGCTAGCCATGGTGGAAAAGAAAATGGTCGAGTTCCACAGCTGGAACTTGGCCCGCGGAAAGAAGCGGTGCAGGGCGAAGATCAGAACCGGGACGAAGGCGCCAACGAGGAAGCCATAGGGAAGAACCTTGTAGATGTGTTGTTGGAAGAGGCGACGAGGGCCGATGAGCACGTACTGGACGCCCATAGTGAGGTTGGACGTGAGAGACTGCGCAGTCCACTGATGAGCAGGGTCTTCCTTGGCGCCAGTAAGGTAGTCGAACTTGGTGTCAAGCACCCAGCGGACGACGGCATAGTTGATCGGGACGCCCAAGAAGCTTCCGAATACTTGAGAGAAGAAGACAGTCTTGGGTGGCAAATGCATGTAGTGGCCGATCTTCATATCTTGCAAATTCAATTGCGCGCGGTACCAGGCGTTGCCAGCAATAGCACCGTAGGCGGAAGCTCCGGTCGGGTTCTTGAAGCCGCTGACAGAGTTTACCATGAGGCCGTACAACAGCTCATTGACTGTGCTCCGTTAGTTTATATGGCGTGATAAAGAATGGATTTCAACATACCAGTGCCGATTGCCAGTTGGAAGTTTGACAAGGCGTACAGATACCCCAGGGGAACGACCAGAATGGCTCCAGTACCAATGGCGACGAAGTAAGTCCAGACCGGAATGAACATCTGACCAGTTGCGGTAATGGTGACTAGAGAGATGAATGAAGCGGCAAACAAGGCCAAGAACCACCACATGGGGACCTCCTTGTATGAGCGTTGAAGGATACTGAGTTGATCGTTGTACTGAGTGCTGATCTCAGCTCCGCTCTTGCTGCGCTGGCGCAATTTCTCGAGACTGGCTTTGATGGTCTTGTAGCCGAAGAGTCCAGCCCACACCAATGCCGACGTATAGCTTGCATAATCGAAAAACATGGTCCAGAGGACGTGAGTACTAATGAACGGGGGTCCAAGTTCCTGATAAGCTGTCTCATTGAAGGAGACGTCCGCAGTAAGTAGCGAAGTGGTTGGGTAAGATGTTCCGTTCTCGAGGAATAGACGGTTGGACATGAGGTGCTTGTTCCACTCTCCAAGGTGACCGAATTTAGCAGCCGGGATCAGAATCCAGGCGCTGCAAGCGAAGCCCAGGAACATGACAACCTGGGTCCACCAGGGGGTTAAGAACAAGCTCGCACTGCTCGAGATGTTGGACCAGTCGAGGGACAAGTTGAGCATTCCCATTCCACCGAAACCGGCACCGACGAAGTTTGCGGTCTCGTTGTTCGGCGCAACCCAGCAGAGGAAGGCCAGAGAGCCAAGCATCGGGAAGACATACTCGGGCAGGAACTGCCAGAGGGTCATGCCGGCCAGAGCGAGGAAGAAAACTCTGGTCTGCTTGCGAGAGGCAGCAGTGGGGTTCTCGCGCTGTTTCTTTTGCGTCTCGAATAGAGCAGTTTGGCAGAGACTAAGTCGAAGTCAGTCTAATGCTTGGACAAAGGATTTATCTCCGTGCGCAATGCGCAATAGTAAGTAGTACCAAAGACAAATTCTTTGAAGGAACAGAAACTTACGCAGTAAACCACGGGAACTGGGGATCGTAGATCAGAAACTGACGAGCGAGAGCCGCGAAAGAGTAGCCCGTCCAGACAATGCCCCACATGAAGAAGATGGCAGCCGCTGGGTTGATGCGGGAGTTGAAGTAAAGCTCGGCCATAGCAACCGGGGTGTAGCCCAGGTTGTAAGTCGCTCCAGATGCTGCAGAAATGGTAACGAGAACATGCTCTTTGACGCTGAATGGTCCGGGATTCAGGTTGAAGCCGTATCCAAATGGCAGCTTGACTTGCCATGCGGGCAGAACCTTGGCGAGCCAAACACCGGCATAGCTGGAAGCGATCTGCACGAAAAAGACGGAGTAAGGCGCGTAGGTGGTGCGGAAATGGCTCATCATGCTGAGGAACGCTCCGGGAATAACGAAGATGATGGTGAGGACGAAGTAGCGGAAGGTGAGTGTCGGCAGTTCGGGGTCATCCGACAGGCTCACGATGCGGCGGACGTATGGCGGGATGTCCTGCAATCGCGGGTCATCTTCGTCAAATGCTACCTCGGATCCGTTCGCTTGCGTCGTAAAAACAAAAGGCGGCTTCTCCATGTCGCCCTCCGTGAAGGGACCGGCGCGCTCGCTGGACGTCTTCTCGGGCGTACCATCGCGGGGAGACTCGGCGGAAATAGCGTCGTTGCCGGAGGTCTTGGGCTCGCTAGCGGCCGTTGGCTGTGTGGTGGTTGAGGGAGACATGGCAGGTGTCGTTCAAGCGGCTGATCGCCAAGATTCTTGGAAAAGCACGCCACACGGGAGCCAAGTCGGCCAAGCCTGGGGGACACAGTCTTTCTCCCGAAAGCAACCCTGGCTACCTGATGCATCTTATATCGAGGACCGAACATGTTCGCCCACAAGTCTTGCAGACACCGAACAGCTTCCAGATTTGGGAGGTGACCTTGAACGGTTAGACGCAGTGGATCTCTGCGATGGTGTCATCGGCGTTTTTCATGTTTATATTGCCTGCGTCGCGCGATGGCACGACCTCGCCCGGATCTGCGGCTCGGGTTTTTGGCTTTAGGGCTCTTGACTGGTGTGGCGGGGTCACATTGAAGTCGGGCCTACGTGGGATGGCCGGGGATGTCGACGATGGATCGTGTTTCTACAAAAGGTTCCTCCTCGGATTCAACCGCCTCAATCACAACTCGTTCTTGGATCATGCCCTCGATTGCGAATTCACTCAAGGTGCGGGTGGCAAAGGCAAAGTCTCGCTCACGTTGGTGAGCTTTCTCATCAAAGTCGTACATAAGAGCAATTGCGCCATCGGCAAAAGTGCCCTTCATCGAGTCAGGATCAACCTCGCACACCCACCGCCGCTAAACGGTTTAAACGAGATGGGTACAGTGGGACAAGGTCTATGAGCAATGCCTTCTGATTGGGGCCTTAACTTCAAATTTTCCATTTTCCACGCGTCTTCGGCGCGCTTTAGCGCTGCTCGGATCCGACCTCTTACTCGTTGTACGCCTGGCTCATGGCGCGCCTTCAAGTTCTGGATCCGGTGAACATGGGCACACTGCCGGTGCTAACCGAAACTCGATGATACCTTGTTGCATTACCGAATCCGACACAGACTTGATGAATGGTAGGGCAGTCGATTTGCCCCAGCTCGTTTTCCTCCTCCTCGAAGGAGGATTCTCATAAGACATAGCAGACACGTAGCAGTCTCCGCGTGAGGTCAACCGAGGCTTCCTGGCTGGGGGCAGCACACATACACAGTGCTTGTGCAGAGATTCAAATTCCAGTTTCGATCATAACATTGAACCCGATTTATAGTAGCAAATTTGAATGCATCCTTTTCACATTAGCCTTAGTCATGTTAGATGCTGACTGCAGTCTGCAGGGCTGTTGTGGATGGCGACGCAGTGGTGTGATCGACCAGCCGCTGAGATGTGTTACTGAACAGGGATTGGCAAGCCGATGGCATTTAAGCAGTGTATTGAAGCAGTGTACTGAAGCAGTGGTAGAGGTCTTCGTGCTAAGTGAAATGACAAGCAGCCTGGGGGGGTTCCTCTCGGCCTCCACTATGTGATGATCGAATTATGTTTTCTTGCCCCCGACTCTTGCGTAGTCTCATACTAATTAATTTCACATCTGCGCAATAATTTCTTCCGCCTATTTAAAAAAGAACAGTAGGTAGACGTCTATATTGACTCCAGGGATGGATCAACACTCAGAAGCTGGTCAACAAGGGCCATGTTCTTGGTGGATGATGTAAAGTCGCACCAATAGCCGCCTTCCGCTTTGCACATGATCTGGGCGTTGACTTACGGCCAATGATTAGCCACCTCCAGAAGCTTGTAACGAAATCTAATTCCACTTACATCTGGTAGGCCTTCCTCTGGGAAGCGAGTGACCAAACACAAGCGGTGATGATGTGGGTACATGCTGTGGTTCAGCATGCTGTTCTGTGTCTGCAACCAGTTCTTCGTCTTCGCCGGCAGGTCGATCACGGCATTTAGAGAAATCAATCCCATGCCAAGCTGCTGTCCAGTTGGTGATGGTGAAACTGAGCTCCCCAGGTTCGCAGACGTGGATAGTGTACCCGCGTAAGGCTATTTCTCGAGTTACCGCAAAAGCCCGGTCGACATTCTCAGGCTTGAGAGCTTCGATAACTGCGAGTCGATTATTGTAGGCTATGTCGCATACGGAAGTGTCTCGGCTGATTGAGAAATGCGCTGTGCTGTACATGACTGCATTGTGAAGGTATGGCTGATCGACCATGAGTGCCGGATGGCGACCTCGAGCTGCCTCAACGTTAGTTTATCAATATCTTATTCATACCTCAAGCTATTTGACTTGCCATTCACAGTTCCAGTCAGCATGATCATTTTTGGTTTCTTTCTATGCAAGTGAGTTAACTGGAATATCATCAGCATCGTTATAGTAACGTGAGTGGGAATCATTAGTCTCACCTTCAACAGAAGAGCTGCGACAATGTCCCCATTTGTCACCTGCAACTTTGCGCCATGAGTCGAAGCGATTTTTGCTTGATGCTTCTCTCGTAAGTTGGCAATCAAAGCCTCAGGGAAAACCAAGAGTCGTCGGGTTTCGGATGGTTGCAAGATGAGTTCCGGAACAAAACCCAGTAAGATCCCAGCTCTCTCTTTGGCAGTTGTAACTCTGTAAGTTGCCTTTCTCTGCAGTTCTTTCTCACTTAGGTCTTTTGGACCGTCGAGAGCCCCGCGTTCAAGTTGCAGGAACTGAGCTGGCTTTTCCCCACGTGCTACTTGCAGCCACGCTCTCACAAAGCTAGAGAACCCCAGCTGGTCCACAATCGCATGTGGAATGTTCGTACATACAACAGTCGCATCTTCATACTGGGTCAGATGCACAAGAAACGTTGCGGTATCTGGCTTATCCTCATAGCGTGCTCTTGGCCAGGTTGTAGGGGTCCATTCTTTCTCTAAATCAACGATTGACTTCCCCCATGTGACCCCTTGGCTAGCTGATATGTTTGATGCGGGTAGAAGTTGGCTTGCGGCCAGAGTTGTTTGAACGCGGCGGCTCGACCATCCGAAAAGTGGGCCATCGTGAGAAGGTGTTGGGAGATGACAAACCAGAACTCCCTGCTTTCCATCTGACTGAATCTTGGAACCGAGAACGGGGAGGTGGTTTCGTATCAAGTTGTCGAGAGAAGTCCGCAAGATATCCTCTCGAATCGGATGCCGGAGGACGAAGAATACGATGTTGCGGATGTAGTCGATGGGCTTCCATCGGTCCTTTGGGTCCAATTGAAGGATTTGTCCCCTTACTGTGCTAGATTCGTCTGGCTTCATGGCGATATTCTGCTTTCAGCGGCTAACTACTGAGACATACGAATGAGAAAGACTTCAGATGATGTACAAAATGAAAGGCTTGCTGGTGGTGTACGGTTCTCACTCTTTCGTGTCTATTCGAACTTGAATCAAGTAGCAAAGTGTTTCGGTAATTTTCCTGGTTATCATAAACAACAACACGATGCTTAACAGGCATTCATCAAAGTACAAGCAGAATTTTCCATGGTGTTGCGTAAACCTCAACAAATGGGTTGTGGCTGGGCTCAAAAGGTAAGATAGATATTGAAAGCGTTTCAAGGAATCGCAAAGTTTGCTGTTAGATTATATGCTCATTGTTATTATATTTCAGCGTTGCATTTACATTATCCCATCGGCTGGAATGCCAACGCCAAGTACTTCGAAAGAAACACGTGTAAACCAATAGCGAAGGACGGAATAGCGTCCCTTGCATCCCGTGTGTAACATTTGGCTGGCGCCACATTGCTACCAATTAACCGAGTCCCTTGCACTTATAACGCGTTCCGGAGGGATGTTCACGGGGCTACCTCAAATGCGGAAATTGTGTTCGTATTCTTGCCAGCAGCCCGGTGGGATGGCAGGCATCTGCCAAGTATCCAGGGCGCAAAGGCCTTCTTGGCGTGAACGACTCTCAGGCACTGAGATTAAGTTTGTGGAGAACGTCACAGTCTCGCCGAATCGGATGACGAGGGAATTCAGTCAACCCTCATCAAAAACGCTGAGCAGAATGATGTGGGATGCATGCGGGTTTGAGGGACCCGAGAAAGTGGTGATTGCCAAGTCTGCAGTTGTTCTCTGGTGTCCATCCTTCTCCTTTAGTAGTACATCTGACTCTGCATAACGCTTGCCAAATAGTCTGTCTGAGAAAGCCGATAGTTGTCCTGCTCGAGAAACGAATTCGACGAAGGGTCGCTGTTGGCGTTGAGGACCAAGTTACTTCCGTAGCTCCCAGTCCCGTTTGCGACATCTCCAGTCCACGTGGGCCAATTTGGCGCGTCAGAAACTTGTTTACCCTGTTAGCAACTCTTTTCTACGAAGACACGGCAGCTCAATATAGGAAGTCCTGCCAAGTAACCGTACCTCCGTGATGATTGGGGTCAAGTTCCGAGACGAATGACGCCCAAGCTCCGCTCATGAGCTTGGAGGCTGTCGCGAATTGTGTTTGGTTGGACGTGGTGGCGTCCAAATTTGCGAAAATGAAGTTGACATCCATGGAGTGATGCGAACCTAAACGGGCCGTGGTGCTAGGAGGTAAGAGATTGACCCTAGCTGAGTATGCCTTTTGTCCAGCAGTAGCCCAGGCCTTCAAAGTCATTCGTCGTGATGTTGTTTCGACAATATCAGTGTGAAACATGACCCCTCGCTTCCACTGAGCGCCGTACAATTGAACATCTTCCGTTGAGGGAGTATACCCTGCGGGGAGTCCGGTGGTATTACTGGGGTACAAGGCCTCGATCTTGGACACAGTGGTCTCGTCTGGGCCGCCAGCCGCAACAAATGCTTTGAAGTCGTCGTCGGTGTCAATGGGTCCACCAAACATGAAGACAGTTGCCTCATCTGTTGTCGTCGAGTACATAATTGGTACACGAACGAAGTGGCCCTTGTCAAGAGATGCGGTCGGCCCATCCTGGAGGAAATCACCATCGACTTGCGTAAGCCATGGTCCAAGGCCGGTACCTGAGAATACAGGTGTGTTGCTGACATTCAGAGCGGCGGACAAGGACTCGACAGGTAAACTGCGGAGGCACTCGAGCGGGCTGGTCTTGTCGGCGCAGCCCGTTGTTTCCGTGATGTTTCGGTAGAGATCCTCGGTGTACGCAACGGGATCCTTTACGTTGTATGGCCACTTCTCTGCCATACCGCCACTTTGCATGATTGCTCCGCGAAACAGACCGTCGTCCCTGCCACCGTACGCAATCAGATGCTTACCGACGGATAGGCCTCCCGCACTCTGACCAAAGATTGTGACCTTGCGTGGATCTCCGCCGAAAGCGGCGATATTCTCTTGGATCCAGCTCAAAGCCAACCTTTGGTCACGGAGGCCATTATTCGCAGAACCATTGGCTGTCAACTCATTGGATCCCCAGAGAAACCCAAAGGCTGAGAGTCGATAGTTGATGGAGACGACAATCAAAGGTTTCTGAGCGGCGCTGGCTTGTCGTACAAAGTTCGTTAAGTTGGTTTCCCTGGATGAACCGGCATAGAGGCCGCCCCTAGAGTAGGTACCGTGTCAGTCTCAGTACGCAACATTGGGGCATAGAAACAAACCCGTGGATCCAGACTGCGACAGGAAGAGCTTCTGTTCCGTTGTAGTCGCTCGGCCGGATGACGTTCAGCGACAGGCAGTCTTCAGACATTGGGTAGCTGGGAGGGGCCTTGAGTTGGCACGGTCAGCTTTCAATTCATGTTGTTCACATGGCTAGCTCTCACAGTGTATTGCATGCAGATATCAGCATACTCGACTGCTGACCGGGGCGTCTGCCACGATGTGTTCAGACTTTTTGGTGCTTTGAAACGGCGATCTCCAATTGGAGGTTGAGCGTATGGCATTCCGAGGAAGACATCTTGTTCGTAGTTGTCCAGGTGAAGACCTTCGTAAGTCCCGTTCAGTACAGTGACAACAGGTCCTGCGTTTACCCGTTGAATCACGAGCAGGAAAACACTGCTTAACAACACCAGTGAAACCATATTCAATCACGAAAACCGACAGATGGGAATCTGATAGGAAACAGAGAGAGGATCTCATTTTCGCGGCTACAGCAGTTCTTTTGTTTACATTCGGTTGTGATCTTCCGAATACTACATGATGTACCAACTAGCCGACTGTTATGGCAGATAGCCGACGATAAGGCCCGGGAACGTGGCGATAAGAGGCAGATTGCCGCGATATGCCGAGTTGACAGTCAATCATCGCCCGTCGTGATTTTATCCTGCGCAACAACCGTCACCAAAAAGAATCGAAGTTGGCATACAATTGATTGACCTCGAGTATGGAGGTAGGCTGTTTCAAAGCGGTCGAAAGACTACACCGTAGAATCTTTTTCAAGTCGGAATCCGCACCCCCCTGTAACCCCCTTGCACACCTATCTCATTGGACATAGACCCTGTCTCCCCAGGGCCTTAATTAAGCTAGTAGGGGGAAAGTACACACAGTATCAGGGCCTGTGACGAATCAGACCCCCTACTTCAGCGGATTCCGACTTGAAAGAGACTTTACGGTATGATGGATATCAAGAGCTGTGGTCAACCTTGGAGAACCCCTTTCGTGCTAGTCCTCACAGAGACGTGACCAACTTCCGAGGGCCGAGTAGTACCGATGGCTTCCGAGTGTGCTCTTTTACCGATGGCTTCCGAGTGTGCTCTTCGTATCGCCTTCGTATACCTTTCGCCCCTGTTGATAACAACTAGACTTTGCAAATAACGTAGGGTAGACCTCGAAGATTATCGTAAGACTTTACCGCTGAGACTATGACTCTTTGAAACTGATGGCTCTACGTAACCGGGTATATGCCATGGACACCTACAGACTTCACGGAAGCCCCTTTCCCTGCAAGTCTATCAACTCATCTATCGGATAATTCCGGTGGGCGCCGATAGTCTGAGACGCTATTACTTGATCGCAATGTGAAGTAACTTTCCATTGACTGAGTACCGCTGAACCTTATGACTAGATTGCAGGAGGTAGTTGTCGACAAGCAAAGCTGACTTGCGGACCCCCGATCGTGTTCTTCGCTTTCGCGTCTACTAGTTAGATCGTACCTGCAACCCACCTAGGTAAGTATGTTCGTCTAATTGAAGACTCATCCCAGAGCCATGGCCTTGAGATTTTGCCAAGGAATCGAAGACTGTCGCATATCCCACCTCAGTTGACGGACCACGTGCACCACCCACCTCCTCTCTTCGACTTCAGTGTGGCGGAAACTCGGCCGGGAACATGGCGCAAAAAGACCAGGGAATAATTTTCCGCCAGCCATGGTCACCTTCACGCCTGTGTGTCCCGTCGTCCTGGCCTTTCCCATCGGCCCAAACCCAATAGACTTTGTGGCAGAAACGCAGCCGAGAACCACACAAATGGCCATCCATGTAACAATACACGACTCACGAGTCGTGGGCTACTGGTCTGCGACACTCATGACCCCCTTTTTGCATAATTTCGCCTCGTGTCATGGTAGTCCAGATTGCTGTGCAAAGTTTAAATCCTTAACAGTCGCATAATTCGTACACCGACACCGAGCTGACGCCTAGTAAGCCTTGTCCAGGGTTTAAGGGAACAGAAAGATATTACCGTTAGACCGTCCTTTCCTTGCGCGCCCTAACTCTCTTTCCCCCCGGTGCCAAGTATTCAGGTCCCATTTTTGGAGGGGACAGTTACACCTAGAGGTTTTTGATTGATCAAAATCGGAAATTTAGCGCCATGGATCGCGAACCAGACGCCTATTCCGTGGCTAGAGCCTCAACTGTGAGAAGGCGTAGCATTGTCACCATAACCGACCGGCAGACGCTCTCCATAGACTTGAGCCTCACCTCTACAGACACGTTTCCATCCGTATTCGCGGACGAAAAGACCAGAAGTCCTAGCCTCGTTCAAGAGAAATCAATCAACATGAGCACAGAAACCATTCAAGAGAATCAAGAGAACGAGAAGAGAGATGAACCGTCAGCTCTGGTTGTACCGTCATCGCCTAAGTACTTGTCTGGATACAGATTGTTCCTGGTGATGACCTGCGTGACACTTGTCTGCTGGCTCATGTTCCTCGACAGCTCGATTATTGTCACTGTAAGCCAAAGCTGCCTGGGAATGCTGCCAGAGATCTTTGGGGCTGATACTGTCATAGGCAATTCCAGCGATTACCGACGAATTCCACTCCCTTGGCGATATTGGCTGGTATGGAAGTGCGTATCACCTCGCAAACGCAACATTTCAGCCCCTTACGGGAAAGATATATCGCTATTTTAGCTCTAAAGTAAGAGAAGCGAATACACATAGTAGTTCCTTGCTGATAGTCGTAGTGGTCGTTTTTCACGTTCTTGGTGGTCTTCGAACTCGGCTCGCTGATTTGCGGCGCCGCGACGTCTTCAATGATCTTGATTGTCGGTAGAGTCATTGCAGGAATGGGCAGCGCTGGTATCATGAGTGGAGGACTTACAATCATTGCGGGATCCGTACCTTTGGAAAAGAGACCAGGTTGGTTTGATCTGACCTCTTATTCATCTTGTCACATGCTAACAACCAGGCAACAGCTCTTACTGGATTGCTGATTGGCCGTAGGTCTTCGCAACTATTGCGTAACGGTCTAAGCTAACAACATGTAAAGTCGCAAACAGTGGAAGTGTCTTCGGTCCAGTTCTAGGAGGCGTGATAACGCAGTACAGCACGTGGAGATGGGGTGAGTAACTTTACACCTGCTGAAGGTTCCCGAAGAAGACGTCAGCTCTAACATCAGATGATGGCGTGCAGCTTTCTACATCAACCTTCCTATCGGCGGTTTAGTCTTGCCTCTCCTCGTTTGGACAGATATTCCCGATCAAGTGCCGAAACCAAGTCCGATGGCTGTGATTCCGAAGCTACATCAATACCTCGACTTTCTTGGATTTGTTCTTTGCGCTGGAGCTGCTGTCTTGCTGCTTCTGGCTTTGGAGATTGGCGGAAACGAGGAGTTCAGTAGCCCAACGGTCATTGGGATGTTCTGCGGTTCTGCAGTATCTTTCGTCGCGTTCTTGACTTGGAATTATCGAAAGGGTGATGATGCACTTATCCCCAGATCAATGGCAGGAAAGCGGCCGGTGTGGTGCGCCGCTTCAACCAACTTCACGATGGTCGGTTCTGCGATGATTCAGATCTATCTCCTTCCGCTCTACTTCCAAGCCGTTCAGGGCTCAACGCCTTCCCAGAGCGGAGTCAATGTTTTACCGAGTATTCTGTCGCAACTCGTAGCTGCCTTTGGTGGAGGTATACTAGGTCAGTTGCGATTCAAACTCAGACTTTGGCAAAAAGTTTGCTGACATTCTTATTAGTGGGCAAGCTCGGATATTACCTTCCATGGGCTATCGGAGGCACCGCAGTAACAATCGTTGCCAGTGGGCTCTTCACAACATTGACACCAACTACACCGATTGCGCAATGGGTAGGGTTCCAGATTCTTACCGGAGCTGGTCGTGGTGTCGTGTTGCAAATTGTAGGTTGCAATGTTTCAGCTGAGCATATTAGAAAGGCAACTGACAACTGGGTTCTCTAGCCAAGCATCGCCATACAAGCCAATTTGCCTCCGGAGCAGATTGCCCAAGGAATGTCTTTCGTAACATTCTCTCAATTCATGGGTTCGGCCATCGCCTTGGCATTGGGCAACGCCATCTTCGTTGGCGCTCTGAAAGCAGACCTTCCCGTGTTCGCCCCGGACGTCGACCCTGACTTGGTAATTGGAGCCGGCGCAACTGGGTTCCGCAAAGTTGTTGCCCAAGTTGCACTGCCAGGCGTATTGATGGCCTACGTATCCAGCATCGACAAGGAATTTTTCCTGTCGCTAGGACTCGCGATCGCGTCATTCTGTTTTGCATGGGGGATGGGATGGAAGGATCTTAGACCCAATAAGAAACCTACGAAACCTGACTCGAGCTCATCATAAAAGAAGAGCTTTAGGTTTTTCGACCGATTGAGAATAATTACTGTTAGCGAGATAGCCATACCTTAGTCATACTATTACTGAACAACCTCGGTGCAAAGGTTCCATCTAAAGCAGGTAATCACCGATAGCTCACCGAGCGAACGAGCGAAGTCCATACATGTTACCTAAGATCCGAACAGCAATCACGATGGTTGAATGTCCAGTATTTAGAGTTGACTCCGAATCCTGGATTCCGGATTCAGCGGTTGAAAGTGGACCTTCACTGCTAAGCGAGGCATCAGGAGTGATGGTCGGATGGTGGAGGAGGGCAACCGTGCGTTGGGCAGTGTACGCGTTGCGATGTGGCTTTAGCTACAGACTCGTCCAAAGAAGGAATTGTGCACGAAGGAACTGATTCCAAGACACATGACGCGTCAACAACTCACAACTCAAGTTGTCGACAACTAGGCGAGCCACACTTCAAGAACTGCTCAACTGCGAAGACTGACTCTTTCTCGTGGCACATGAAATTCTATCATGCGCCGGAAAGTGGGTGGCTACCGACGGCATGGCGCGGGGAGAAAAGCAGGCCGCTGGGGAATCTCAACAGGCGATGATGGGCTCAGAATTGCCTACCTCGCTCCAGTTAGGCATGTGCCTATGGTCACGCAACGTGGCACCCACGTAGTACACTGTACACAGAGATTGGAACGTCCCAACAGAACAGTTGACGCGTTTCAGCCCTCTGATCTGCC